AACAATAGTAATATGTCACATTAGTTACCCTTATTATTCCATGCGCTATCATAACTAGGAATAATGGAAATAGCTTAATCGTAACATTCAATTGCGTATTTATTTTAATTCTAATTATAATCTTAATACACGTATATATGAGGAGATAAAGCCATGTGCATATTCATACCCCTAAATGAAATTCATTATACCTTTATTTATCAATCTTTCAGCCTATTAGTTTTCTAAAATGAAACTACCTCTTTTTTAAAATAATTTATTCAAAGCCAATGCGCTAATTGATTAGTAAATTCTCCTTTCAAAATTAGAGCGCTTATAGATTAAAATATTGGCTCTGGTGATATTATATGAATAGTAGTATTTGAAGAAACTAGATAATACTTAAAACGAATACCATTTATATTTTGGAGATGGCTATTGTATATTTTTAGAAGTGAAAGTTGAGCCCCCTTCATATAAGAGTTAATATTATTAAATAAAATAATTGATAAGAAATCAAAATTTATTCAGAAGATATTCAGTTTGAATTTAGGAATAATTCTATTACAAAATTTAAAGTTGTCTATTTTATATTCTCATCAAGTCCGAATGCAACTTAAACAGTTATTTCTGTTCCTAATACAAGGAATAGATATTGATTTTAAATTAGAAACATAGTTCCAACACTTTTATGTATAGTATGATTAAGAATCAAAATAAGATTTTACCATAGGCTATGATTTTTAGACATATGATCTTTTATAATACTAGAGGCAACTAGAAAGTTTACATTATCATTTTCTTTATATACTTCTAGCAAACTCTACTTTTGAGAGTATAATATTATGAAGAGACAACTCTGATATTTGATTTTCTTAGAAGAATATCCTCTTATTATCAATTAATTTTTCTTTCAAATCAGCATAATTTAATGGAGTATCTTATTATAATGTTTACTCTTAAAACTTTGCACATTTACATATTCAGAATAAGTTATATTTGTATTAAAATACATTGGGACTTAATTTTGAATAACCAAATTGAGCGTTGATCTTTAGAAATATCAATCACTGTAAATCTTTGTGTCTTAAAGATTGTATACTTATATAAATAAGCTTTTCGTAATCAAACTAATGGTCACAAAGTGAATAGGACTCCTTTTATCTTTATTGATTGATTTTAAATTAAAAAAGAAGATAGTTGTATTTTAAATTAATAGAAACATATAAAAAATCCCTTTTAAATTTCATTAGCCTGATTTTTAACATGAGTTTTAGGAATTGAAGAATTTTCATATTTTTTTGAGAGCCCTCCGTCATCTTGAGGGAATTCAAAAAGTTTATCTTGGCTCTAAACATGTCTTCTTTAACCTGTAGGGTATGAGTTGTGGACCTTTGTTTGGCATAGAAAGAAGTACGATGGAAAGAAGATGAATTAGGAAGGAGTGTACCTGTTTTGGATAGGTTCAGTACAAACCCATCTGACTACTATAAAGAATATCGAAATATCAGCAGGTCTAAATCTTTCGTGGAACACTAAAGGTTTTTCACAGAGAAAGTAGGGTAATTTTAGAAAGCCTAAAATTGTTCTTCTTTAAGAAGCCAACTTTATTGAAAGTGCTAAACCTAAAGTAGGATTCAATTTATATAGTAAAGTCTTTCGAAAAAGAAGGAGATGGATAAAAGTGATGACATTGAATTTGAAATGGAAAATGCTCTCTTGATTACAGATAAAACGTTTTTTAAATTTACCAAAGAAGCAAAAAAGTTGATGCTTTTAAAATTCTAATCTACCATGATAGTCATAGTAGGGCAATCTTAACCTAGTTATCAAATGGAACAATAAAGAAAACTATGATGTGTTTTATATGAAACGACAAGAAGAAGCAAGATGGTAAGAAAAAAAGATCACTTGATTACTTAATGATGCAAAAAAGGACTTATGATTAGACATGCTAAAAATTTAGACTATAATGACATGTCCGATCAAGACCTCATTATTCATATTTCAATATTATAGGAAGATCACTTTAGATACCTCTGATTAACAATAAGATGTTAAGATAAGGGATTGAATGTCTTGAATTGGGACGGTGTAAGTAAATATAAGAATATTTAATAGCTCTTCTTTATATTCTGATTAACTATTTGAAGGAACCAGGTATTAGCTATTCTCACCACATTCCAAAGTATCATACAGTATCTTTTAACATTCAACAAATTTAAAACCCTTAAAAATGAAGGATCTATTCTGAATGCAATATTTATCCATATTGGAGATTCATAATTGAATAGAAAAAAATCATTTCTTTATACATTAAGAATTTTATTACAATACAAGGCGATTTCAATGGGCCTTCAAAATCATTCGCTCACGATGTTGTTTTGTACTCTGAAGATTATTTTAAGAAGGTTAAGGATGAAAAAATAAATTTGAATTATTTTACTTGCACGAACTTCATTTACTCACAACAGTTTGGTAGGAAGAAGGAGAGTTTCTTTTCGATGTCTACTAAATTTGTCAACTTCCGTATAAGTTCTCTATATAACTTGTATTTTGAAACAAAATGCACCCCAAAACGATGGCTAAGGGATAGTTTCACTCAATTATGATTTAGAGCCATTTTTTCAACATCTTAGAGGCACACTTGTAGAGAGATTCAAAGCAAATTTTCTGACCTTAATAGCTCATATTAGCATTTTGATGTATTTTTCTTATTCATTCTAATAATAGTATCAAAAATTATAGGAAATTAAATAACACTTTTTATCAATATAAAATATTCAAAATTATTTAAATTTCTAGAATGTATATGTATAACAACAGAAAAGGGATTTGAGTACAACATAATAAGAATAAAATTAATGAAAATTAAGTAAGAAAATAATGAAAAAGTATTTGTAAGATATATAAATAAAATTCAGCTTCATTTGAAGCAAAGTCGTTGTTAAAATAGAGTGTTTTTTGATTGTAATTTTCATTCCAAAATGAAGATACCAGTATTTGACAATAAGTTATTAAGTTCCTTTTAAATATTTTAAATTCTTAATATTTTGAAATCCTCAAAGATACTGCAATTAGAACTATACAAGTTGTATCTACAGTTTAAATGATAAAGACAATTAATATAAAAATAGCAAATTGTGATGTTTGATAGTAATATATTAAATATAAAATTAAAGATCTTTAAATGTCTAGAAAAAGAATAGAAGCTCCTCCTTTAACGGAGCGATCTTAGTATCGTAGAATAAGTTAAAAAAGTGTGGATGAATTAAATCAAGTGAGATATCATAAATGAAAATTAGACTCTACATGCTAGGATTAACAGCATGGTTGGACTTGATGAATAATTAACTAGCAAAATTAGATAGCTTCAATCAGCCTCTCTTACACCTAAGGATTTATCATCAATTAGTTTGTCATTATAAGACATGGTTAGCACTTTGTAAAAGGTTTCGTATAATGAGATAATGTACAACTAATTAGTAAGAGAGAATGAGAAGTTGAAAAACGACCAATCTTATTTGAAAGCTCAATTGTTTAAATTCAATTCACTTATACAAAAAATGCAAAAAGAACATTCAGTACTCTTAGAGAAGATTAGACAGCAGGAGATGGACATTAATAATTTGAATAAAAAGCTTATAGCTGAGTAAAAAATAAATGAAGAAACTTGTAAAATCTATATTGAAATATTTAGCAAAGAAATTAAGGAGATCAGAATAAAGAGTATAAATTATTCTAGAGTCAAATATAACTTTACAAAAAGATCAATTGAAAAATAACTTAATTGAAGCATTGTCAGAAAATGAACACATAAAAAAGGATGCAATCCAAAAATAGAAGGATTATTAAAAGTAATCAAAATAACATTATAGTTAAGACTTTAAATGGCAAATAATGCATTAAATCAAAAATTACAAAGATTGAATAATCGATTTTACATAAGCGGAAAGGCATAAAATGAAGAAGAGTTCATAGATTAAGAGAAGATGGTTATAACATTCACAGAAATTCCAAAGAACTTTGTATTTCGTCATGTATTTTAAAATCAGGAATGCAAGTGTAATGAATTAAAAATAACAATAGAGTTTATTTAATCAGCATTGGAATTTTCAACTGAAGATTTCATTCTGCATATCAATTCATTGAATTAAGAGAGTAAAAAAATGTAATTAACATGGTTATTTAATCACATGGTGAATTATAGAGAATTTAGTTTAGCACACAATCATTTTATCACAAAATTAGGCTAATTAGTTTAATTGACTAACTTTGATGAAATGTATAGTTTTATAACAACACTCTCCAGCTTCTTTAAAGTTTCTCATATGTATCTATGGCTAAGAGACTTTTAGACTGGATTCTTCATTAATATGTGCGATGGAAAATAGAGAAAAATCATGTGCACTAAAGGAGCATTTAGAGATAGTCTTGAATCCAGAGAATCAGTCAATAAATTAACAGCTCATAAACATATGATGTATTAAAGCGATAAAGGAGAAGATGTGTTCTAAGATAATACTTACATCTTTCCTGTTATTACTGATTAAGCATTGCCTGCTGGTGTAATAGAGTTTAGTCATCCTACTCATAGCAATAATTACAGTGACATCTAATATTTTGCATCCATCCTTGGTTTATTTGTTAAATTGACAATCCAAAAAATAGACGAAGAAATTCATTAAAAATTCTTATTAAAATAAATAGATATATTGCAAACTGAGTTTTTGAAGTTAATGAAGGCAAATGATAAATTTAACTTTTGTGAATTGGTGAAAGTTATGCAGAATAAGATCTTGTAATTATCAACAAGTGAAATAGTCTTTGTTGAAGATAATAGTTTATGGAAATACTACAACCAAAATATCAAAAAGTTAGAAAACATTGCTGGAGTATGTGGATAGGTGGCTATCAGTTAATCACCAGCTTATTTTGCAAATATCTCAAAAGAACTCAATTATAATGAAATAATTGATATGTATTCAATTGCACCTATTTTCATTTATCCTATAGTCCACAAAAACAAAACTCATGCTATAATTTAGTTATCCTTGACAAATAAATAAATTGATAAATATAGATTCAAAGACCCCTTGATAAGTCTAACTTAGATATCTAATTAAGCTAGATTATTTTGTGACTATGTTACAACTGCATACATAAACAGATTTTTATGAGAAATTAATTTGCATGAAATTCTATTTATTTTTAAATATATTTATAAATCCGATTAACGGATTAATCCAAATTTTAAAATGCTTTGTTGCCCTCTCTTAAATTCATTAAACAACAGGAATATTATATTAAATTTAAAAATGAAAAGAACCGACACTTTAGTTAACAAGACATACTGCCTGATTCTATTTCTGCTGATTTGTATCATTATTGCTCTCATTCCCCCATAAAATAAAATAGATAATAATACTTTCGAAATATTTGAAGTTGAAGTGACTGAATAAGAAGTTAAATACTACTTAGAGAATGATATTGCCTTCAATGATACTGACCAATTCGGTATTGAGACTGTACAAAATTGGTTACCAATCCAATCTGAATTAGCTCAACTCAATTTGGCATTGGATTATTTCCAACGTTTAAACTTGGATAAACTGATTAAATAACATTATGAATATTAGATTTAAGTAGATTAATGTCTCTAATTGTCATTAAATTAGGATCTCATAATTTTCCTTAATAAATTTAATTCAACCACCAATAATGATACTTTAATAGTAGATTAAGTGAACAATTTGTTGAGTACAAGAAATCAATTGCATGAACTATATTTAGAGAAGAAAAATTAATTAGAAAATTATTAAAATGAGGAAAGAACCTTAAAATCCTTGATTATAGAATATGAAGTAAACGATCAAGAATAAATTATTTTAAATAAGAAAATATCCAATTTAAACAAATTGAATTACATGATTGATTCATCAAATAAAGAGCTTAAAGATTTAAAAGATAAAATAATATATCAAAAATCACTTGAAGAGGATGAAGACTTAAGTGAATATTATAAGAAGGATCAAAATCAAGCCAGAAAGCTAAGAGAATTATTTAAACCAGCTTGTACAAAATCAGTAGAAATACATAACGAATAATTATATGATCTTGTAAACGTGTTAGATTAAAACATTAAATAATACAAGAAACCAACAGAAGTCTATTTCAATGGTTTGAACTTCTCTCCAGAATTAAGAAGAAACACTTTAGAAGAACTTCAACTTCAACATTCAAGAATTTAAAATAAATTAGAATCGTAATTGAAATATCAGGATGAGTTAGACAGAGAGATTCAAGAAATTTAAAGATAGAAGAAGGAGAAGGGGATTTAATACTCAAATATTATGAAGAAATTAGAAATAGTTAGAAATAATTAGAAGGGTTTAGAAAAAGATTATTTGAGTGCCAAGTTGTAGATTGAAGATATAACTAAAGAAATCAAGAATTTTATGCCAATGAGTAATAATGAGAACAACCAATTAATGAATATTCAAAATCAATATAAATGTAATAATGATCTTATAATTAATTAGAATATTTTTATGAGCATTTAGATTAAGATCAAAAATGCGTTGAGTAATGTATCTAATACGACTCTATAAACTAATAATTGTATATGGGAAGATATAGATAATCCTTGAATTTGATACAGAGACATTTCTATGAATTGGATAAACTGTTTAATGAATTTAAAATATGAAAATCTTTAAATAAATGATATCATTTATTATTATATAATTATAACTATATCTATTAACTTAATAAAAATCGATAAATATTGATATTATTCTCTCTTTTTCAAATATTTGATTTAAAATTACAGATAATCCAAATACTTATTCATTTATTATTCGTAAAATTAATTTATTAAATTATTTATTATGAGGTAATTAAATGAGGAAGAGACTAAAATATTTTTCGAAAAATTGGGAGAATATATTGGAGCAAATATTAAATTGCTAATTGAAAATGAAGATGATCCTCATGTTTTCAGGTTGATCAAGAATAAAGTCTATTATATGTCATTGTAAATTGCTAATTGGGCAACCAATGTTGGAAAAGACGAATTATTACAGTATGACATTAAAATTATGAAAGTGTTGGCACATATTTTGGAAAATTCACAAAAACCAAAAAATTTAGATTGAACATCACATGTTTAGAGATTTTGGCCAAATATGCTAAACATAAAGTTTGGTTAAAACCAAGTGGAGAACAATCTTACCTTTATGGAAATCATGTGATTAAGGGTATATAGCAATAATATTCCTTTAGCTCATTTAGCTAAAATGTCTGAAAACATACCTTAGTATGCAAATGTCATCTTATTCTCATTATAAGAAAATCCTTTAGGTTTTGGAGTAGCATCAAGATCAACATTGTAATGCAAAGATTTAGATCCCACTACCGTTGTGGTTTTTAATTAAGCAGATTTAGGTGAATATTTAAGATCAGAAGATGATAAAAATGTTGAAAAATGATGTTTACTATAAGTATGTAAATTTTGTAAATAGAAATTATTTGCATCTTAATATTTCTCATATCTCTCTTTAATATGGATATATTTTCCATTTAAATTTATTCTACATATCACCATTTTTATCATATGTTATAAGTACTCACATAAACTACTAGTATTTGGAAATCTTGATTATAGTTATATAATGAAATAAAAGTTTTAATCTAATGTAGATCTAATATACCAATTGATGAATTGGATTAATAATTAATCAAAAAAATATTTTCATGGATCTCAGGATAAATTATATTACAAAATGATTAATAAATTATATTACAAAATGATTAATAAATCATATATTAAGCAATCCCAAATATTTAATAGAATTTTGTTTTTATATGCTATTTAACCATTCTTTCTCTTTAGAATGTAATAATAAATATAAATTAATAAATAATTATATGAAATAAAGTGATCCATCTTTTGTTTTTAAAAGAGTAAAAGAACGTTCAGTTTAGATTGTTGTAGAAAAAGTGAAGGAATGGAGAAATTTATTTAAAAATGGCAAGTACGATAGCTAGGGAAATCTAAAAAAGCTTACCTTACAATAAGCTGCAGAGGAAGTGGGAATTCCTAAAAAAACATTGGAAGACTATCGCTAATTAATAAAGTATTGTATTATTTAATAATTAGAAAAGCAAAAGAGATTTAACCTATTGAATAATTATATGATCATAAAATGGGTTACTTGAGGTAACTCATAAAATAGAACTAAAATTTAAAATAACATATTATAGAAAGAGAAACTGAAGATTTAGAGGATAAGGATTTTAATTTTGATCATCAAAATCCAACACAAATAGAATAAATAGAGTGTGAATTTGAAAAATACTTTAATCTTGGAGATGATTATCATTTTGATCAAAACTCTGCCGTGATGACAGTTCATACTAGATTTTAACCAACCTAGGTTATACATAAGAAAGTTGATCCTTAGGAAAATGAAACATTGAGTTGCGATTCTAATTCTCAAACTGATGATGAAGAATACTGACTTTTGTAATTTAAGACTTTATATATTAAATCTCATTAATTTAAAAATATAAAGTAAAAAAACTTAATATAATTTTTCAAGCGTAACTATACATCTGGCTTTACAAGACCAGCATTCTTTTGCCATTCATTATGATATTTAGCAATTCAAATAATCTCATTTCATTGTCTAATTTTTATGTTTTAATCTTTCCTATCAACATAGATAAATATGGGTCTTATAATTCTATAAGTTAATGATTAGCAATTACAAATCTAAGTAAGTTAATAAAAGTGATTAGTTAAACTATTGGTTAATTGTTTAATTTTGGAAAAACATGATAAATTGGATATGTTATACCTAAACTCAAATTCTTAATCTGGTTTCAACACAATAATGATTAAATTGCTTTAATCATCCTAAGACATTGATATAAATTTCATACAATATATTTTTATGAAAACTTCTATATCCTCTCCCAAATCTTTTATTGTAATAAATTCATTCTTATGTATTGAATTGGACTGAAAGTATAAATATTTCAAATACTTTTGAATATTTGTGATTCTATGAATTAAGATTGATTCAATGGCAAAATCTTAGGTTAAATTTGAGCTACTTCTTCTAGTAGTTAAATCAAAGCTTTTCTATTTGAGCATATAAACTTTTTCTTTCTCTGCATCATCATGTCTAGAGAATGATTGCACTTTTTTTAAAATTGAATAGTCTTTAAAATTGATGGAATTCTCAGATTTTCCCAATTAGTGCATTTATCAATTATTTTATTTGTAAAATTACGCTACCTATTTTTATAATTATTAATTACACAATGAGGAGAAATACTTCATACTCACAGTTTAGAATCACATTTTGATATAAATGAATTAGACCTCTTAAGAATAATTATATTTATAAGTAGATTCATATTTCTATCCTTTAGTCTTATAAAATGGTTTTATATTTCATTTTATCAATATAGATCAAATTATATTTCTTAGATAAATTTCTACAAGAAAGTAATTTTTATTTAATAGATTTATATAATAATAATTATTAATTAATTGGAGTACTAAAAATTGGAACAAATAGAAAACAATTAGAATTTAAATAATTATATTAAATTATTAATTATATGAAAAGAAGCATTGCCTCTGTTAAGGATTTAGCTGATTATTTCAATGTAGCAATCTAGCACAGAGCAAACAACACAATTGTGGCTGGATAGTATGTTGCAAGAAAAGTAGTGATCTTATAACTAATTAGATAAGGTTTCAATAGTTTCCTTATTTATGCAAACTACAAAAGGGAGAGATAAGATTTGTTGTTTGATTTAGTATTTAGCAGATTTATACGAAGCTTGTATTAAATTTTCGAATATTCCTGAAATTCAAGCAGCATCATCTGATATGTTTTCTAAAAAATAGCTTCTCGTATTCGAGAGTCAATGAAAAACGGAAGAAAGATATTTAAATTTCTAAAGTTTTTTGATTCAATCAGATGCTTAAGCAACATTCATTCTAAAAATAAACCAAAGTACTATAAAATCACCGCCTCCATTATGCATATATGCAATTTCTTCTATTATATAATGGATCACATCATTTGGGGTATTAATATTGGTGTTCTGAAGTAAGAAATGTCGTTATCTAAATAGTGAAATCGTATCTTTGAAAGCAAAATCAACCATAAAAGGGTATAAAGACTCTTTTTCACTAGCAAAGGCACTGTTAAAATTACTAAAATCATTCTTTGATTATAAGATCATTTATGATAAGGAAATGGAATTAGTCAATGAGATAAAGGAGATACCAGATAAATTGATTTTTGAAGATACAATCGCAGTATAATGTGCTAACAGTTTAATTAATAGTAGGTAGAAAAGAAGAATTAAACAGCTTAATTTTATAGTAACATCACTTAGAATTGTAATGTTGTTGAGAAGATTAAAATTGTTTGGATTAAATAAAAAAATCAGCAAAATATTTTATTCATGCAGTGGTTTAACTATAACATTTATAAACATTATGGTTTAATTAATCAATAATAATGAATTGATAAATTAGAAATTGGAGAAGAATGAAAAAGAAAAAGAGAAAAAGCTTGCAAGAGTTAATTCTTTCATTCCTTAGAATCATTAATTAAAGAAAGTTAAGTCAGAACTTGATAGGAGTCTTAGGAGAAGACTCAGAAAATGAAGGAGATTGAGTTGATTTTAAATAACAATAAAAGAATCTCTATTTAAAATTTAAATATAAAATATGTTATTAAAATTTTAGATAATATTGTCAATTTTAATTTTAAATATCAAAATAAAATTAACAGTGTCTCTTGATACTTTTAACTTCGATATGATAATTCTATTTAAGAAAACATGGAATGGATTTATTGTAAAATTTATGAATGTATATATTAACGTTTAAATTGGAAGGTGAATATAAGATGTTTAGAGGAGAATCATTTTGTTCTTATTCTGATTTATTTATATACTCCAAAGAATCTCTAAAAGATCAGGAATTCTAAAGTAATAAATCATTGAGAGTTCTTTATAATAATTTTGTTAGTAGGCAATCAATTTTAGAGAAGTGTTGAAAGAGATCAATGTATAAGATTCATGAATCATGGGAATTTACTTTTCTTTTATTGCAAAAATCGAAATACTGAAAATCCTAAATTCTCACTCTAACTTCTAATTCTAATATTCTTAAGATTATTATTTATATACATGTTCTTTTAATGCTCTCTAACATGAAACATGAGTGAGCACCTTAGGTTTCTCATCCGTTTCTGATTCTTCAAAAATGACATCGTCAGGAGAATAGACAGTCAATTTTTATTATTATATTTTAGGGCCTCTGTGTCCTTCTAAGATTAATGGTTCGAGTAATTAAGGAGTTTCTTTGGGTCTTAAAATATTAATTAATCAGCAGAATACCTAATTTAAGGTTTAGGTGGAGCTTTATCATAAGTGTCCAAGTATTCTTAGTAAGTCATGGAAGAATGATATCGCTATCTTATTTCTTCTGCGTAAAGATTATCCATAATTTTAAATATAAATAATAAAATCTAAACAATACTCATAATCCATTTATTGTATCAGATGGATTCAATATATTTATTGCATCAGATGGATTCAATTTATTTATTGCATCCGATGACATAAATTCAACTTCATCTAAGGCATAATAAAATAGAACACAAGGGTGTAGATCATTATCAGATTTTGGCACATCCAATTTGAATATTGTTTTTGTCTAAGTAAATAAATGAGTTACTTTCTATTTTTTAAAAGTCAAAGTTTCATTCTTAGGGTCATAAGTGCAGACTATCACATCACCTTTAGCAAACTTGAAACACTTAACAACGTTATTTTGATTTGCAGTTGTACTTGACCAAGCACCCCCATTTGATGACACCAAATATCCACCATGTCCAAGAGATTAAAATGCAAATCCAAATTGCTTACTCTATACTACAGATAAATGACAAGCACCAACAGCTAACCAATTACTTGAATGAACATTCTAATATTTATGGCATTTATACATTCAATTTGAATCCAAAAACTGTAACCTTGTTTTTATCCAAACTTGGATTCATAACTGCAAATTTGTATCCATGAGTAGATTAGCTTGCTGAGGATATTGATCAATATAAATTACCTTTTACAATTTTAGGCTCAACTATATCTACCTAATGGTGTTTATTGTTGGGCAAGAATTAAAATTGATAGGATTATTAGACTACAGATTTTGATGTCTTCTACATCAGAAATTCTATCTATTATTGAACTCCGATGAATATTTGTTTCTCCAGTTGTCTTATACAATCACTTTAATCTTTAATGTGAAAATCAAATGCTTTATTTAATTCCTCATAACCTAGATCTTAATCAGGTAATTCTTAAATTATCAACGCATCTAATAGCTCTTTTACAAATTTTCCGAATAATTAACTATTTTCTTAGTTATTGAGTATATTTTCAATTACCAAAGCTTTAAAATATCATTATGTTTATTTACATGTATTTCCATTGTCTATTTCTCTTAATTTTACCAATTTTCGCAAATTTTCAAAAAATTATTTTTAATGATCCTAAATTTTATTCAATTTTTAAACAATTTACTATTAGAGGTCTCGAGTTTATTCTAAAGATATAATTTCTTATTCATTAATCTTTTTTACTAGAAGATCTTTTTCACTTTATTTTAAAGTTACACTTTGAAATTCTCTAAATATTTTGAAATTGCATTACCTTTGTTTTTAATCATATTCGCATAACAGTAACTTTAGTGGTTTCAGTTAATGTCCCTTATGAAATTCTTCTTAACATATGCAACAACATAATATTTGGTTTTATTAACACTCTTTCTCTAAACAAATTAAACTCAATATTTCTCCACTATGATTTCCTCCTAAGGAGCATTCTGGATATTAGATGCTCCCATATTTTTTAATATTTTGTTTATCATCTGGTTTGTTCATTTGCTTGTAGGTTTTCACCATGTTAAGCATTAATTGTTTCATTTTATTAAATTTTTATAAATTTTTCTATTTAAAGAAATTATTATATGCTAAACCTTTAAAATGAGATTAAGAATCTTACATTAAAGATATAAAAAATTAGAAATAATTATAATAAAGTAAGAAATCTAATATAATAGAAAAGTATACAATTAATGAGTAATTTGATCAATGCAGCTCTCATCATTAAATCAGAATTCAAATTTTCGATCAATCAGCCCTAAACAATAAATATCTGTCTTCTTTGTATTCTCTCGCTTGATATTGATAAAATGATTCGAATTTTAAGAAAATAATGTACTAATATTTTAATTAAATTCTTAAGATTTTTTATTCAAATAAAATATTTACACAAAACAATCATGTTATAATAATAGACTTACTCTAATTTATAAAATAGTGAACACTATTTTTCCTTCAAATTCTAAAAGTATTAAAGCCAATCTTTTTCTATTAAATATCTATTTTTTTTTTTGTATATCAATAAATCAAACTTTAGGTTGGGTAATGATATAAATTAATTTTTGGTTTGGAGTATGAATTCTTAGATTAGAATCATTTGAATTCCCCTCAAAAAATAGTAGAATGTTATATTTTACTAGAGATTACCAATTTTTAAACTGAAAGAAAATATGAAGGCAAAATGATAAACTTATAATAATAAGGTTTAAGTATTGTATAGATATAATTATAAATATTACTAATAATCAATTCAAGCAATTTTATTAGAATACTAAACTTCAGTACTTAAACTATTTTATTTTTTTTGTATCTCCTCATCTTTGCCTTATCCAATAGTTTTATGTCTTCCTTATTGATTAAGAAAGCGATCAACCTTATTTAAAGAAGAAATAATCGATTGATCACTGTTCTTACAATGTAAGAGATATTTTTACAATTTAACTTCAGGTGTTGGTTTCTAATTAAATAAGTTAATAAAATTACATATGTATTAATCCACTTATCATCATTCTCAATATTTATCTGTAATGTTTAGATTTTCATTAGATTATTATTTTCATGCGCCATTTCAAATTATGGCATTCCAAGCATTTTTCTGAATTCAACAAACCCTTTTTTGGAAATTCCATTTTCCAATCTATATCCTTTTTGTTTGTGAACCTTTCCCATAAAATAATATTTGATGTAATTAAAAATATTGTTAATTTAACTAATGTATTTTATTTTTATAGACGCCAAAAAACCGTAGAACAAATAGGTTCTTAACATAATGTTGAATAAAAATGATAAATAAAAAATGGGAAAACTATTTTAGCCTTCTTATGAAAACAGAATCATTGTAGTTCCTCAAAAAATATCATGATACTATAATTCAATTTAATCTAGAAATTACCTAGAATATTAATATAAAATCGATGCATTCGTGTTAGAATGAACCTATTACAAAATTTGTGCTCGAATTCACCCGATCTTATATCAACTTCCTTATAAAGCAATTGATTTTTGTGGTAAGAAACGAAAATAGAATTATTTTTGAATTTATAGAAACTAATATTAAATTATATCTTTGTTATTCAGAAGAACTTCAATATTTACGTTGACTTGAGTAGATGTATCTATTTTAATTTTAATTTATATTGCATTCTAGCATAAATATTGAAAATAAGTGTTTTTTCAATTTATATAAATTCTAATTTTTGATGAAAATGAAATATAATATATTAAATAATAATAAGTAATATTAAATCATTAAAGCCATTCATCTAAAGCTACCTCTTTGAGTGAGGGTCGTTCATTTTAGCTAGTATTCAAGATTTTCTTGATTAAATTTTTTAATTGGAATGACATAGTTTAAGGATATTCTATCTTTCCGCTATTGATAGATTTATATAAATCCTTATCATCATTACCTTTAAATGGAAACTGTCCTGTTGTCATTTTGAAAAGTAATATGCCCAAAGCCCAAACATCAGCAGGAAAACTATAGGTTTACTTATTAACTATTTCTGGTGCCATATATGATGGAGTCCCACAAAATATGTTAAGTCTACTCTAAGGATCAATAGCTATTGAAAATCTATTGGAAGAATAAGTATTATTTTACCCAAAATCAATAATTTTAATTTGGTTATTCAATGGATCAATAAGAATATTCTCTAATTTTAGATCTCTATGAACAACACTCTTGTGATGACAGTATCTTAAGGCATCTACAATTTAAATGAAAATGTATTTAGCCTCATTTTCATCAAGCATCTTCTGCGGTTGTTATTTGATGAAGGAATTTAATGAAGTTGCACTGTAATATTCCATAATGACATGTAATTATACTTAGGTTTCACAAGCTCCGACCAATTTAATAATATTGGGATGTCTTAATTTAGATAAAATCTTCACTTCTCTACACACATTTTTACGTTTTTGCTAATCATTAATTTTAGCCTTCTCATAAGTTTTAATAGCACAAAATAATGATCCTTTTTATGCTAATCTTACAATAGCATATGAACCTAATCCAAGTACTTTTGATAGAGTGTAATTTTCAATTGATTTTTCAAGTAAATTGTCAGGTAGCACTCCTTGCAAGATTCCTTGTTCAAGAATATTTTCAGTTTGCATTTTGACATTTTCACTTACAATTCTCATTTCTCTTTATTTTGTTTCTGGAGTTTAAAATCTTGGACTTTACTTTTTGGAAGTACCATGGTACTCGATGGGTACATTAACCTTAACAGGACTTTTTGCTAAGGGAGAAACAGACTTTTTTCCATTAGATTTGTTTAACTCATGAATAATATGTTGTAGTTCAGCTATCCTATTTTTGGCTTATTTAATATTGTCAACATTAGAAGTGTAATCTTTAAGAGGAGTTCGATTCTCAAATTAGAAATTAGGACTGCAATAGTTTATGTTCATTAACAGATAGTTATTATTAATTTTTATTTATGAAATTAATTCTTAATTGCAATTAAAAATAAATGGATTTATTTTTGATATATATTTAATTATATTTCAAAAATTATTCAATAAAAATTATCATATAAAATCATAAAAGAATTTCTATGTAGTTATTATATTATAGCATTTAAGAATTAGATAGTATCTAAAAAACAAAATTATTCATGTTAGTGTGATCATATTTAATAATAATTGAATATTATATAATTGATTTTTACAATTAATAAAAAGTTATTTGACCTGGATTTTATACATGATTACTACATTATTTGACTACCCTTCTGAAGTAATTCATATAGTAGTTTTTATTTACTAATAAATTTCTATCATTTAAATCAAATATTTGATTAGCTTCTCTAATTTTGTCTATTAACAACAAGCATTGCGTTTTTATAAGTTTTTCTTCCTCTTTAAAACATTTAAATCTTTATATCTATTGTATTTATTATTATCATCATAGCTTTAAGCTTTATTGAATGATTTATCAGGATAAATATTATTTGGTATCCTACTATATAGGATGCAATTGATTTAATTCTATCAGTCGAGAGGAAATTGAAATTTCTTATATTAAAGAGGATAAAAGGAAAAAATAAAAAGGATTTAATTTTTTTCCTCATGCTGAAATTAAAAGCAAGAAAGAAATATAACAAAGACAGTAGATAAATATAAGAATATGAAAAGATTCTAAATTAAATTCTTAGCTTTTATATATCTTTTTTTTGGAGATTTAAGTTCCTTTATTAGAAATATGATAAGCTCAGCATTCTAAATATAAGCAAACTTTCAAGATTTTTTGAAGCATTTTATTATAATATTAATATAAAAATTATCTAATATTTAATTTATATTCTTTATACATAAAAATTAAGAAACAATAACTTGGATAGTCATTGATCTAAAATTTATAACATTTTTATAGTTGAACTAGCATTTACAAGATTCCCTCTTTTAGAAATAATTAGTTAGTATCAAAAAACATTAAATAAATAAAAATTCTATCTTTATATAATAATTTGTTAAGGGATTTTTTGGTTTTTGCATAATTTAAAAAATTTAATTTTACTTTGTCATATTATGTTATGTTAAAATTATGTAAGTTATGCTTAATTTAAATTTAAATGAAGATCATTAAGTTAGCATTGACAATTTAGTAACAAATAATTCTAATAAATTTTATAATTTAAGTTAATGTAAACTTTTTGTCGATCATAAATTCAATCTTAAATCAGAAGCAGTTCTTTGACTACCCGAAGGTAAAATTTTAAGTCGTTTTCCTTATCACAATATACGAGTGAAGATGAAATCTCCAGATAAATTAGGTTTGATCCATTGATTCAGCAATTAGATTTTATGTTAAAAAAGAGAACCCCAAAAAATAAAAATATTTAAACCTTGGAATCCAAGTTTTATAATCCATTTGAATTTAAGATTAAGAATTACTAGATGATAAATGTGAGAATAATTCCCAACAATGAGAAAGGAAAGCGAAAGGCTGTAACATCATATCGGAAGCAATTGACCTCATTCAAAGGAAGAGAAAAAAGCTAATAAACGTAGTGGCAAAGGGTTTCTTAGGAATTTAGTGATACCTATATGTGAATAAAAATAAAATTTGATTATGTCAGCAAAGTTATTAACAAATTATCATAAATTTTGCTTTGCAAAAAATCAATGGACTTTGAAATCTTAAGAGAAGAGCCTCAATTTGAATAACTTAGATTTTCTATTTCAATACAAGTTCTTTTATTCTTGTAAATAAAAGAAAAATCTTAAAGTAATTGATTTAATACCCATTCAATAAATAAAATTTGTTTTCTAGATTAATATCAAAAATTACTATTCTCGTTATATCAACTCATCTGACTGTTATTAAACATTCCTATTTGGATAATTATAAAATAAAATTAACAATTACAACTTTATTTAACAATTCAACACAAATTTCAATTTGGATAGCTATAAAATTCAATATAATAATTTCTTGAGGTCATTATAAATTGAATTTTAAAGATTTTTCTCTTAAACATTTTTATTTCAAGTTCCAAAAATCAAAGAATAATAAATAGACAGTTATTAATAATTCTTTGAGAATTTAAGAGAATGGAAATGAAAATCTTCAGATTATTAGACCATCTTTGACAACTGTTAAATAATAGTAGAATTAGCAATTCTGTGGCTACATTTAATAATATTATTTAAAAATATATTTAACATTATCATTTTTTCTATAATTATGTATTGATTTTTTGTGCTAATTTCACAATTTCATTGAGATAAGTAGGTGATATATGTGCAGACTTAATATCACAACTTTCTAATTTATTCCTTATATTAACTAAATCATAGAAAGGTACCATTTCAGTAATATCATTATTGGAGTTATATCTTTTTAATTCTTAAAATTCATTTCTATCAGTTTATGCTTTAGGTGATTAATAAGATCCCTAAAATGGTATAAGTAAAGATTAAGGACTTCGTAAAGGATGTCCAAAACGATTACTATCAAATCTCTAAGGAGAAGTTGTTATAGTTTTTATTCTAAAATAAATTTTATTTTAACTTCTATTGCATTCCATGATAAGTTTCAGGGGATTATAAGTGTTTTGGAGAACAAACACGGGAATCTGGTTTGAACTGATTAACACTGCCATTTTACCATCTGCTACTAAATGAATCAAGATTTGGAGCTCTACAATAAAATTAAAAATTACTTTAGTTTGTATGATTTTCTTTGACTACTTAATTAATTGCTTTGTCCTATCTTTGTATTTGAAGAGTTTCTTTAGTATTTATCAGTTATCCTTTCTCTAAAAAGTTTAAGATTAAAATTTAATTAATCACTCATATAAGTTATTAAACAAATAATTTTAATAATATATAGTAAATACTAATAACATAAGGGGAAACCAACAAATCGTCTTATTATTATAGCTTAATAAAAGAAAAATTGAGTAATTCTTATTTTAGAATAGTTTTATATAAATATTAAAAATATGAATTACAAAATAGTGATTATCTTGTAGTATTTGATAAGAAGATATAATATTTGTTGATGATTATGATTTGTTATTTCTCAAAGTTTTAGTAGAACAATTTATATATTTTAATAATTAATATTCATCTCCAAAGTATAGCATTTCCTCCTTGATCAGCTGTTATCATAAATCCATTAGCTTTGAGGTAAGCAAATGAGACAATTCCATGTTCATGTTTCTCTATTTTGGTAAGTACCTTAGCCTATTGTATTAATGTTAAACTTATTGATTTATCGTTGCTTACGCTTGCTATAAATCCTGGTTATAACCTAATGTATTATGAAGCCATACATAGAAATTTTAGTAATTTTATCTTCGTGTAAGTTTAGTTATTTCATAATTACAGCTCTTCCATTTTACCATTAGAATATTTTAGCAATGCCCTTCTCGTTACCAGTAATAAACTTTTATTAGACTGTCTATTTCTTTTTTGAAATTAGTTAGTCGATTGGGGAAACAGCATAGACAAGACAATCATCGTTGATGTATTAAAATGGATTGATATTGGAAAATGGTAATGATATTGATACAGTTTTATCATTATTTGCAGAAACTAGAATACAACCATTTAATAGAGTGAAATCCAAGACTTGTTGTCCTTATTTTAGTATTTGTTCTTCAACGAGTTTTAAATTAGTGTCTATCTTCCACAATTTAATAATTCCATCATCAGAACAGGAAAGTATTTACTCATCGATATCTATGAATATGCTATTCATGCTTCCAGTCTAAGATACTTGACTGCCTAGTTAACCTACCGTTGTGTTATTGTTACTAAAGAAGTTTTGTGAGAATTGAGGATTGATATGCAAATATTTTATTTTTCTAATCGAGTTGTTATGAGCCTATGATACAATAAATGTTGGCTTCAAACTTTTTAAATCCCAACTACATAATGAATTACCTGTTTATGGAGAATATCCACTAGAAAGTAATACCGATTATCCATTAAATTAGAAGGCTCTCAAGGAAAAAACAAATATCCCATGTTTTAAAACTTGAGTAGGTTTTTTTAAATTTACATTGTAAATGATAATAGTTCCATCAATAATTGCTATGGCTGCTAGGTTTTCATTAACAAAACACACATCAATAATATTTTTATCAGATGGTTTAAAAAAGTGAAAGGGTTCCCATTCACTCAAACTCTTACCATCTTATTTTATTTTATATATGCTTTCTTCTAAACAAAATGGCTCATTATTCAACAGTTGATATTATTTTTAGATGGCTTCTATCTCACCATGTTATTTATAAAGATCCATCAGATTTTGGATCTTCTCCAAAAACAATTAACTAACACTGACTAGTTTGTGTTGTAATTTGTCAGCCTTTTTAGGTAACACTTGTTCAGTCTTGACTATGGCACTCAACATGTTGTCTATTAACTATTTATTGTTAATGAACTTGATTCCTAATATGACAGCAGGGTTATTTGATGCTATTTTTCTAAAAAAGGTAATTTAAATAATATACTATACAGTCATCATATGTATAAATTGATCAAAGTACTCCTTAGTAAACTATCCTCTCAACTCCTTAGGAGTAGAATCTTCTATTAAATGATATTTGACGAACATATCTTTAACAGTAACAATTTATTCTGTTAATGTATTTTTAATGTTATCTCCAGCTGTACTAAATAGCTTTTCGATCCCTTTGTGGATACTTAAGTCATCCCAAGGAATAGCCAATTGTTCAATGATCTCCTTATTCATAATCCTACTTAGTCTAGCACTAAACTCACTCATCTTCATTCTGTCCACACATTTTGTGTCTATTAAACAATCTGCACACATTTTTCTATCCTTATGTTGACAATCTATTTTCACACAAATGGCTAACACCTATCTAATTTTAATTGAATTTTACTTCTTAATTATGTGCCAAACACTTGAAGTTTATTTTCTGTTGCTATTATTAGTTTTACTAATTATTTAACTGTTAAGACTCCTTTGGAGAAGTGATATTTGATTTATCTTCATTCTATTTAATTCTGCTTTGTATATTTGATTAATCCTTATTTTGAGCGACTCTCTTGTTCATTAATTAGGGCTTCTAATCCTCGTCTAATAGATACTCCATGGGGGTGGTCAATAGGTGAAATAAAAACTATAATAAGTGTTAATCAATTACTTCTATTGCTGTCAAATATTTGTTTACTACTTAATTAAACTTAAATACAAAGTCATTTGAAAATTCTGTTATTTTATTTTTCTTCCTCTCTATTTATTCGCACATTGTCTCCACTACTCCTTTGTTCTGAATTAAATAGATTGCAAAATCTAGAGTTTCTGAATGAGCCTCATTTGCCTTATCTAAAATAGTCATATTATAATTGTGAAGAGACTCTCTAAAATAAGCTCAAGCTAATGTATCGTAGACTCTTTCAATTTCAATGGTAGTTTCTAAGAGGCCCAATAATAATTGGTAATCAAAATTGGAACATATTGTTATCCAATAGATGACAATTTAGTTAACACCATCTCAATCACAGCCGTAATTTGCCTATTCAAATCAGACTTAACCTGATTCTTCTCATCGAACAATTCCATAAATGCCTCCTATGCATCCTTTGATAAACAGCTTCGTAAATGTCTGAGATAATCTGAAATTCGGAGTTTCTTGCTACAAGGATAATCTATCAAGCATTCTACACATAAAATTTTATTATTGTGTTAGCAATCATCACACATACAAACAGCTTTTATTGGTTCATCAGAATGAACTTGACAATTATAACTATCAACTTATTAAGTTTTTGGAGTTTTCACTTATTGTTGCTGTTACACTCTTTGAGATTAAGGAGCACTTTCACTTATTTCAACTTTTTTTGGAGCCCTATCGCTTTATTTACCTCTTGTCGGCTTTTTCTTTGGTTCCTAACATAAAACAGCATTTCCCATTATTTTAATTTTTAATATATATTTTATTATCACAATCCTTTCTGCTTTACTCATTCAATCAGTTTTCATTAATGTCTGGCATTTAAAAGAATTCAAAACCCTAGGGATTCTTACAAATTTACTCTCCATAATAAATTATTTGAGTCTGCTCTTTGCATTTTAATATATTATTTGCAAGTAGATTTTTAATACAATTTAGCTTTTAACAACTTTAAGTAATTATTAATCTAAAGAATTTTAATGATAAATGAAGACTGTTTATTTAAAGGAGCATGTCAAAATTTATTTTAAATGTTATTTATTTCTAGAAATACAATGTTGTGCATATTTAAATCTTGCATATGTAAAATATAAAGTTCATTGTAATTTAACCTCTTAAATAAATCCCCAATTTTTCCCTGTTATCCAAAATGAATCAGTATATTCATTATATGCTATACCATTCAAACATTCATCTCTTTTTTTCCTATTAGCATCTTTAACCAATCCTTGGAAATCATATGTTGCTATGACTTTCTTATTTTCTAAATCTATGGCAACAATCTTGGATGTTAAATAGATATTTGCAAATAAGGTTCCATTAACATATTCCAATTCATTTAAGTTAGTGACTGGCTTCTTTTTATCATCAAATATCTAAATAGACTCTTTAACATTAAAATTTTCATCTGCTATATGCACTTTATTGGAACCATCTGTTATCAACACTTAGATTTCTCCGTTAAAAACTCTGTGGGTTAACCCCCATCCTGCCTCTACTTTATCATCTAATTTCATCTCATTTATAAAACTTAAATCCTCTGCATTGAATACATTTCTTGAAATTATTTAATTATTCTTACATTTTTCTCTCTAACCAAGTCAATTGATAAACTTTGTTATTTATTATATCGCATCCTTCTCCAAATTAATTGGATGGCAATTCATAATTAAAGATTAAGTTATTGATATCATCCAAATTTAAATAATGAATTGAACTTTTTCCATATTATCCTGAGGATTCAAGAAGAAATGTCTAATTTACAAACAATAATCCCTTAAAATCTAACTTTCAATTACCTATGTATACTGGGGATTCTTTGTATTGTCTCTATTTATTCTAGCTAAGAGTTTGTGAGTTCCTTTAAGATCAGTATAATTTTGAGGACATTCACTCTTGGAAAGATTGGATTAATCGTAACTATCAATGCTGCCCTTAATTAGGAAAACAAAAGTTGTGAGTGAAAATGCTATTATAGAAAAATATGTCAAGGCTGTGGTCTTTTTCATCTATCCTTCTTTTTTATGATAAGAAATTCTTCTATTATCTTATATATTCATAAATATATTTATAAAAATAGCATCAATCATTTATTTTTTACAAAGACATTATTTCATAATCCAACTCAACTGTGTAATTTTTAAAATCTAAATGGTTATTAGGAATTATCAAATTAATTGTTAGCTCTATACAAATTTAAAAATAAGTATTGCAATTTATATCCAAAAACAATGGTTTATATGTTTTTAAGATTTCCCACTTAGAAGGATTCTTCAGTTTTACTAACCTTGTTAAGTAGGCCTTCCAAACAATTTTAGATTATGAACATTAGCTTATTTCAAGTATCCAATTTCTAGAAGGACTGTAAAGCTATTCTATCTTTAAATAATATTCCTTATCTTTTTTCTTAACAACTCTTATATCGTATAATGAATATTAATTATCTTATTAAACTAGAAGCTATGAGTAATTATGATAAATAGGGTCTATGGGATACTAAAATTTATTTCGTTTTAAAAGATAACTTCCAGTTTGAATCAAATATAAATGGACATTTTAAAAACTATACTCAAAAACTAATTAATAGGGCCAGGGCTTTAAAGACGCTTAAGAATGTACCAACTTAAATTATATCGGATATGATTTGAATTTTTAGGTCTTTAAGTCAACATTAACTACCTCAATATAGTTCTTATTATTATCAGATCTAATTAATTATTCAATTTACTTCATAAATTCACCACCTATAAGAAAGAATGATAATTAATGCTCCTCAATTTTAAATCCATTGTTTTAACAAATTTAAGGACATCTTCTATTCCTAATACATCCCAAAAGATCCTTTGTATTTTCATCAGGCACTCGTTAGTATTCTTTAAATTCTTCAAGTTCCTCAAAATCAAATATTAGAATTCCATCAAAAAATTTAGACTCATGAAGTGATTTCTCATGGCCATAAACAATAATTAAGTATTTACCAATAATCAATATGCTTGGTTCGATTAAATGTTTTGGTACATTTGCATGAAGGCTAATATGTTATTTAAATAAATTACAATTTTTATTTGATTAGGCCATTGATTATATTTTTAGGGATAGTTGATATCTCCTAATAAAAAATTGATTTAGTATTCTGATCAAACAAAATAACATAATTTAAATGGTAAAAGCAATAATAGTTTGTAAATTATTTACATGAAAGGTAAATGTCAAATGGAATTATCCATGACATAAGATCATTTTCTAATCTAATAGGAAATTGATAGACCTCATAATACTACGTGAATCTATCATATAGTATGGCTTAAGTTTTTAAAAATTAAGTTTGTTTTTACATAAATGCATCTGATTGATAAAAGGATTTGTACATTAAATTAGCCCAATTAAAATTCTCTTAAGGAGTATTATCATTTAAAGTTTTTGTTTTCATCATTTTAAATCCAGATATACCTGATAAAACTGCATTTAAATAGGAATTTTATAATTCAGTATCTAAAACATCTTTATTATTTATTGTAACTTTGTAACACGGATACACAATCAAGTTTGCTTTTTTTTAAAGTTATCTTAATAAATATTCAACCCCTTCTAATTAAATTTAAAACTTATTTGAAATCTACAGATCTAAATAAATAAATTATGGTTAAAAAGAATTAATTATTGGTAACAATAAAGTAGAATAAATTATTTGAATCTATGATTATGACAATATTGACTTATAAAAAATAGGAAAGATTGTTTACTGATTTGTATTTTTCTTAACGTTTATCATAGTTTGAAAAGAGTTATATTAAGCTTTGTTTTGATTTTCATTTGTGAATTCATTTTCTTATTATTAATCAGAAGCTATATGATATCGAATATTATTCTTTACCGTTATAGTTAAGGGGATATAATGTAATAAATTTTGATAGTTTTTTATTTTTATGATGACTCAAACTCCAAAAATCAATGTGTTTTTAGTAGGTTTCTCCTGTAAAATTTATATATATTGAGCGTAAACTTTTCAACTTATTTTAGCTATAATCTTAGAATAATAAATTTTAAACGAATGAGCTAACATGTAAAAATCTCCAACAATATTTATTCTCATTCTAATTCAATAAAACGACATGCTGAAAGTTTTCTTTGGCTTTATCTTCATCTGATTTTTATGAAAAATTTTTTAAAATTTAATTTATGCCCTTATAGACTTCTTAAATCTATTAACAGAAATCGCTGATCTCTTCAGATTTTTGAGCCATCTCATTCATCCATGATGTTGCCTTAAAATTAAAAATTTTTTACAGCTTAATATTTATCCTGCCCTTCTTATTTGCTTGATTCATTATTAGCTAATTTTGTTAGCCATAGAATTTCTTGCATAATCCTCCCTAAAAATGATTCATCATCCTCAATTTATTTATAACCCATAATAGTATTTATCTTATGATCCTTTGTAAAATTTTAATATTAATTTTTTTAAGGCTGTTCATATTTGTTGCATTATTCTGTCATCTGATAATTTTATTCATTGTTAATGAATTAATTAATTACTTTTGTTCTCTTCTGATAATTAAAATCTAATTTGTGAACCTTATATACATTCAATCTTAGAGACACTTATCTTATAGATATAAACTAATTATTATTAAATTAATCTTCTTTATCAATTTATTGATCATCATTTAATTACATCCCTTTTTCAATATAATTTTTAATAATTAAAATTTATATAAAATCTAAATGCATATACTGGCAACAGGTTCAGGTTTAATCTCATGAAATAAAGATTGTTTTGGGAATGACCACAAGAAACCCCACTTTGATCTTAATAATACTTTCTTTTCATTATATTGTAATTCAATGTTCCCTGTGGATTAATCTAAAATTGCCAAGAATGAATTAATATATCATAATATTAAATAGAGAAGATATATCTTTGAAACATGATATATTATTTCTATTTTATTCGAATATAATAAGCGACCACAAAACCTTAGTGGAAGATTAAAAAATCCCTAAATTTAAATTAGTAATTTATGCATCTCTTAAACAAACAGAGGTATCTTTCGACATTATTTTAGAAGAGTAATTTTCTGACATGTGCTTATTAGAGCAACTATATAGGATCTTTAATTTTAAATATCTAAGTTTTATAATTTAAAATACCTTCAATAAAGTAATAGGAAATCAAATTTTAATAATGGCTAGTTTATTTTATCTCTTAACTATAATGTGTTATTTATTTTATCATATTTTGTTCTTAATAACTCATTTAATAATATTGAAATTTAAAAGATAGCAATTTGCTTGTACTTAATCTTATTAAGACTTCTTTAGTTTAGATGTGTGATTCTTAAAACTATTGAGTTAATATTGGATTTAATTTAATCAATTTGTTTTATTCTTCATTTTTTCATTTTGAGGTCTTTTTCAAACTCATTTTTGATATTAAATATCAAATAAATATGAGATGTATTAAATTGGAAATTTTGATAATTATGCATTTTTGCAATAATCATAATCAATGTTTAAACATTTTCCCAAGAATGTCACTTATTTTCCCTTCGAAGTCACAACTAGGTTCCAGGACCATTTTATGAAAAGAATCTACCCAAGTGCTGCCTCCTTGATATGCCTGTTAAAAATAATTTAAATTCAAACCTAAAAGGGAGCTCCAAAGCAATGAACACATCCTACTATGCACAGCACACAATTTACAAGTTCGAATCCACAAAATGCCATGAACAGAACGAATAATACTTTCCAAAGTGTACTTCCTATGCCTTTAAAGACTAAATAAGTTGAGTAAATCTAGTACTCTTTGACGTAATATCACATGTTCTAGCACAATTATGCAAAAAAGAGTAGTAACTGAACCACTATGGACAACAAAGAATGCACATTACAATTTTGATAGGCTATTTGAAATAATAATGAGCAATACGTCTGCCATAATACTATTTAGTTTTTTTATAAAGATTTAATTATTAGTTTATTTTTCATTATTTTACCAATCATATAAAATTTATTTAAATAAATTTATATTTGATAAGCATTAAATTTCAGTAATATATTATTGAGCCTAAAAATGCGTCAAAAAAAAACAATTGAAGAATAAAATAAAATCATCAATCACATTAAAGAGCAAAGTCTTTAGAATAAAGAATTTCATCATTTTTAATCTCTGTAAATTATTTGGAAACAGAAACAACACCTTTTGATTTCATGCCCAATTATTTTAATATTTTGTCAGTAGCATAAACCAAAGGAGTGCAGTTCTATTGATTAACAATATTTAAGCTTCCACCATTATTTAATAATAAATAAATCACCTAATTATGTATAAATCAAATTTACATCAATTTTATTCGATTTGACTGCCATATGCATAGGGGTTCCATCACTGCATAATACATTGGGATTAGCACCATGTTTTAGCATAAAATCAATTAGTATATTGTTTCCATACATAGAAGCATAATATAATGCGGTATTTCCATCTTGATCCATGACATCTATATCATCTTATGTATAATAGAATCCTGACTTTAGAATATGATTAGGCTAATTGGACTTGGAATATCTAAGAAGTCTTTCATGTTTAACAAGAAGTTGTTTCACTTTTGATAAATTTTGAGTTGTAACTAGCCTCCCTTATCTTCCAAATCCGATTGATGATGGTTCAGCAGTCTCTTCAGTTTTTAATTTACTTCTCGTTGATTTAGATAAAGAAACTTCAGATTTAATTCTGTTTGATGAAGTCTTAATTCTAATTTGAGGTTTAGAAATTAATTATAGAGTCATCTCCTTGACATTGGATTAGAACTCTTTTTCTGAATTCAGTCTAAATAATTTTTCATGATAAATTCTAAGTTTATTTTGAAAAAATAGCTCTTTATAGTTCCTTTAATTTTTTAAATGCTATTCTTTTCCGAATAGCCCTCTGAATCATAATGATTGAATTTAATTCTTTATCTGTCAACTTAGGAGGATCATTAGGATTAAGAGGATCAAAAATGGGATCTTACCTAAAAGCTTTATTAGGTCCAGAAGAATAAAATTTCATAAAGTTCTCTTTTTTATTGTTTTATATTGATAATACTCCTAATCGATATTAATTTTCTTTCTCCTTAAGTATCTTAAGTCTTTCTGCCAATTTAAGACCCTCTAAACTCTCCCAATCATCAGCTGTCATACCTTGAGTAGGAACAAACCCAACTTTAGATGAAGGATGATACTTTCTACGTTTGTCTTCTTCGTAATTATATGGTATTGATAGTTATTTTAATCTTTCTTTATGAAGTCTCAGTTTTTCTTATTCAGCCAATGTTTCTTTAACAAACATATTACTTTTTTCCATTTTAATGAATCTAAGATACTCAACCTTCTAGATTACTTTCCTAACAAAAATTAAAGCAAAGAAGTTCCTATATACTTAATCTTTGATTGAGATATTCTCTTCTAATTTTTTGCAAATTCTTTGAAGCTTCTTCACTTTTTTGTCGTGCTCTTTTAGTGTTTTAGCATGCTTAATTTATTCTTAAATTTATTAATCATGTGACTTGATTTATTGTTTTCTTATTTTCGTTTGTTCTTTTAACCATATTGATCTAGCTTGTTAAATTTAGTAATTAAGTGATTAATGATTCTAAATGATTTATTATGCTAAATAATTTTCTAAATCATAGAGTTATCTTTCCTTGATATGCATTACAACTTTCTTGACTTGCTTTTAATCTACGCATTTATTCAGTAGTTCTGAAGTATTTGCAAGAAATTTCATTTCTTATGGGGTTAACCAATCCCCATTCATATATTTTTACATTTTTACTTCTCTTTGTAGATAAACAGGATCTTCAATTTTTACTTAATCAAATATCTACATAAAAGCGACTTGATTGAAATTGCTCGAATTAATTGCTGAATTGTATGTATATTGAGCTTTCAATCTTTCCTTCTGAAATTTAGATTCAAGTAAAGGATTCCATTAAAATATGTCTGTATTGGTTTGAGAATAGAAATTATTATTTTTTACAATTTACGAAGTTTAAATAGTCTCGATGCCTGTTAAATTAACCTTTTTATTTTAGCTAATGGCTTCTGCTATTTTAATTTGATTTTCATATTCATTAATTTTTTCCATAAGCATTTCTCTTAACTTTTTTTAGAGAACCTAATATTTACTTTTTAAGGTCAACCATTTAAATAGATCATTTTGTTCTTTGCGATTTTTCATTCTTGTGAGAGTAAATTACTTATCGATCTATAATAATTGTTTGTCTTTCTTTGCTATTTTAAGAGTCCATTCATTCATTAATGAATCACATTTCTATTAAAAACTATTAAGTAAGTAGGTTTATCGTTCTTCTGGAGTTTTCATGTTACATAAAGTAACAGCTGATACATTAAATGATTGCAAGATCTTTTATGCAGTTCCAATATGATCATACATAGGAACTTGATTCTAGAACTTGTGTTTTAGAGTATCAATAATTAAACTAGACATTAGTGAATTTTGTAAAAACTAAATTACATTATTAAGTATACATCTCCATATCTGTTAACTAAAAAGTTTACATCGTTTGTTAAAGTTTAAGTAGAAGCAGATTATTTCACCTCTTATTTATGGAAGTATCGATCCACAAAAAATTTATAAAATTCCTCATGCTTTTGACTAATTTTCTTTTAGGGTTTGGTTTCTAATTCAATTATCTCATCCTCATGAGATTGATTCTCTCCATCATATGATGATTATTCAACCATTTAACTTTCCTTGATTGTTCTCTTCTTGTTTTGATTAAGAGCCAATCTTCTTTATTTTCCCTTCTAAACTGTTACTAATTTTATTGTTTCATTTTGAGCTTCATTCAAGAATTCATTGAATCTCTATTCTATTTATTCTTCTGTTTCCAAATCAAATTTTTATAATGGTCTTGCAGTCATTGGAAATCTCGATTATTGCTACACTCTTTATTTTTTCATAATTTAATAATAAAAATCAATTTTGTCTCTTAACGTTCTCTTTAAGTTTCAAATCAGATTTTTTTGAATAAATACACTCAATTCTTTAAGTCAATGTTCTTAGTTTTTGATTATCAGGAAATTTATATTTACTTGCTAAAGCAGCTAGTTTATTTACAGGTTTTTTTTCCATTCTCTCTGACAAATTTAAAATTCCTGTCACAGAAATTTGGCTTATTTTATAAACCTTGGATAATAAGACTTCTTTGTATCCATAGGGGATTGTTACTACTAGTGTTAAATAATGGATTCAGTTTTCAATTTTTATCCTATCAAAGGATTTCGTATATCTTTTGATTTATAAGGCTGTAAGTTCTGTGCCTTCTAATTAAACTCAGATGTTGTCTGAGGTGACGATTAAAACACTTATTATTACTATTTTATTGGTTTAGAATTCACTAATTTAGACAGAACTCTTTTAACATATACCATTTAAAGAAGATGATTGAATGCCATAAATTTGATCTTTGCTTTACTGCTGTCATAATTATGTATATGGTAGATGATATGAATAATTTTATATAGAATGATTTGATAGATAATAGACGAGTGTCTAAACATCTTGGAAATTTATCCAAATAAAAATCTTGATTTTATATCAAGCTATGGTTATCATATTTCGTAAATAATTTCTTTAAATCTTTCCTCCATCATCACTGCAATCACAGCTTGAGTTGAGAGCTATATCTTCAGAGATAATTGATTTAATTTCTTTAAATGATAGACTTGGATTCATTTTCGAAGTTTTTCTAGAAAGAGTATATACTATACACAACCTACCTGTTTGTAAGTTCTTTTACGATATATCTAATTAGGTTTGTTATGGTAAAATTCAAAATAAAACCCTTAACTTAAGAAAACCTTGTTAGTGATCCATAAAATTATTCAAGTAAATAATTATTGGAAATGATTCATACCTGATTCACTAAGAAATAAATTTTTTAAAATGCACTTTAATTTGTTTTTTAACTTTAATTAAAAGATTAAAAAGATTTATAGTTTTTCTAATCAAATTTCAGTAGTAGGAACTCAGGATTTTTAAATAATATTATATTTATACACATTATATAGTCATTTAAGACACTCTTTAGATATTAAATTGGTGTATGCTTAAGTTCCTGGTAAGCCTTCATCCATGATTTTAATATATAAGTTATCTTTACTAAGTTCAAACTGAGATTCCAACTTATCTCTTAACAATTCTTCAACTTATTTAGATTGATTAAGAATGGATTTGGCATCCTTCTTCAAAAGTGCATTACCAAGTTGCTGTAATCTATATAATTTGCTCTTGATATAAGCATATTGCAATTCGAAATGATCTTCTAACATTTTATAATTTCTCTTTATTCTGTCAGGAGTAACACTAAGAACTTATGGGTTATAATTGACTTCCAAAACCCACACATCTAGATTATCATCAAGTAGAAAATCAACTGCAAAGAATTCTCCAAACCTAAATAGAGAAATATCGAGTACGTGCTGTCTCTTGCAAATGAATGGTAGGTAGCTTTGGTCATATGGATTAAAGATCTATGGATTTTGGGATAAAGATAAGCTTGGAGCCATCCTTTCTTTGCTCTTCCTTATTTAATTAACAAATCTTCTAGTCCCTCCAAATACCAATCGATAAAGAATTCTTCATCTTCAATCTCATCATCATCCTTGTCTGTTTTCACTAAGTTTTTCACAATTGCTGTATTACAAACATGTGCTCCCTTTTCAGTGGAATGAACACTAAATGGTTTTGCGCATCTTTTAATTAATGCTCTATTAGATGATTTAGGATAATAATTACCTTGAATATGAATATGCAATGACTGGTTTAGTTGAAATAATAGTATAATATATTCTAAATTCAATCTTGTGACCTTTATATAAGAATGGATTCGATATATATCTTTGAGCAATTACTTATTTTGAGATATTACCACATTCTTTTCCGTGGTTATATTCCTCTAACAATTCATTTGTCTCATTTTGAAATAATACTGTAATTCCTTCTCCTCTATGTTAATTAGTTTTCAAGATGTATTAGGGCCCATACTTTTTGAACCTCTTCTAATAATCGGTTGTTTTGAATGTTTCAAAGAAGGCCTTACAATCATTCTCATCATTCAATCTATATGTTTCAGGTATGAATGACGCATTCCTCTTACACTCTGGATTAGTGATGTTCTTCTTTTCAAAATCTCGTACGTATTTCATGAAATTGTCAATTAATTAGTTTTTCATTGCCACAGAACTCTTTCCTGGTATATGACTATATTTTTGTAATGCACATCCTAATCCCTTCCCCCAAACATAGTTGTTGAATAATGTAGAAACAGTTGTATAAATAAATCCAAGTTAGAGTGGCATTTAATTTTCATATTTGTATGAGGCAGTCTTAGACGGATTCACTTTATCTAATACGGCAAATGTTCTATCTAATGTTATCTTTTTTGGTAAATTAGAAGGGGGATAATCTCTCCACACATAGTAATCCTACAATACTATATCAGGATGAGCCATTTTGTATGAGTCACTCTTTTTACAATACACAGGAGATTCAGCCACATTGTAACGAGATTGCTAAGCACTTATCAATTTGATTTACATTATATTCAGCCTTGAAGGCTGAATTCTTAACAAACGTTTGTTTTCTAATCTAATATACCTCTCCAAAGATATTCTCCCAAAAGCTTCTTACTTATTATTCCTAATTTTGTAACGCCTTTGAATTTGAATATAAGATCACTAAGATCAAAGGTGCCAAAATTCCTTTAATTATATAAGCAATTATCATTAAATTTAATTATTTTATGATTAGTTATAAACAATACCAAAAACGAATGAAAAATCAAATGTTCTTTTTATTGTTTTTAGTTGTTATATTGATATTGAATTATATTTTGCTATTTAAAAATCTAATTACCATTAAAGATATTTTAATAATTAATACAACATATGTACTCAAACCTTTTTGAAGATGAGCAATTCAACAACAATACTTGGGATGAACACTCTGATCAAATGATTTGCCCATCTCCTCTTCTGCTCGGACATCCTTAAATTAAAAAGTTCAATGATGAAGACGAACGTTCACTCATCCATCTCTAATATCATACTGATAATATGGATGATGATTATAGTCAATTCAACTAACCTTCTCAAACTAATTAAACTACTTACAAAAAGAGACTTCAAAAAATTCATAAGAGAACCTCAATTAAAAAAAATAAAAATCCACCTTCTCTAAACAGAGTACTTAGTGACTTTATTTCCTATGTTAACCTCTCAGGAGATAATGCTACAAAATAAATTCAATATTGTCAATAAATGAGACATCTTATTGACAATCTCGAAGGAATCCTATCCAAAATGAAATCATAGATTTTAAGCTAATGCCAGATCCAGATAAATTAAGAAAATTGATCTTATTCATTTTCATTCATTTAATATATCTTTCTATTGATATTTATATCTTTTAAAGCTTTTACTTTAATTACCACTTGTACCAATCTCAAAAATTTAAGCATTATATATGTATATATCAAAATTTAACAATTAATTTTTTTTGACTTATCAATGAATAGTTTTTTCAAACTCATATGTGCAATTAATTAATATAAGGTTTACAAAAATTTAAGCAGAATTTACTAAATAAATTTTTTTTTTAATTAATTAGAGGCATTAGAGTAAAAATTTAATTCATTAAGAAAACATTCTTGAAATAATATGTTTCTAAAGATTTATTTTGCGACTCTACATTTATTATGAATAATTATTTCTTTGACATGCATTTCTCAATTTTTAATAACTCATTTATCTAGGTAAAATTATTTATTATTAATATATATATAAATTATGACGTCATCTTATAACTAGATTATATGTTTTATAAACATTAAATCAGAAAGAATTCATAAAAATAAAATTTATTCCAATAAATTGAATAATATGAAGTCTCGAATATCATTATTTCAAATCGTTAATTTTGAATTTCAGAAATATATTTTAATTTTGCATATCTAAAATATATTTTTAGAAGATGAATTAAAAGATTTCATAATTTGAACTTTAAAAGTTGTCTCAAACCTAAATTAAATATCCTTAAATTAATTATTATATCGTTTAATAAACTCTAAAATGGATATAAGCGGATACCTTTATCACAATTTACCATATTAATTAGAAAATCGAGAAGAGATATAAGACGGATGTTATTAGTAAGCTTCAAAATTAAATTTCCACAAATCCCTATTGAGAATTTATAGCCCTGAACCTTCTATTCAAGGAGATAGTAATTCTAATGAAAATGATTAGATGTATGAAATTGGAATTAGGGAATTTAATATTCACAAAGAAGAAAAAAATGGAAATTTAAATTTATAAGAAAATTGCCCTTCAAAGAAAGTTTAGAAGACCAAAAAACTTAACAAAAAGAGGTAATACAAAAACAGACCTTTATCAGAGGAAGAATTTATAGACATTATGAAAAGGATAGAATAATTTCAGTGCGTTATGAAAATGATCGATCATATGACTATGATCTTGAAGGAATATTAAAACTAACTACTACATCAGAATATCAATAGGACCTTAAGATGATTGTTTATTATTTATTTCCAATTATTTGCTGTCTTCTGGACAATTTATATACAAAAATAGGATATATAATTAACTAATTAAATTATAAATGATATATCAATATTTATCAAATGAACATGAAAGCGATTTTAAAAAGACCATAAATGATTATGGATACAATAAATAAATTAATCGGTGAAGCAAATCTTCTAGGCCATTGAGTTTGTGGAACTTCACTTTGGGGTAATCCTTTTAGTTTATCTAATCCTAAACTAAAATACCACATTATAATAAAAAAAACATAAATTTCAAAATCTCTTAGTGGAGCTTTCCATTCATTTATTACACTAACTCAATAAATCTTATATTTACATTCTAGATTTGGATAATCTTCCTAGACTTTACTAGGGACTAATATTTTTTATTGGTATCGCATTAATTTTGGATGTTTAAATATTAAAATATGAACCTAAAAATTCTACTGTTTTATCATTTTTTATGCCTATTCTTTATTAATATGACATCAATAACTCTATTGCTTAAGTCACAAATTTTTTAGTATCTTTATTTTCTATTATTAGAAATTCTCCCTCATCGCTGTTTTTCACATACATATCGCAAAAATTCTTAACTTCTTAATAGGCTGGTATTTAAAAGGGTTTTTATTTAATAAACTTTAATGAATCGCAAAAGAATGAATTTTAATCATTAGATTCACAAAATGCAAATAAGTGAATTAATCCTTAATATTCTGAATCATTCAGATAATTTAAATTACTTAAACATTAAAAAATAGTAATAAGTAATTTTGTGTAGAAAGGATAATAGAGTCTTATCGAATTTTTCATTAAATTCCTTTGTGGATCTAGTTCTCTCATTTGGGAATCTAATCTGTATTCAAATTAACTAAATCTTTATTCGATTAAATGCGGTTTGAAGTACTTAAATAAAACAGTTTAAGGACAATCTCCAAATTTATTTTTACAGACTTAATAAAGAGGCAACAATTCATTTACGATAAATTTAGTTAATGGATTGCTTCCTTTATAGGAGTTTACTCTTTTTTTTTAGAGTTGTCCCAGAATTTAATTCTATGATGCAACACAAGATGAGAGAGCTTGATCGAAAATTAAGGCCTAATTATAGATGCTTTATTCTTTATTAATAAATTGCCATTTCAAAAATAAAACATAAGCTGCTATGTGTGAATATAAAGTAATTTAATTACATTACCTCTCATTAGGATATACTTCGAAAGAATGTTAAAAGAACTTAAATAAGCCTTACTAATAAGTAATTTATTGCTTTTATCTTCCGCACTCAAAAAAAAAACTTCTATTTTGATAGATAAATTAACTACTCTTATTAAAAATATCAGAATTTCTCAAAAAAGGTTTAAATTATTAATAAATAGTTTCTAAATCGGTTCCATATAATGAATTAAAATATATTGTTAGATAGATTAACATCATCTGAGTATCCAAGACAATGCTACTTGGTTTAATTTTGTATAATAATTTCTATTGATCTATTGTTAGGTTCAATTCAAATAATTTATTAACATATAGGTGTTCATATAGTGTATATTTCTTATAAAAGTATAAATCATCTATTGAAAAGTGAAAATCGACAATTGTTTTGTCTGGCGGCTTAATATTTAATTGTTTTCTTTGATTTTTTGTATACATATAATTCTAAAATTCGTCTAATAAGAACTAAGTATGGGATTAAGGTGTGGAGCTATTTTAATAAGTGGTCCTTAAGTGTTGAACTTTCCTTTTACATTTATTTAAAGCACAATCCTAACAATTTTTGAACTATTATCTGTCACATACAAAGCACTATCCCTTAAAATTAACAGCGCCCATTTAATAAATAAAATCCAAAACTATCATTTTTGCACTAACACAAAATTTTAGTTGACTTTTTTCAACTTAAATGTTCTCTTAAAATATGTCCTAAAATGCTTGAAATTATTAATTCATGTTAGCCAAAGATGGGTCTTTAAAATATAATTGTATATGCGCTGGCAATACATCTAATGAAACAGAATGGTAAGGATATTCTGATGGCAAGGCGGAATAAAATGACATCTCTTCTGGAGAAAGAATATTCAACAGTTTTATAAAGAAAAATGTATCTTCAATCGAGCCATATCTTTGTTGAGTTGTTCGAAAACTATTATTCAAAATGCCATTTGATTTGAATATAAGTTCATATAAATTTTGTTAAGATCTGAAAAATTCTTATCCATATGAGTATTCTTTTTATTTAATAAGTTCATAACTCACATTCTATAACCAAGACAGAAATTCATTGCTTGTTGCTTTTTAAGCATATTTTAATTCATCTTCAAATTTGTTCATAATTATTTATGTAATAAAATTAATTAGTATAAACTGAATAAAACATACTACAATAAACCCAATCTGAGTATGAACATCTCACACCTAAATATACTTAATTGAATTAATAAATTACATCTGTAAAAAAACAAACATAATAATTGGTCAAGAAATTACAATAAGTTCATCGTCATTAGAAGATTTTTACAGAATTCAATGTGATGTATCACTAACCGACATAAAAACTGATCTCTAGTCCTATAGAAGGCAGAGCCTTACTAAATAATTTAATATTTCCGAGTCACTCAAAAATGTTATTAAATCTAATAGATTTAAGACAGGATCAAACTATTTAAAAAGAGAATTAATTGACAAATAGAAAAAGATTTTACGTCTAATCTTATAAAGAACTTAAAGTTTAGAAAAATGAATAAAATTCATAAATCTAAAATGTTAAATTTCCATTAAATAAATAGAACAAGTTTATTTAACAAGATTAAAATATAACCAAATAATTCAAACGAAGTAGATATATCTCCTTGTAGATGTCACGAACATAGTGTTAATTATCAATAAATGGAACTTAAAGTATCGTAACAAGCAGAGATATTACACCAAAAAAGAAATGAGTGATTCAGCTTAATCTATTTAGAATTATAATATAATTGTATGTTAATAACTGTTCTTATTATTTTCTATATATTGGAAGTTAATTGATCTTATTGTGAGGATACATTTATGATTTCATTTAGTAAGGAAGATACAACTGAAATTTCTATTATATTGTCTTTCTGAAATCATATATTGGTTTAGGTGATTGTATATATATGTACAATTTAATCCTCGTACTCATCTTTCTTTGGTTTAGATTGATTTAAGATTTATGTTATATACAATAAATTAAAAGCATTTTCCAATTATTATTTTATAAAGCAATTTTCTAATTTTTTTTTTGCCAAACTGAAAATACAAGAGATTTTGATGAAACAAGAATATGCTAGAAAGATGATCTAGTTAAAAGTTATTAGAATTGGATAATTATTTATTTTATTGAAATGATATGATATGTCATAATTTATAACAGTAAATTTTATACGGATATTAGTTCACTTAATGGATTTGTTAACTTGACTCTTAATTGTGTCATAATTCTGAATTATTATACTTAACTTTTAATTCATCTATTTATAACCAAACTCAGCTTAGACAGTTTTGATGAGTTTTTATAAAGAACTATTAGGTAATTATTTTCCTTGATAAAGTATCTAAAGCCTTTAGATTTCTTATTCTTCTAATTCAATGATTTAATTATCCAAATTATTTATTTAGAGTGATTGATTAGACAGCTTTTAACTGAGATTATCTTATTTAGAGTCACTTTGCTATTGTAATTCAAATGATTTTAAAGTGTATTTTTATTTTTTCATGTTAGAAATAGAATTCATGACTTAAAATAGTTTTTTCTCATAATTAACTCGGTTGCCCAATTATTACTATTATTATTTGATTTAGTTTTCTTTAATTTGCAATTTCAAATAATCATTATTAATTTCTAATTTAGCCTTAGATATAAGAAAGATCCTAGATTGATTATCTAGATAACATGGAAAATCAGCTTATGTCACACTCTCATTAATTTACATTAATAGTTTTACAATGATTATGATAGATCCTGATATTCTATGTATTATAAGTATATAAGTTACTAAATTTCTTCACTCTGCAATACTTATTTTAAGAACTCTGCTAAATCTTATTTGATTTATTTCTTAGTATATTTAATATCTTGTAAGATTTCTTCTTCTCTTTTTAATTAGCTTTGATTGAATTGCAATTGTTATTAATATTCCATGTAAAATGTTTTGATTCTAGCTAACTCCATTTATTCATTTTAATCAATGGTCTAAAAGTATTATTGTCTATCCCATTTTTTAGTAGGGTGAAGTTTATCTTCCTAGTGTAATGCTAATTGTCTTTATTTATTATATTTTGATTTGATTTAATCAATTTCTTCACCTAATCTTGAGACATGATCTCTTAATTTGCAATTCTCCAATCTCAATTTTTGCAAACTCATTTGATACTAATAAATTTCTTGGCTGTGTAATTTAATTTAGTTTAATCTGCCCTCTATAATGTAATTGAAATTGAATTATTGTCTTTCCAAATTTTTATGTTCTTCTCTGTTGATTGTGATCTATGCTTGAGATTACCTGATTTGATTGGCAACAGCATGATAATCAACAATTTAATTAACACTTTTGAACATTGATGAGAGATTCTTGAAGCTTTGCAGTACATTTGAGGTTGAATTACTTAATTCATGTTATGAGACAACTCTCTTCTATCTCATTTTATTGAATAAGATTTGATTGACTAGTTTTTAATTAGTTTGTTTTGATATTTTTTCAGCAGTCCCATGTACTTTGTCTTCAATAAAGGTTTCCTTCCTATCCGAATGATAAATTTAGAATATATTATGTATTAACTTTGTATTAATCGTTGGACTTGGGAAATGAGGATTATGATCTACTTCATCCTCAGCCAATTTGCCTTACTGTAGCATTTATTGCAAATTAAACTTTTTTTGATGCTTTTTCGCTTTAAAGTAGTTAAGATTAATAACTTCCATTTTTTCATCTTCTGATTGATTATCCTCTTCATCTGAATTCTACTTAAAAATCATGGATTATTTCTTGAGTGGAGAACGTATTCTCTTTTGATTCAGTTATTTACTCCCTATATAAAGAGAAGTAGACTTAGTATTCATTTTGCGTAAATTAATTTATAATATAAATAAAATGAATTTATTAGAGGATTTAGAAAATAATGGGACTCAACAAATGGATTTACTAAATTTTGAGTATGCATTAAATTCATTATTGACTAGTCATCAAGCTAATGTGATTCCCAATGTAGATTTTTATAATGCAATTGTGGTTAATGAATTTATGAATAATCGGATTGTGGAAGTCAAAGACGGAGACGTAGTGAAAGAGGGATACATAACTAAATACAAATTATATTTGGTTAGAACCAAGAAGTTGGGAGGAGAATGGGACACCGAAGTATCCAGGAGATTTAGTGATTTTGAGTGGTTGTATTAGGAATTGATTAATAAGTATGGAGGATACATAATTCCTGCCATTCCTGAAAAGCATCTGCTCACCAAGGTCAATTTGGCGAGTTATGAAGTAAAATTATGAGATTTAAAATTTAAACAATAGTTCTCAGAAAAGAGAAGGAAAGACCTTCAGCAGTTTCTGTAAAGAATACTTCACCATCATCATCTACGATATGTGCCAGAATTAAGAATTTTCATTGAAGATAAGGAAAAAGTATATTTAGAATTTATCTATTAGTTTATTTCCCTATTGAAAGGTGAATTAGAATAAAATAAAACTATTGAGTAAAAATATGATAATCTATTACAATCAGTCAAGACCTTATGGCATGGTAGTAATTTGACAGCCAAAGGCTAAGATCCTGCAAAAATGTTTGATGGAAGTGAAAAAGACTTAACTTATGATGAAACACTACTCCTATCCTTGTCTATGAAAGGTACTAAGTTGAAAACTGTTGTTGAAGAACATGTTCTTATATTGAGAGAAGAGGCAAAATCATTAAATGATTAAAATGAAGCTCTTTATTCTTGGAGTATTCATTAATTATTAAATTATTAGATGGATTAGGATCTGCAAGTGAGGAGGACATTTCACAATTTAAATAGTTGAAATATAACAATGAAATCAGGCAAAGAAAAATCAATAGAGAAATTGAAGACATTGATAGGAAATTTATCCCTAAATTATAAAATTGCTTATTTGAAATTGAGTGGGCATTGACTGCTTGTAAAAGAAGAAGAAATTTATAATCGCAATTATTGGTTGATTAATAAAGAATAGAATAACTCAAAATGCAATATACAGATAATTCTAGCAGAGTATTTATTACTATAATTCATATAGAGAGACTTAGAAATGGATGTACTCAAAACTAAATATTAAAAAAACAAAGACAGAAGCGATAAAATGTCCATTATAATGTAAGATGAGTTGTTGAGTTTCATCACAGAAATAAAACAATAATTAAAAGCAATTATAGAAGAATGGAGATCTATCATGAAAACTTTATCTAAAAACATAATTGAAGATGATAATGAATGAATAAATTAGTTAAATACTATATTAGCATAATATCTTTTGTATAAATTTCAATATTTTGGATTAAAATTTAAAGCTCATTTGTTTTTCATTTTTCTACTTCATAATAATTATTGCTAATAGCTTTAATTTAGAAGAATATAAAATTAATAAAAGGATAAATAAAAGTTTAATCTTCATTCATAAAACCATCTTCTAAAATAATTTATATTAAATAAAAATTGAAAGTAAAGTGTGAGAAAATAAACAGCAAATCAATATGATTTTAATTTAAGAAATTATTCAGTTAGTAATTATCTACATTGCCAATAGATAAATCTATTTATATGATAATCTTAAAAGTATGTCCAACATTCTACCATATTCAAGTGGAGTAATCTCATAAAAAAAATATTAACTATGATAAATATATATCAATTGACTTATGGTTTGATTTAGATATTACTTTAGAAGAAATTATAGAATTAACATGAATAACGTAAAGGGGAGAACTGAGAGTGCTATAAGGAATAAAATTAAAATTTTATAAAATGAATTGTTCATTATCAATGACAAAAGAATTTGTGATGCAAAGCTTCGTGACAACTGATTCTTTTATCGGGATCAATTTCAAGCATTTTTTATAATAAATCTCTTAATAATGGATCAAGTATCAATTCCCTTAATGGTTTTTGATTTTCGACTTTAGCAATACTCTCTTTGGTTGTATTTTCCTAAGGCCAAATGTAGTATTTCCCATTTGTAGAGTTTTTTGTGAAGCATTATTTCAATGATCCTTTTACACTACTGGCCATCCAATAAGGGAAGTTTTGATCAGTGACTTTTTCAACCAAAGCCATGTGTTCATATTCATTCTTTCTAGTTTAAAACAATAAATGTCCTAAAATATTTTAGATCATTCATTCCTACCTAGATACATTTCAGCGATGATACAGGCTATCCCCCAAACATCACTTTTGTGATTCCATTCACTACATTACAACTATACCTCAGGAGCTCTATATTGACGTGTATTAATTATACAATCATGTCCTTCATAATCAAATACTGCTCCACCAAGGTCTATGATCTTTATTCGGTCATCCTGTGGCAGATATCTAATTGAGAATTTAAATATTATATATACAAATCTTATTATCCTCTTTTCAATTTGTAATTTTTACTAAAAAGTATGTTCTCTGGTTTTAAATCAGTGTGAACAATTTTTAAATCATGTAATTGACCAATATACTTTAATAATTATTTACTGATGCTTCTTATTAAAGACATTGGAATTCCATGATTTTTATTTAATTTCATCAATTCATAAAGACTTGGTCCTAACTAAAATTATTTGATGGCATTAAATACCCTCTCAAATACCATACAATAATATCCTCTATGATGGAAACATTCATACAATTCAACAAAGTATCTACTAAGTCCTTTTCTCTTTAAATGAAACAAAACATCAGCTTCTGATTGTGCACTCTCAACGTGATTGCGTCTGACGATCTTCAAGGCATATGTTTTTGAATTTCTTCTCTTGACTTTCAAGACCCTTCCAAATGTACCATCAAAAATGTGTCTCTTAACCTTGTATTCTCGAATATATTCGCCTCTTCTATATTTGTAGTGTTGATCATCATCACTTGAAGAGCTTCCATTAGATTCATCATCAGTGACAACGGAAGAAGTAGTAGTAGAACTGCGAGCATAATAAATATGGATTCTTACTATTTTTATTTGCGATTAGAACGTCTGTTTGAGCGTCTACGTGATTCTTTTGAGGACATGTTTAATATGTATTTTAATATTTTAATAATTAAATTTTAATTTATTAGAAATTTGGAATTGACACACTAAAACTTTCCAGTCCTTTCTAAAATCATTTAATTTATTTTTTAATTTAATCAATGTTGATATGCTATCCATCCAAATATGCCTGAATTAATTATTGACTGTCAATTTTATAATTAAAAACTAAATAAATTTATAATAATATCTCTAAAAATTAGTTTATTGTCATTCAATATTTCAAACCAGCCTTTATTTATTTTTCATAGCAATCTTTGTATAATATCCTAATCAATGTTAACGAGATAAAAGCTCCGACAAACGGTAAACCAGCATAAATCCATAAGTTCCAAAATCTAGCCCAATGGCCATCTTTGCAACATTCAAAAAATACTAATCTAATTAATGAATCATAAGATTTACCCCATGGCAATAGCTGGATTTAGACTGCTCTTGGCAACATAACTTAAAGTTCTACCAACCCCATATAATCCACTGATTATGAGACTATGTTCTAATCTATCACTTGTGAAATCCATTAAATCATCATATTAAAATAGAAAGCCAGCAGTAAGAATAAGCGATCCTAAGATTTCACCAATAATAACTGCGAAATATTCTTCAAATGTCGTTTAGGACAAATATGGAACTTCGTTGACACTATTACATAATCTATATAATATTTTACTAATTTTTAAAGCAAAAGAAACCAAGCATGCTCGCCAAGAATGCTCCTCCAAATTAACTAGCTATAGCCACTGAGACCCACAAGCCTTTGTCATTGCCAGATAAAACAGTAGTAATTGCAGGATTGAATGAGCATTTTTGATTTTGAGCTACCAAGATCAGCATGCCATAGGCACAACTGAAAACGAAGAGGTTATTACTTTGATTATTAAATTGGACTTTACTTGCTGGCATAGATGGAGAATGTTAGCATGAATGTTCCTAAGAATTCGAACCAGAAAATATAGACAGCTTCTTTTTTCATTTGTCCAACTCTTGTTTAAGGCATTCCATCGACTTCCCATTTGATTGGTTTGTTTGGCTATTCGATTTCTTGATTCACTAAATCACTATAGTTTTGTTATTATTCTGCCATTAATCAATAATTATTTTAATGAGAGAATTCTATATACAACTTAAATATTCTCTTAGAGACAAGCAAGCAAGGATGCTGAATTTATAGTAAATAAATAAAACATTGTAGAATTTTGTAATTGATTTAGTTGAATTATAGATAATAATGATAATATAAATTAATATAAGATTTTATTGATGGATCAAATAACAAATAAGGAGCTGATGAAAAAGATCAATATGAAATTAAAATCAGCAGTTACAGTTTATGCAAAAATACAAATAGTGAATTACTTACTCAATTCCACTCCTGAGTTTATAGACATGTAAAAAAGGAGGCTAATTTTAGGTTTGGATGGACAGGCTCAATGAAGATGATTACTTAATATTTAAAAGAGGCTTTGAAATGCATTTAGGCTAATGAAGAACTGATTGATAAAATATTTATGTTGTTGTTGAAAATGAATTTAAATGATGAAATGCTGAAAGAATCTGAGATGGGACAGTTGTTAATCAAAATAAAGGATAAAAGATTATTAGAAGATTAAAAAGTAAGTGTGAATGATCAAATTCTATAAAAATGGTTGAAAATTAAGGCAAGATATAGGAGTACTTTGGAAGATTTCAAAAAAAACAACAATTAAAAGGATAAATACGAGGAACGCAAAAAAAAAGTGAAAAGAAATTTATCATCAAGTTCTAATGAATCATCAAACAAAAAGAAAAAGAATAAAAAGAAAAATGTTCGGTATGTTATAAACATTCGAAATTATTAGATTTGCAAGAGAAGACTTTCTCATGAATTACAAGTTTTTTAAAAGAGACGATGAACCTAATCAAAGAGGAATGACCATAGAGGAAGTGGTTACCTTCCAAAAATAATATGCGGGAGAATTAAGAAGACTATATCAAATTAATGGTTATGATATAAAGCACAGGGAATCCATGATGGAAGGACAAGAACACAAATTATAATTAGATAATATCCAACAAATGATAGAATAAATTCCATTTATTAAGCCTCTGAGTAAGCTATTGAACCTATTAGAATTACGACACACTTTTCTTATTCCTTATGACACCAATTTCAAAGAGACTTAGAAACAATAAATGAGAACCGAGTCCAAAATGTCAGCGTTCTACACCAGAGACGTAAATATTTCTACAAACTTTAATCTCTAGTAGATTCCTGACTAACCTGGGTATAATGAAATCTCTAATACTTAAGCAGGAATGCAATCCAGAATCATTCATTTAGATCCACCAAAGAGGGAAGACCTTATGTTTATGGTTCAAATCATTTGCGATCGAGGATTCACTGAGCTAGAATAAAAGCACAAGAATGCTAACACAAAATAAATCAAAGGCATTTTGAAGAAACCCCAAGAGGAACAATCCAAATAAAAGGATGTTATGTTGAATCAGGCTAAGCAGGATCTCCAACCCAAGATGTAACAATTGGTTCAGATGGTTGAGCAGAAACAAAACCATAGCCAAGAAAGCATTCGTAAGAATATTAATTTATTTAAGTCACTTTATTACATGATATTATATAAAAATTAAAGGAAATTGGTGAGGAATAATATATAAAAAATTTTAAATCATTCCTTGAAACTAAGTTGAATGACAAATAATCAATCATAACTGAATAAGAACGCATTAAATCTCAATAGGAATAATAGAGAACTCGAATTGAATAATTATAAAGCATTAATCCCATACAGGCTCAGAGATTAAGAGCTTACAAAACCAAGCATTGTCACAATTTTCATTCCCCTATTGGATGTACAAGAGGAGATAATTGCAATTTCATTCATGACTCTCGCTACCCTGGAAGACCTGCTCCAATTCTTCAATAACCCAATTTCCTAAACAAAACCCTCTATCCCTAGCCATTTATGCAATTAAATATTCCTCCTCTACTCAGATAGCTAAGTCCTGCCTTTCTGCTTGGAAGGCTAAATAAGTACGATAGTTTATGAGTTGATATTTATTAAAATACATTTAATATGCTAATTTAAACTTCCATCAACACTCAATACAACAAAACAATATCGTGTTTCTGCCTATGCAATTTAATATCTCAAGAACTATTAGATAATCTATTGAAACTCAGTTTTTGAATTTCAAAGCTCAAATGACAGTATCAAATTAGATTAATATTCACATAAAAACTTAATTCATGATCGAAAACCTTGTTTCCTAGCAAACGAACCAATTGCAGCAAATCCAACTAAAGCTATTATCCCGAAGAGGACCACATTTGAAAGGAAATCTAGAATCATTATCAAAAATTAAATTATTTAATTACAAATGTCACATTATAAATTACTCTATTGTTAAAAACTTTATTTCTATAATTTATAAATACTCAATTAATTGAATGAATATAGAATCTTATTATTAAGATTGCATAGATTCAATTATAAAAAGGTATCATTTGAATCTCAGGATCAAATTAAAAGATTAGTTAATACTTAGAATTAATTTTAAATAATTTAATTCTAATTACGAGAAATGCAAGTCTATTAGATGTGTAAAACAATTGAAAACATTTAATTTGATAGAATCTTTATATTTATAATTGTTAATTTTATGATAATAGTTTATTTACAAATTAATAATATATATAACATTTATTTGTCATAAGAATGGATTTCATAAAATTATAGAAGGTGCAACAGATTAAGGATCTTTTGTTTCATCTTTAAATTCTAGAGTTTCTTAGATTCCAGCAACACCCATCATCTAACAAAATGCTTCAAATCCAATTTTACTCTAATTATTAGGATCTATTTCAGCTATCATTTAATTGATTTTCTCAAGGGAAAGCGAGCGTCCATGCCTTGCAAATGATTCTCTAATGGCTTCTCTTGATAAATAATTTTCATTCTAGGTATCAAAATATTTGAAAATTGACCACAATTTCTCTCTTGTAAAAACACGTCTCTCATCAATACAGGCAGTTAAGAAATCACTGTATTTAATTATTAAAGGTTTTGTTGTGGATTTGTGAGAATGAGATATTGATAAATCCTCTAATTCATCAAAGTCATACCCAATGTTTTCCATAATTTATTCAATCTCTTCAACTGTTGCTAAGGAACCCTTATAATTATTTTATTCAATACCTCTTGCTAAAGTGCTTGATGTAGTTCTTAAACTGTTATTGTACCAGAATTATCAACGTCAATATTTTTAAATATTTATTGTAACCTTCCTAAATCCTTTTCATTCATCTGATTGACCAGCACTTTCATCACTTCCTTCTTAAATTTAGCACAAATTCGGTAAGTCTTTAGCATTTGATACAATGTTCTTTAATCGTCTTCAGTTTGCGACCCTGAAAATCCAGTACTCCTTCTTGGAGGTCTACAAACTCCATCCTTAAATAACAGTTGAAACCATGGGTGCTTAAGGCATTCCTTGGCAGAATATCTTAGATGCTAATTTTTGTTAAGCATTCTCTTCAGAAGGTCTTTTGCTTCGTCACTTGTGTTTCTCCAATGTCTTCTATCAAATATCAACTATGTATAAATTAAATTTAATACATTTTGATATTGTATATTTTCATAAAGGTCTTATCGATTTTTCCCATAGAAAGGAGGATAGCCCACAAGCATACTAAACAATAAAACACCGAGACTCCAAACATCACATTTTTCACTATAAGTTCCTTCGATTACTTCCGGTGCTAAATAGACAGGTGTTCCTACTCCAGCCTTGAGTTTACTAATTATTTTGGATCTTCGTTACTTGTAGCTGAAAGCATCGTATTTCACTGAAAGCCCAAAGTCAATAAGTTTAGGCTCCGATCTGATGTCTCGATCGGTGAACATAATATTTTCTGGTTTAATATCTCGATGTATAATTCCTTGTTCATGAATGTAAGCTATGGCGGAAATGATCTACAAATAGAACAATTAATTACTTTAACCATGATATCTCTCGCCTAGCCCTCTGTGTATGATTTTTAATTTTTGGGTACGCTCTCCATAAGTTCTGCTCCAGCACATTTATCCATACAAATGTAGAAGTATAGTTCACTTTAATATACTTCATGGAATTTTATAATATTCGGGTGATCTAACTTCTATAATATATATATTTCATTAGCTAGCATGGTTTCCCTTCCCTTAACTTTTCTCTTGTCAATCATTTTTATGGCGTACTATTTCTCTGAATTATTTCGCCTTTTAGCTGAGAGAACTTTACCGAAGGCTCCAATTCCTAGCACTTTCCCGAAAGAAAATATTTTATGTATGTCTGCAGTTGATGTAAAGATGTAAGCTCTGTTTGTTGTTTGCATAGCAACAATTTTATTTATACCTTTAGGTTAGAAACAACCCATTATTTATTTTTATTATACATTTATAAGATCTTTTATCAGCTTAAAATTCAAAAAATATTAATTCATAAATCATATTCCTTTAATGGAAATATCGATGGATTTTGAGTGTATAAAAATTATTTATAAATTAATTTATAAATCATAATGCATTATTATTGCTGAGCATTTTACAATATTTAATGTACTTATTAGGCTTACTTCATTTTAGGACCTCTCATAAATCATACAATTCTCGTTGTGACAATAACAAAATAGAGTTTATGCTTATTTCTAAACTAAATTTGCAATTCTGGATAGTATTCGAATTAGTGAATGTACTTTGATTTGGCACATAATTTAGTCCTTTTTCTTTTGAATAAATATGAAAATTATATATTTAATTGCATTTTCTAAGAATATTATGGAACCATGTATAAATACTCACAAATACAAAATAAACAATTTTCAATATAAATTAGATTGAAATATTAATAATCATTATAGATCTAAAGGATAAAAATTATCAGTTCTATCATGCAAGTTGAAAAGTAGGTTTGTGGTTCAAATATTGTTATTTTAAGTTAATTAATTCTATTAATTGCGTAATTGAAGTTTCCAGAACTCAAAATATATAAAGCATAATTTTTTGAAGTATTTTGATTTATTTTATCTTATTTTACAAAAAAATAAAATAACTTGGTTATTTAGCCAATTTATTTATTCAAAATAGCAATTCAAACCTAAGCCTACTTAAATTAATGGCTATTCTAAGTATATCTTATTTATGTTCATAATTATCTCATAATATTTATAATGTATTTTATATTTTTAATGAATTTTATATTATAAATATTGTATTTAAAATATTTTTGGTTTTCTTATCATCAATTAGAAAGAATTTTGCATCAAATAATTTTTAGCTCTGAATTTATCTTATTTAAAATAGTCTTAAGAATTTATGATTTAGTTCCTTTATTTTTTGTCCTCTCAGATTAGACATTATGATTGGCAAATAATATTATTAAAAGTAGAACTCACTTTTGATACATTTTAGGAGGTTGTAATCGATATTATTGCACTTGAATTGGAATATTATTTAACTTCTTTTCCTTAGCTAAAGTCCTATTGTATAATAGGACTTTCATTTAATTGGCACTTAAATAATTAAGATAACAATTAATCTTTAGAAATATGTAGAAAATTCATAGATATATACTTTATAAATAAAAAATTTAATTAAGATATGACTGCTTAAATATTAAATATTCTTATTTAGTAAAACATTTCGAGAAATTGAGGAGAGAATTTATGATTGATATGGAGACTACTATATAGGAAAAAATAAAATAGTTATATAAGCTGAGCTATAGACCAGACTTTTACATTAAATTAACAATTATCGTATATTTGTCTACATTGATAGGCACAGCAAATCAGGCCCATAAAAATATATCTAAACATCAAAAATTAGATTCTATTGACAATTTTTATTAATTAATATATTATTTAACTTGAACTAATACAAGGAATGTATAAAATTCAGAGATTAGCATAGTGCTTTATTTTTGGTTAAAATTTTTAGCCTTAAATACTCCTCGTTAGAAAAATCTAGATGAAATATAGAATTAATCACATCCAAAATATTGCCATAATCATAATATATTGAACCTAAATGAAGACTATGTGAATTTGGTAATTGCTTTGAGAATATTAATTTTTGGTCATAACTCTGGCAATTAAAAAATAATTTTTTAAATACTAAATATTAAATGGATAGAAAAAATTTATTCTAATTCATATTAAGAATATAGAAATATCTTTATAGATAAAAGAGTATTTAAGAGCCAATATTTTGGATGAATTAAGCAAATTATTTATTGAAGTTGATTCTAAACTAGAGATTTCAACTGTAGAATGGCATGATTATCCTAATTTCTATTTCTAACAAATGCTAACTCATAGCAAAATTCAAATTAAATAAAATAGATTAATTAAAACATTCAAACCCTAAATGTATTCATAGAGATATAATCAAACTTAGCATAACATTACTAATAAAATCTTTAAAGTATGTAATTCAAGGTCTAAATATATAAAATCAACAATTTAATAGTTTGTGTTCATTTATACGTAAAGATATTATAAAAGTCCTCCCTCAAATAGAATTAAACTCAGTTGTTTCTAGAGTTGATATTATAAAATGAGGATACTTGCATCCCCAAAAAATATGTCAAAATGCTATTTATTACAATAAATTTATGGATTTCAAACATTGTTTTTTGGATTAAGATGTAAGTTAAAATTGTAATAATATTAAACTATTAAATAATTAAAACTATTATATATAATTAATAATAAACTGGGAATTTATATTGAAAAATTGTTCTATGGTTTTAAAGTAAAGCATATCTTCATTTCATTCAACATTTAGATTTAGCCTTGATAATTCTTCCATTTTATAAATTTTCATGAGTTTGATTGAATTAGCAAACTGATCACAAAGAAATTTCGATCAAAGGAAAAAAAATTAAGTAAGGAATTCCATTTAACATACTTGCCTCAACAACTTTGGGGGTCAATAGAAATTGTATGACGGTAGAATCAAATTTATTTAATAGAGTAAATAACTTACTATTATTATTATTACAAATTATGGGAATTTATATAAGATTTTTATATTTTACTTTCTGTTAATGGATGCTTCTAGAGAGTGAGAAGTTTTGTTATCTAACAAATATCTAGGGATATAACCAAGAAATATTATAATTTCATGATGTCATATTTAATTTAATAAATAAAAAATAAAAGACAAAATGTAAACTATCCGAATACTCTTTTCGATTTTTGTCATCTCTTAGTCATAATGGCAACTTGTAAGTGAAGACTTGCTCAATTTTTCTGTATCAAGCAGTAATTGGAATTATGGAAACACATGTAATTGGGACAGTGGAAGTACGGGAGGGGGTGGATCAGTTTCTGGATGTTCAGCTAATGATATTGAATATATTTTAGTGGGAAGTTATAAAGTTAGAGCCTACTATTCTGTGTAAAACTTGCCTCCTCATTACTAGGTCAAAGTTGTAGTGGATGGCTATTTTCTAGACTCTGATAGGGACAATATTTACTATGTATCATACGAAGTCTAAGGATCAACCCCCACTTATTCATTATAGTATAAGGATAGCACATTGCAAGGGTATGAGGATGCTTGTAGAGGATCTTGGGGTAGATTCGAAGTTTAAACCTTTATAATGACTTTCTCTCATACTGATTATAGTGAAGTTCGATTCAGAGTGTGTGGAACACTGATGGATTCTAGAAATTATGGTGTAAGGGGTTTATAGATTTATGTTAATTAATGTCATTGGTCATGTTTGAAATGTAGTTCCAATTTAATAACTGGTTGCTTGGCTTGTTTCACCGCCCCCTCTACTACGTTTGCTACTAGTTAAAGCTGTGGTAGTTGCCCTACTAATAAGGCATTTATTGAATACATAGATGACACGAAGAGTTGTGTAGTAGAGTGCCACTACTATAGAGTTCCAGATTCAAATAATGTCTGCTAATTTAATGCAAGTATTTATTTCCATCGATCTAGACATGTTCCCTTACACAACCTACTTTGACACTACCTCATTCAGTTAATCATCTCCTTGGGTGTTTGTTCCTGACCCAATTAATTATAATTTACTTTACTCCAAAAAAATAAGTTCGATACCTTGTGATACAAGTAAAAATTATGTAGGACCATTCTTATATAACGAAGCATTTAGTTTGACCCTATAAATTCCTTACAACATATCTTATATAAGGTTTCGAGCAACCATTGTAAAGCTAAACGATTGGGTTGATTATTCAGCAGTTCATGTGTTATTAGATTAGGTTGAATTCGCATCTGTTTACACAATTGGTCAAGTTTTCACAAGTCGAAATGCTGATTATTTATATTCTGAATCAATTTGTACGCCTACTGTTGGATATTTCAGATTTGAGGCTAAGTTGAAATCAAATATTACTAATCCTGTATTAACTCTATAAGGGTCTATGGAGTACATATAGATTTATAATTTTAAGTTAATTCGGCTAATAGTCATGGGGCTTTCGAGATGTCGTTATGGATATAATGCGATGTTAACCTAATTGTGATTGGTGTGATTTTGATTAAAAATGCTATTCCTGTTCATCAGGATTTCTTTATAAAAATAAATGTGTACTTAGTTGTCCAACTCATTCAGTCTAATAAACAGGTGTTTGTAAAGACTTTGATGAAATAGTTGATAGTATAAGCTTTATCTATTTTAGATTCAAAATACTTAATCAAAGCTTTTTATGACTCTTCAAATACAACTGATACAGATGTTAGTAATATCGTAGGGACAATTACGAATGGAGGTTCTGATTTCACAACATCAGATGGATTTTTAAGCACCAACATTAAGGTTTATTTTAGTTATTATATGGGCAAAAGAGTATTGGGAGGTCCATTGGTTTGGAACTCAGCAACATTTACAAAACCATACACTTTGAATCCACATTACAAATTTAGATTTAAATTCACATTAGTTTTAGGAGATGAATTTTCTGGAGATTTCCAGTATACAATTGGAGGAACTTCGTAGACATTGTAATATAGTGACTCAGGCTTTGCATTAACATCTAAAGAAGTAGGAAGAGATAAGAGAGATAAATACATTACAATTGATAGAACAATAGGGCATACAAGTCCGAGTTTTTCTGTTTAAATGACATGCAATTCAGATAGATCAATTAAAAACAATTTCTGCCTAGTTTACGATTATTTTATTATCATTTTAGAAGTAAATAGTAACCATAAATTTAGTGTACTTAATATTGTACAGCTTGCAGTGGTCCAACATGGGCAGATTGCTCTGGAAAACAAGCATTACCAACTGAAATGTCATCACCAACAACTTGTATTAATAATGCCTACTATTTTGACAACACAGTTACTCCTGCTGTTTGTCGAGCTTGTACACCTTCTTACTGTTTAGAATGCTAGAATGCTTATATTTGTACGAAGTGTGCTTCTAACTTTTATTTATAAAATGGAAAATGCTAATGTTATCCTTGGACTTATTTGACAGTTTCTAATACTTGTCAAAGTTGTCATCCTTTATGCGAATCTTGTTATGGTTCAAATAGTAATTAATGCTTGTCTTGCAATAGTTATTAACATAGATATTTGAATAATAATATTTGTGTCTGTCAAAATAGTTACTATGATGATGGTGTTGATTATAAATGCTAATCAATTTGTGGAGATATGATAGTAACTGAAGGAGAGGATTGTGATGATGGCAATACAATTAGATTTGATGGATGCAATAATTGCAGATATGAATGTTAGAAGGAATGTTTAAGTTGTGTTTAGGGATAATGCTCTGTTTGTGCTCCAGGTTACACTCTTTAAAAAACTATGAAAATATGTTATCCTACATGTGGGAACAGTTCTCTTGTTAGTTAAGAATAATGTGAGGACAATAATCTGACACCTTATGACGGATGCTATAATTGTTAATTTTAATGTTAACCTTAATGTACAAATTGTATCTATGGTAAATGCTATGAGTGCGATAATTCTATTGGTTATTATATTAATTTAGCCACCTTTAAATGTGTTACTTATTGTGGAGATCAAATTGTTGCTGGAGGAGAAATGTGTGATGATGGAAATAACAACCCATTTGATGGATGCAACAGTTGTGCTTATTCCTGCGATTCCTTTTGTGCATTATGCATCTTCGGTATATGTACCAAGTGCAAATCAGGGTTCTAATTATTGAACCAAACGGGTCAATGTGCCCCAATTTGTGGAGATAAACTAATTACTTATTATGAGGCCTGCGATGATGGTAATGAAGTCAATTCTGATGGATGCAGCTAATGCACTCTCACTTGCTAAGAGTAATGTACATCTTGTCTTTTGGGAGTTTGTTTGGAATGCAATACTCCAGGATATTATTTAAATCCAAAACTTAAAAAGTGTACTTCCATATGTGGAGATACTGTTCTATCTGTACTAAATGAATAATGTGATGATGGCAATAACACATTCGAAGATGGATGTTATTAATGCAAATATGAGTGCTAGACTGAATGTCTGACATGTGCAGCAGGAATCTGTTATAGCTGCAAACCAAACTTTTATCTTAGTTCTGATAATACTTGTCTTCCTATTTGTGGAGATGGAGTTATTTCTAAATTTGAACCTTGTGACGATTATAACTTTGTTATTGAAGATGGATGTGCATAATGTTCTTATTAATGTGAAACAAGTTGTACACAATGCTAATTTGGTATTTGCAAATTATGTCAAAGTGGGTATTATTTAAATTAATCGATCAAGAAATGCTTACCTATCTGTGGTGATACACTAATATTAGGTGATGAATAATGTGATGTTGGTATTATACCATTCGAAGATACTGTAAAAAATACAACTGGATGTATTAGTTGTTAACTCAAATGTTCTCCGTAATGTGAAATTTGCACTTAAGGCTAATGTTAAAAGTGCAAGGAGTCTTTAGGATGGTATTTAGATTACTAAACATCTTCTTGTTATACTTAATGTGGAGATTCAATTATAAGTGATTATGAAGAATGCGAAGATTTTAATTCTTAATTAAACGATGGATGCAGTCAATGTGTTTTTAAATGCTAATAAGAATGCTCAATTTGTATTTTTGGATTATGTTAGTAATGTAATCAAGGATATACTTTAATTAACTAAAAATGCTTACCAGTCTGTGGAGATGGGATAGTGGCTGGAGACGAGGAATGTGATACAGGAATCATTGATTTCGAAGTAGTTTATTGTGTCAATTGTAAATACAGATGTGCAGAAGGATGCAATAATTGTGTTTATGGCACTTGTTTAGAATGCAAAAACAATTATGGATTTTATTTGAATTAAAATCATTAATGTGAATCCAAATGTGGAGATTTAATTATTTCCAACAATGAGATTTGTGATGAAAACTCAGAAGCTTGTGAAAGTTGTAATTTTGTTTGTGATGATAATTGTAATAACTGTAAATTTGGAATTTGTTAGGGTTGCAACCTTGGTTATGAACTACTTTTAAACAGATGTGTCAGTATATGTGGAGATTCAATTTAAACAAGCATTGAAGATTGTGAAAGCCATGATATTGTCCCATTTGATGGATGTTACTTATGTCAATTTTAATGTTAAGATGAATGCTAATAATGTATAAATGGAGAATGCATATTATGCAATTAAGCTATGGGGTGGTATCTATTAAATAAAAAATGTGAGACCAAATGCGGAGATGGTATAATTGCTGGATTAGAAGAGTGTGATGTTAGTTTGAATTATGATAATGGAGATGTTTCAAATAATAAATGTTTTAACTGTAGGTTATCCTGTGCTTAAAATTGTTCGAATTGTGACAGAGGAATCTGCTAATCATGTTAAGATGGATACCTTTTAACTGTTTATAATGAATGTGTCAACATTTGTGGTAATTTAAATACTGAGGACTTCGAAGTATGTGATGATGGTAATATTAACGGTTTTGATGGCTGCTTCTCATGCCAACATGATTGTTAATCTGAATGTTAGGAGTGTGTAAATGGAGTATGCATCTTATGTGAAGATGGATTTGAATTAGATGAAGATACATAATAGTGTCAATCTAAATGTGGAGATATGATATTAACACAACATGAAGAGTGCGATGATGGTAATTATATACCTTATGATGGATGCTATAACTGCAAGTATTCTTGTACTGAAAATTGCGATATTTGTGTCAAAGGAGTTTGTTAAAGTTGTTCTTAAAGGTTTGTTCTTTCTTTTCCCAAATGCATCCCTGATTGCAAAGATATTAGTTATACTTAAAATGCTGATGAGTGCTATCCATAAAAATAATGCTAAAGTGAATGTGTAATTTGTATTAAGGGTGACTGTTATTAATGCTAGACTGGATGGTACTTGAATGAATTAGAACACAATTGTGAAAGTATGTGTGGAGACGAAATGATAGTAGGATAAGAATAATGTGAAGGGTTCTTAAATTATGCAAATGATGATCCTTATTGTAATAATGAATGCTAATTTGCATGTCCTAGCAATTGTGTTACTTGTTCATTAGGTGTTTGTTAACAATGTCAAAGGGGCTTTTACTTGATAGAAAATAAGTGTTTTCATTATTGTGGAGATTCTTTAATGACGGAGTTCGAGATATGTGATGATAATAATCTTACACCATTCGATGGATGTTTTTAATGTCGACTTGATTGTGAAGAGCAGTGCACTTTATGCATTGAAGGAGTATGTTAGATGTGTTAAAGGGGTTATGAAATCATAGATGGACATTGCTTTTCTGTTTGTGGAGATGGTATAATTACAGTTGATGAAGATTGTGATGATTAAAATTCTATTAAACATGATGGATGCAACTAATGTAGATTTGAGTGTGATAAAAATTGCTCTTTTTGTGAATTTAATAAATGCATATTTTGTGCTAATGGGTTTGAATTGTCAGCTTAGACATGTATTTCAGTTTGTGGAGATGGTTTAATTGTTGGGAATGAGAAGTGTGATGACGGTAATTTAATTAATGAAGATGGGTGTTTTGAATGTCAATATGCATGTCAATAATAATGTCAAACTTGCTTATATGGATCTTGCATCTTGTGTAATGAGGATAAAGGTTGGTATGTAACATCACAAGGAGATTGTTAACCTCTATGTGGAGATAATAAAGTTGCTGGATTAGAATAATGCGATGATGGAAATGATTAGAATTTTGATGGGTGTTATGAATGCAGTTATATTTGTTAAAAGTCTTGCACAAAATGTATTAATGGATTGTGTTATGAATGCAACACACCAGGTTGGAGACTAGAAAACTATTTTTGTTGGGAAATATGTGGAGATGCATTAAAGGTTGGGATTGAAGAATGTGATGATGGTAATGATGTTCCTTATGATGGATGTTTTGATTGTAAAACATAATGCGAAGAAGCATGTGTTGTTTGTTCTGAAGGATAGTGTTAAGTCTGTGCATATGGTTGGTAATTGAATGAGAATCATAGATGTGGAACAATATGTGGAGATTAATATGTAGTGCCTAGATTTGAAGATTGTGATGATGGCAATCTCTTACCTTATGATGGATGTTACGAATGCAATTATTAATGTGTTTAACATTGCACTGATTGTAGAGAGAGTGTATGTTATGAATGTAATACACCTGGATGGACTTATGAGAGCATAACTTAAAAGTGCATTCCAGTTTGTGGAGATGGTGAGCTTAATGGATATGAATAATGTGATGATGGAAATATTTTTGACAATGATGGTTGTAGTAATACTTGTGAATATTAATGTCATATAGCTTGTCTTACTTGTGACAGAGGTAAATGCTTAGAATGCGATCGCTATTTGGGATATTTTGTATCCAATAATTAATGTGCATCAAAATGTGGAGATGGTTTGTGGGAATAAAATACAGAATAGTGTGATGATGGGAACCTTCTGAATTAGGATGGCTGTGATAAAAACTGTAAGATTGAGGTGGATTGGTATTGTAAAAATGAACCAATGCAAATTAGTAATTGCTTCTTCAAAAGATAGCCTAGTGTTGAATTGAAGTTGCTATCATAAGAAGAGAGAACATCCAAAATTGAAGTAACATTCTCTACTTAAATGATGCTCCAAAAAAACTACATCTTGTTTGAAAATGAAAACAATAATCCCACGTTAACAGACTTTTAACTTTTCATGGTCAAAGTTGATGAATTAAACTAAGGAGATTTTGATTATACTATTGAACCTGTTGTTGGGATCTAAGAATTTCCTCAAGAAGTTAAATACATCATAGATTTAAAATTACTGAAGAATATTTCATATGATTAAATAAATGTAATAATAGTTGTTGATAAGAAACTGATTATTTCTGAAGACTTTGTCAAATTAGAACAAAACTCAGGTTAGATTAAAATCTCAATTCCTTTTATTTAAGATGAATTGTCTCAAAAAGTTGTTGAACTTTTCTCGAATGCAAATGAAATTTCAATATACACTACTATGTGTGTCTCTCTAGTGAGTATATTCTCAACTGGCTATTCAAATCTTTTTATGACTCTTGATACTATTTAATATCTCTACTACACAAGATATATCAATATGGAATTTCCTTAAAATTTGCAATAGAATATGGATAATCTAAAGAAGTCTTCTGTGAGTTCAATGGTTACTAATAAACTCAAATAAACAGGGTTATCCTAAAAGATGGCATCTCAACCCAAAGAAAATAATGAATAAGAATAAGGAATGCCCAATAAATTTAAATAAGATAATCTACACTATTAATTTAGTTCAAATATATAAACAACAGCTGTCGCCTTATCCATAGGTCTGAGTATCTTCCTAACAACTTTATCGATCTCGAAACTACTTCATTTGATTCCACCTCACAAATTAAATGATCTTGGTGGAATAATTGGTGGGGGAATCTTGAAAGTACGATCAAAATGTACTAAGATATCTAATGACTTTGTTTACTCTGGAGCCATTAGATTAATAACAGTTAATTTTTATGAAATGCAATTTGCATCATTAATCCAATTATCACATGTTAGTTTTAATTCTTATAGTGATATAGCAAATAATAGTGGGGCTGTTGCCACTCTAGCCTTCACCTGCATTTTCACTAGTTTGCTTATTCATAGAATAAGATAGATCTAGACTAAATAATCCTTGACAATGAAGCATTACATTAAAACTTTATTTTAATCAGATGAGAAGAGCTATTTAAAGTCAACTTGGTAAATGCAGTATAATACGATTTTGCTTGTGAAAAAGTCAGTGTATATGTTTATAATTGTTTGTTTCCAAAACCAAGGACTTTATTAAACACTTGGTGTTGCGACGTAAGCTGCAGCATTTGCAACTTATTTGGCTGTATCTTCACCATTTTCGAATAGTGAGGATCAAATTAAACAGTTGATCACAGAATTAGGAATGATGGCCAATACTCTAAGCTTTAGTGCATACTACACTTACGAGTATTTTTCGATTTCAAAGGAGAGTTTAAGTTAGATTGGATGGTTTAATATAGGCATTTTCACAACTATATTGACGTCAAATTTAGCCATTGACTTTTCTTCTTAGGCTAGAGTGTTATACAAGAAAGTAAAGAGGAGCTTTAACAAATTCATGGAGAATTAGATGCCTACTCAATCGAGAGTCTAGCCCATTTTTGTTTGAGTGATGATAATTTTGGTTGTATTTTTGATGATGCTTCAATTTATAAATATTCATATATTTGTTTTAAGTGTTTGTACTTAATAAAAATTTGTAAAAATTATTAGTTATGAAAATATTATTCTGGTTAATCTCAAGGTGTTATTTGTGGTTACCTCGTAAAATTCAGAAGTCTGTGTAAAAATCTTTATTGTTACAACAGGGTATTGATTAGACACAAAAAGTAAAATTTCAAACTTAAATTAGATTGAATTCTCGAATGGAGAAGTGCAAAAGATCACCAATTTTGAAATTGCAACCAATAATATCAAATTAATTAGTGTATGGCAATGTCTTATTTGTTTAGATTAAAACTCTTATAGTGATATTTATAGAAAAAATTATTAGCGTTGAGAATATTATAATACTTGGAATTCTGATTATCGCACTTTCTGGATAAACTTACACTCATGATCAAAACGAAGAAGTCATCGTATATTACACTCTTTTTTGCTATCTCTTTAAACTGTTATTATCTCTAATGAACACATCAATAATTGCATTTTAACGAAAGACTTAATAAAATACAATTAATTCTTAGCAATGCACCATCATTGCCAAATTTCCTGATGTTTCATCGAAGCAACTCTCCAATTAAAATGTTGAGTAAATTAAATAATTATCCTTTAATAGGTTGCATTCGTATGAAAAAATTACTTGGAGCTAATTAACAGTTGGCCACATTATTTGTTTACAACAGAATGAACAGAGTCCAGCTGATCTATTGATCCTTGATTCAAGTAAAGAGCAGGTTCTAATAAACTTTGATCACAGAACTCCCTGCTCTTGCACTTTCGTGAGTTTAAATTAGACTATTAAGGGAAATATTTTAGACTTCAAAACTAAGTTAAGTGGAACTATTTAATTCACTGCAACCGATCTTACAATACAGGGGACTATCAAGTTGAAAAATGACCCAAAATTAACACCATTTACCAAAAAGAATATGATTTAGAGAGGAGAAAGATTGGATTCAGTTGATTGGATATTTGGAATGGTTATTAGAGTGGGGAATGATTGCATAGCATAATCCAATTTTTATAATGAGAATTTCAAACCCCCCAGTTGGATACATAATGTATATTAGAAGATAATACTCATTTTAATTGTTTTGTTTTTGATTTTGCTGGTTCCAAACATAATTTTGTATTCATTCTAATCTTATGAGAAGTATTTCTACAGTAGTATATGTTATTGTTTATTGATCATACCTTAAAATTTGTTGTGGTTAAATTAATTTTGGCTTTTAATTAATATGGTGAAAAATAATATCATTTTTAATAAATACAAGAATGCTCAAAATGTCCAGTAAAATTCAATGAATAGATTATTAAGTGAAATAAATGAAAATCAGGTAGTCATCATTTCTGAAAACGAGAAAAAGGTCTTATTACCCATTCAAAAGCAATTTAAGATAAATCTTCTGCCCATCTAATAAACAGAAATATAACTGTTGAAAAAGAAGAAGGACATTTTCAAAGGATTTTTAACATTGTCATAGATAAATATCCTTGATATGATTAAAGGTGACATGATTTTACTCGACAACCCTTAAGAAATATTTAAAAATAAACCATAAATTATGTAGATCATTACAAAGGATTAAAAATAATATATTTTTAATTATTAAAAACTACAAGAATTGGTCAAGAAGGCATCTCCTACATTAAAAACAAATTATGAAAAATTATTAATAGATACGAATAGATAATAGACTAATGATGAATAAAAAACATAAGATCTAGAAGTATTACTGGCAGAGAAGAAAGTTCCAAATTTAAGAAATTCAAATGAAGGTCTCTTTTAAATCAAAAAACTCTAATTGGCATCAAGGGAAGAACTTGTTAATAAAACCTTATTAGGCACATAAAAGCAATAGTTGCCTAAAAAGAAAAGTACACGATATATCTTTGATTAATCTTTTGCAAAGAAATCACTTGATAGAGTAGACTCAATGAAAGATCTTACTAAATTGAATAATAGTACACCAAGTTCTTTATAAAAATAAAGAAGTTAATTTTTTGGTAAGGGAGGCACTCTCATAAAACAATGCAATAATAATTCTTCTCTATAAGTCTCGCCAACAAAATAAAATGAAGATTAAGGAGTGGATAGATTGATAGGAGATTATTATAATGAATAAGATTTTATTGATTGCCTTTATAAAAAGGAGGACACACTTCACAATGAAATTTTATTGATGATTCTAATTACTAATAATATATTAAGTGTTTTTGATGACCAAACTAGAGAACTATAATTTAATTTTGGCAATAAATTTGATGAACCGTTATTGGAATTTACAAAAGTCTTTAATTATTAATTATTATGCAGTACTGAAATTGAGAACTCCAGATTGGATTATAAATTAAAAAGTTATATCAAAAAGGTGATCTCTATAGAAAATTAAGTTAAGGTCTTTGAAGTCTTGGCCTTTTTGGAACCTACTGAAAATAGAAAAAATACACTATCTGTTTTGGTCAGAGATCCCGAATCATTTCTTTTGGAAGAAGGTTCAATACTATACACAAGAATTTAAACAGCCGAATTGAAAAACATATTTAAAGGAAAAAATGATCGTCATAACAAATAGCCAGAATATTAGAGTTACTATAATGAATAATTATAAGAATTGTTATGGGATGGACAATCAACTTTTGTATTCAGTAAGCGATAGTTGAGCCAAAACTAGACATCAGAGTTTTTGGAAAAGCTGTCCTAATTGCATGATGCCTATGGAAATAGATCTTAAGAAATAGAAATTGAGTATTAGAAATTGGAATAATAAAATGAAATACTATTTTGTATAGGAATTAGATCAGGAAATCATCACAACACTTCTCAAATTTCGTAGAATGAATTTTAAATGGATTCTCTAAAAGAAGAGAAGTTATTCTAAACACTGCAGATGTAAAACATTAAAATTTGTTTAACTACCTCCGAGTCATATGATGAATTGATTATTTTTCTTAGATCACATCAAGTGGTTTAAAAAGAATAAATAGTTCATTTTTATGAGAAGGATGTGCAGTAATTATAATACAGGTTTAGATAACATATTTAATATATGTTAGAAGAATAAGATATAATGGGGAGTGATGTTTAACAGCACTTAGAGAAGTATATAATAATCAGTAAAGAATCATTCAAAATAATACTGCAGGATGATTATCTAAAATATCATTTTGTTTTTATGACAGAATTTGCAAGTGGTTTAGGAGCCTATCAATTTACTGGTAAGCGTAATGGATAATTAGTGAAATTGCTCAAATTAAACAAAAAAAAAGTAATCTCTATAGGAAATTCTTTACAAAATAATTATTTATTTAACAAATCAGACATTAGTTTTACTTTGACATAAAATAACCCATTCTTTTGTATTACTTAACCAAATTTTGTAGTTAGAAATATTAAACAAGTATTTTAACTGTTTTTCTTTTATTGCACTCAGTATTTATAGAATTACATTTCCTTTTTAGAAATCCAAATATACAGAAGTACTTTAATAGGATTATCAGTTTTTGGTATCAACCTTTATTAAAGCGATATAAGCATATTCAATTTCATGATATTTTTCCTTATTCCCAGCAATATATCCACTTTCATATTTTAATCATACTTGCTCATCAATTAAGTAGATTACGATTAGAAATACTTCAATAGTTTGACCAAAAGGTTGACGATTCTAAAAACAGAAAGTATTTTAAAATAGTTAATTAAAATCATAATAATTGCAATATTTGATTCTGCTTTATTGATTATAGTAGAGAAGGCACTTATACATTTAACTTATGGAGATGGAAAGATCAACTAAACAAGTTAAATAGTTTTGTTGTATGTAGGAATTGAGCTTTTGGAGAAAAGTAAATTATTGTTTATTGTTTTTGATGCATTCAATGATATATTATATAAGATAAAACAACTACTTATTATAATCTCTTTAACCTTTATATTGTCGATATGTTATTTGATAGTTTAATCAATTTAAGACAATTAGGAAATTTCATTACAATTCAACAACCCCGGATTATAAGTGTTTATATTCATGGCTGTATTTTTAGTCGGTTTATCTTTTGTGCTCAAATTAATGCTGCAAATGATTAATATGGAATTTTCATTTCCAATTGATAACTCCCAATTAGAAGTTCACATGAAAGAGATCAATAATATTAAATTGAACCTTAACTCTGACGCAAATGAGAAGGGGTACTTTCAAAATATAAAGAAAATGATAGAGACCTTATTTGAAAATAAAGACATTGTTGATGAATAAATAACAAAATTTATTAAAGTAGATCAGACTACAATAGATTACATGGATAAAAATCATGGATTTTATGATAGGAGAACTGAGAACGATTTCATGGATTTCTTTAGATAGTAGAATTGGTAGAAGTATAGTTTGTCCTATGTATTTGTATTCTATGAAGGGACAATATTTATTTCTCGACTCTATGAAATAATGATGAATGACTTTTCAACATCAATCCTAATAATAATCATCATCTAATTGATGTTGTAATTGCTGATTGTAATATTCTAATTCAAATTCATAAATAACAAGACGTCGCAATAATACTTGTAAATAGTATCATTTGGATTGCGATTCATCTTTAAAATCCTAATAGATCTACTTTATTTAGATGACAGAAAGGAGTTCACTGCTTTTCTATATCATACCTTATTTAGTCTATCCTTTGCCCTCACAACGCAGCCAAAAATTAATATTTACTTATACGCTGCCTTGCAATTGCTTATGTATCTATTTGATTTGGTGTTGGATGGGTTCAGCATTAAATATGATAACATTAACGAGGCTATATTTTGTTCCTTCAAATACTTCTTCATAATAATAGCAATCTCATACCCTATCTTCAATTATATACAAAAAATACAGTTTCTATAAAGATCCTCGTATGTCTACCAAAATAGATTGAGCAAGGAATAGAAAAAAATCAATAGTGTGTTGGGTTTGCTAATGCCTCGATTCATACAAGAGAGAATGAATAAAGGCTAAATTTAAATATCGTAAGATTAAGGAGATGTGAGTGTGTTATTTTGTGACATTTATCAGTTCGATAAGGTAATTAAGGATTAATAGGAAAAAATAATAGAATTCTTAGATACAATCTATAGAGCCTTCGATTAATTGTGTCAAAATTACGACTTATAGAAAATTGAGACTGTCGGGAAAACATACATGGCAGCTGGAGGACTTAAAGATTACGATGTTGTGATAAGTAAATTAAAATTCGATCATTTTAGATTAAAAGAATGCCAACAGTACGTCAAGAGCTCTTGAGACTGCTATACAAATGATGGAGACAGTGAAGACTATGAAATATGGGGATAATTAGGATGTGCAATTAAAAATTGGAATTCATTATGGGAGAGTGATAGCTGGAGTTATTGGTGTTCACAAACCTTAGTTCTCATTGATAGGAGATACAGTTAATACGACAAGCAGAGTATGTAGCACAGGCGAAGCTGGATTTATTACTTTGAGTGAAGCTGCATATTTGCATGTGAAGGACAATACTAAATATTAATTTGAGAAGAAATCAGTTGCTGCTAAAGGTAAAGGGATGATAGAAACTTATAAATTGATTTTATAATAAAAAGAATCAACAAGGATATTGACTCCGAAAGTATCGACATCCGAATATCAAGATAAGAACTCAGTTTAATCTAAAGAACCTAAGAAGATAATGAATTTTAAATCATCTACGGACAAAAAGAATATCTTTAAAAGACCATCAGTTCAACCTGCCCAAATGGGAGCCTTGAATCTCAATGATCATGCCAAATCCCCCAAGGTAGTCATTAGGTAACTACATAGAGAAACCCAATCTTCCGTTATGCCAAATATGATTTTGAAAAAAAAACCATCAATAGAAAATGATTTAGATGGCAAACGTTTGAATTCCATCAAATCTAAATCATTTAATTAGGTACCATAATTATAATAATTTTAAGAATGATGACGTGAAAGACAACAACCATAGTAGTAATGCAAAGACTCCTGGGTTTCAAAAAAATTGGATCTAAAAACGACAAAGTGCTGTCGAAGAAAAATTACCTAATTTTTTAGCATAACCCAATAATCAATAGGATTCAATTACCTAGATTTAGTTCCAGACAGATATTAAGCCCCAAGTCTAGGCTGTATCTCAATCGTGCTAATAACAATTATTTTAATCTGGTGTGAACCTGTCTCATTAATCAAATCAATAGTAATTTCTACATTCAGCTGATCAATTGATAAAAGTGTCTGATTAATAACTGGATAATAACAAACAAGAGGGTCTTAATTTTATTCCAAGACCATAATTGAGGAAGAAAGGGACCATAATTTTGGGAGAACTAATTTAGAAGAAGGGAGGGATCATAAAATCTAGTACTAAGATAATACTCCCAGAGGAAAGGGATAAAAATTAAATAGTCAAAGTATCTGGAGCAGGAGTGGATAGTGATTCTTAAATGGAATAGAAGAAATAAGTCAAAAACTAAAGGTCTTTCAAATATCAACACTTATAGGATTCTAGTTCTGCTTTGAAGAAGAGTCCAGAATCCATGAATGAAAGATTAGAAGAATTGGAAATAGCCAAAAAGAAGTTGATCATTACGCCTGAATAGAAGTTTGATTATTAGACCTTAGAGACAATTAAGAAGTTTAAACTTGACTATGATGAAAAGTCTACTTTTGAAATTGATAATAGTCAATTCAAAACGAATGATCAACAGTTATACCATTCTATTTATGAGGAATATAAAGAATAGGAGAAATTATAGATGAGGAATATTTTAGTATTTTTAACAACCTTGAAATTGTTTAAGGGTCTGTTATTATTCATCATAAGCCAATAATTTAATGATACATAGATTGAACTATTAGTTGTATAGGTGTGTTAGTTTGGGATGTGCCTAATTTTGACAATCAGTTACCAAATGATTTTGGATAGAGTGAATCTGGCAATGCTTAAGATTATCATTTGGATATACTTTTTGAGTTCTAGTAGTCTTTCTTTGTTAATAATTAATTTCGAGAAAAAGGAAGAATTTGAGGTAGTTCTACAAGCTATATCAATAAGTGTTTTGTACATCAATGTTTATCTTTCATAAATATTAAACTATGAAGATAGATAGAGATTTATTGCTATGTTCATAATATTGATAACAATAATGATAGTATATGAAGCTTATATTTTGGAATTATTAATCTATTTGATGGGAATCTCAGGATTAACGTTCTTTTGTTAGATGCAAGAGAAGGACTTATTATTTAAGAACTATTTAATAAGTTTGCAGTTGTCAACTTAAATAGCGAAGTATGAAAACATGCTCCAATATCTGATGCCTCCTCATGCTTTGAGGAGATTGTTGAATCCTGATTAAGAGAATACGGACACATTCATGGATGTATTGGAGAATGCTACAGTACTATTTGCAGACATCGCTGGCTTCACTAAATATTCAAGTTCTGTTGAACCCGAAACAGTGGTAGATATGCTTAGGAATCTATTCTCAAATTTTGATCAGTATTGTTAGAAGGCGGAAATCTATAAGTTGTTTACGATAGGAGATTGTTATGTGTGTATGGGAGTGCTGGATTGTAAGAAGAGAGACCCTGCAGGAGAAGTAAGTTTAATTTTAAGAGTAGGCCTAAAAAGTCTTAGCATTTGGTTTTAGTATGATTGAAATCATCAATCATTACAAGAAGGACCCTCAATACTAGCATCTGAATATGAGGATTGGAGTGCATACGGGCAGAGTTTTGGGAGGCGTGGTGGGAACGGATGTAGTTAGATACGATATTTATGGGGAAGATGTTACGATAGCGAATCTGATGGAATCATCAGGACAAGTAATAAATCATCTAATTTTAGGAGGGGAAGATTCTCGTAAGTGAAATCACGAAGAATTTAGTAGAAAATGAATATGAAGGATTCCAATTCGATTATGCCAAAGATGTTTATCTTCCCTCTAAAAATTTAACCATTTCTACTTATTATGTTTCGCCTAGTGATGTAGAGTACAGTTAAAATGATTGATTTTTCTTCCTTAAATTAATGTATTTATCTTATAATTAACTTTATGATTCCTGCCAATAAATCGCCTCAGGAAGTGGAAATATTCTTTTGCTATTAATAAGCCATTAATAACTTAGAGTAGGGGAGAATCAATGATGGGAAGGAATAACTGAAAAATCTGCTCCATTCCAAGATTGTTTAGAGTTAGGAGAACAAAACTATTCATTATGCTACATTAATTTCATTGGCTGAAATATGTGGGAGAAGCAATGAAATTAGAGAGAAATGCGAAGCTCTCAGGTACTATCATGAAAGCAATGCCATCATAGAGGATTGTTGGGAAACCAATAGAAAAATGGCCATTATCTTTAGATAAATAGGTCTCAATTTTAGAGCCTTGCACTTGACTTTGAAAGCGTATTTATTCATCCTTAGGATTTAGTTTGGAGTCTTGTCAATAGGTCCAAGGCAAAATAATAATGTACTATTAGGTTTGCTGTTTAGCATTCTTGATTAATGAAGTAGATTACTTTAATCAGTATCTGGAAAAGATGCCTGATGAAAACAAATTGAAGTAACAACTCCTAGAATTAGATTAATATATTAAGGAATCGAAAACCACTTAATTTGTGAATGAACTTCTAGAAGAAAGAAACTAAATCTCTAAAAAATTAGAATAAATACCAAAAGAATATTTAATTCTAGATTACTTCTATTAAGAATATGAATGCGAAATCTACATGGATGAATTAGACCTCAAGAAGTTTTTTAAAAAACTCAGAAAACTATTAATAAATAATCTACACATCGATGAAGACACAGAAGAAATACACTAAAGAGACATTTCCATACTTCTAAAGACTGTTTTCATTGTCAAATCGAAAAAAGATAAACTGATTCCACAGAACAAACCCAAAGAACAGCTTGAAAAAAATGTTAAATAGCGTCTGAAATAGAAATTAAACCTTGATTTAAACAACAAAGAAAAATTTTCATTATAATCCATTCTTCAGAAAGAAAATTCCAAATTTATAGAAATAATGAAAAAATGTGGAGTCAATTTTGATTCAATCTCAATATATGGCAAAAATACCATCTTACATAATTAACAAAATTAAGAAACAGAATAAAAGTAAACCAAGCCAGTCAATAATGGTTAAATAGGACAATATTTAGTTTATAAACTCTCACCTTCTAAGTTCTACTTTTTAAATCTAATAAACCAATTAACTGAGCTTCTCTATAAATTATCTGATGAATTAAACTTTGATTAAGAAGCAGTCGAACAAGCTTAAATTGAATTAGTTAAATGTTATATTTGGGTATAATACTTTATCACTGATTTAACTAATGATCCTAAAATAGATCTTAAAATTCTCTATTTATTATTCAATGAATTTAAATAAAGAATAAAAAATGAAAAAAACAAAACTAAAATGTAAACAATCAAACTAAAAAATTATTAGAAACTGATATTAAAATTAAATGACAAGTTGCTATTTTAAATCAGCTTTAAGAAATCTTAAAAAGACCAATTAATATCTTAAACAAAGGAGTTCAAAATGATTATGTCTCAAATTCATAATGAATTCAATATCCTAAAGAATCTCCCAGCTTATTGTTACAATCAAGGTCAACTTAATAGAAACCAATAATTGGCTAAACTTTTAGAATTTTCACTCCCAGAAATTCTAGAATATTGGGAATAACCAATTTATTAGATTGAAAAAGGGGATCAAGTATAAACACAAGTGGCTAAGATAAAGAACTTCCTCAAAGATGAATCTAAATTATGTGACTAAAAAGAAACCTATCTAATTTTGAATGCTTGCATTAAGCAACTATATTATAGGCAAACAAAAGAGTAATGCAAATAAACATTCCAATTAATTAAACCTATTTTTGAATAATTCTTTAAATTAACCCAAATTAATTCGATCATTGCTGTTTGCTTGTTAAAATTAACATTTATTTATGGAGCCATAGATGAAGAAGCTAGTTAACCACTATTACTATTTTTATTATTCTATTATAAGAAACTACAGTCTCCATAAAAAGATCTTTTTTTAATAACAACACTATAATTAAAATAAATTAATTTATGTAAATTTCTAGAAACATTTAATTTGAATCAACTAATCAAAGACATACTTGACTTAAGACAAAAGATGAAACAAGAATATCAAAATATTTTGAGGAATTTTACAGAAAGATTTTAAGATTCGAAGGATGTTCAGTATTATTTACTCAATTATATCGGCGAGAAGTCTGGCGTGTATGGTCATTGCACAGTTTAAAAAATTTAAATGCATTTTGAAACGTAACCTGCTGAAAATACAAAAACTTTAGCTCCACCTGAGATATATTCAAGTGAGTCTGAGGATGATTACGATTATATTTCTCCTTATAATAGATATTTTAAAGATATTAAATTGACTAATGAATAGTTAACAGAACCCTTTAAAATTGGATCAAATCAATATTAATTTAGCATTGAAAAATAAAAATACTTATTAAGTCATAAATTATCTGTCAATTTGGGAGATCCCAAGATTTCTAATCAAATTAAAAGAGTTTCGAAAGAATTAGTCAAACAAATTTACTCCTTTTCCACCAAGGATCTTAAAAAATCATTTATTGTATATTTCTTTGAGAATTACTATTTCAGTCCACATTATGTTTAAAAAGAATTGTTTGAAAATGAAATTAAATTTATTGGTTACTTCTTGCCAATTTGCTATAACAAGTTTTCAAATAAAAAAGCAGTTCATAATTTTGCCAACACAGTTATTCTAAAAAACATTCCAAAGAAAATAGACTCCTAAGTTTATCAATATGCCACTGCATTGAATTAATTGATTTTTTCAAAGTAATCCTAATAGTAACCTCCCAAGCTTAATGAGATGAAAGATCTAATAGCGCAACAAAAATTATAGAATGATTATTTGGCCAATATTTATTACTTGCTATAATTATCAAGAGAGGATGATAAAAATAATATGTATATTTGTATAGCAATAGCGTTGAACGAGGTCCCTTTTTTTTGGAACTATCTTTATATGAAAATTTTCAATCAGGCATACAATTAATTAAATCAAAAAGCATAGCCTTAAGAGATAGACTGGTTTATTAGCTAAAAAAAGATTTAAGTTCACTTATAAAAATTTTAAACTCTGGCTCACCTTTTCGAATATCGATTCATTATGGATTTGTTAAAAGCACAGCAGAGATAACTAGAATATGAAAGTTAACCAAATGAAAAAAATTATTAGAAAGTGCAATAGGCATACCAATTTTTACTTTCTTAGAATTAATTTACAATACCAATTGATATTTTTGATTTATAACACAATTTCAGGGCGATTTTATTGATTGAAAAAAAAATATTACGAAAATTAAGGAGCGTACCAATAGAAAGAATTATTCAATCAATTACCAATTATTCAAGCATTAACAAACTTATTATTTAAATGAAAGATAAATAAATGAATTACTTTTATAACTCCGCAGAGGGAGAAGTGGAAAGTATATCAGATTTATCAATCAATGTTTATAAGTATCTGAGAAGATTCATTTAGAGTAATAATGTAAATGGTCTATGTAAATTACTAGAAATTATTGAAATTAAATTTCCTTTGTTGATGGAAAACATTAAAGATAATGAAGAATTCTAATATATTTTATAGCCTGAACTAAGATTTTATAAGACATAACTATAGGAAAAATAAAGTTAATCATCCAATTAATTTATAATATCTAAAGACTTTTAATAAAAAATAAATATGGTAATGATGAATTTGTGCTTGTTCTTTGAAAAAATTAAAATGAGGATTGATCGTGCTGCTCCTTAAAGATATGTGATCGAAGGCATATATTATTTCTGCCATATATAATTAAACAATAAGAATTTGTCAAAGGAAAAGCTTGAGAACTTACTTTAAATCATTTCTTTAATATTTTCCACTTAAAATAAGGACTTAATAAAATATTACAAAAAGTATGGGGAGGAATATTCCGAATAAGATGAAGTCTTAAGATAATATTATCATCATGATCTTATATTTTAATACTTAAAATAAAAGGTAGTTAAGATTGTTGTCAAGATATATATTTTATCTAAAAAGTGGAATGAGCTAGTTGAATTACTCGAAGTTATGCCAAAACAATTTGAAATAAGGGGATATTAAATTTGTTTAGCTTTAATAGAAAATTGGAAGCTTTTGGAGGACCCCCAATTGCTAAAAGATGCAATATGTCAGATTGATTATTTTCTTAAGAAAAATATACAGTATTTTCATTTGAATGAAAATAAAGACTATAATAACATGCTTCTTAAATTTTATGATACAGTTTTGAGTAAAGAAGAAATTATTAAGGATGCTCAATCAGAAATAGAAAAGATATATTAAGCCAAAAAGTTTATGAATAACCAAATAAAGATTTTAAAAAAATTCAAGAGGGATACTTAGTAGAATTAAGAGCCATAAAACTTTATAGAAATAGGTTGAGAACAAGAATAATATTATTTCATAATATATGCTTAATTAAGGATTAATCATAACATTCTCAAAGAAACAGATTTTTTTTTTTATTCATTCATAAATTTATTAAGTTTCTATTTCCTTTTCTCAACTTATTATAAAATAATATATAATAATTAAATTCTCAATTATAAATAATTATTAATTCTTTGCAAATGTGTAAATTGCGGATCCTAAGAAAACTATTTCTGAATCAGAGCTCAATTTGAAAAATAAATCCTTTTATTAATTTATTTTCCTTTCAATTTGTGATGTCGCATACTGTTTTATAATCAGTATAAATAAAATTCAATATATAAAAAATTATATTGAATATTTATAATTAATAGGATATGATTTTTAAACATTATTCAATAAGATTCAAAATAACATCAAATAATAAAATCTGTTGTTTAATTAGAAGGTGAGCATAAACATAAATATGATTGTTCAATTTCACAATTAATTCGCATGGGTTGAGGATTTTCTTTTATAAAATTTGTTTTTAAATATGCCGAAATCTTTGCTGTCGTTTTCCTTATCGTTTTTCGAATAGTAATTGTCCTCTTTCCTTTTAGGGTCTGTGCAAAATTAAATCTTTTGTTATCTTAGGTAGGTTAGTATTGATTTTATTTTTGTATTTGGTTTATGATATAACTCCAATTCTAAAGAATCAAGACTTGAATTCAATTCTTCTTGCATAAAATATATTTATGAATTAATATTTTTTAATAAAAGAAAAGCATAGTCGTTAATTCTGACCTTAAATTAGATTAAATTATTACTAATAATGCATAATATATCATAAAAACGATTTTGGGTCTATTTTAACTACATACATATAAGTACAAAAAATTGAATAACCACTTAAATTATATACAAGTATTAAGACTTGATACGAATATTTAAAAAATAATTAAATAAATCAAAAGTTGATAAGATATTAAATTCGAATATCTACAAATAACGACGCAGAGTAAGGTTGATTGTTAAGGCCATTAAAAATCTATAAACAAGACTTTAAACTCATTTTAAGGTCTTATGTAATTAAGTTCAAATATCTATAAACTATCTAATTTGACGAATATTATTTGAATATTAAGTATTTTTGTAGTTCTTATAGGTTATACACGAAAAATTTAATCACAAATTTATGATATAACTAAATTCTTAATCAGCTTTTTTAATAAATAATATATTTGAAGTTCAATTTTTATAATTAGAATAATTAATAAACAATAGACTTCAAAATACATGTCAAAAGTCAATCAGGAACTTTATGAAAGAGCAATACAGATAATAAATTAGGACGCATAGATATATCAAAAATTAAATGCAACTCAATTTGATAAAGGATTGGATCTTTTTGAGATTTATTCAGAATGCTATGATATAAATGTTATTGCTAACAATAATGTCTAAAGAATAATAACATCTATTGATTCAGAATCCAAAAGTATTTATGAAAAAGAAAAAGAGTTTGAACAAAATGATGCTTTAATTTAGTTATAATTTTTACTCAAATAAATATAAAACTAGTACTCAAGTGATATCAGATATTAGAAAATTATAGCTGCTACTGAAGAACTTATTTCTTTTATAGAGAATCATAGTGATCTTTGTAAAAGATTCCGAATATAAAGTGATCAATTAATATACTTAAGAATATGTGGTTAAGATCCTCTTTAATCACTTATTTTAAAATCTGGACTAAATTTAGTATTGATATCTTTAATAATTTAGCTTACTGAATGGTTGGTGGCAATGTTATACAAATTAAGAATAAACAAAAAAATTGAGTTTGAGGCTAAAACTTAGGCGAGATATTAAGCGAATGTAGTGTTAGAGTTTGTCTTGAAAACGTAGGATTCTGGCGTAAAAAATAAAAAGGAGTATTAACAAAGAATAAGGGAAACTTTATTAGCAGATTCATCGTTGACTGCAGAGATCTTATCAGAGGGATTTGCTTTATCAAAATTAACAGAATATTTAGTTGGATCGTTGTAAGGGGGCTGTTGTGAGATTAGTCAATGGGTAAAGAGTGTGAAATAGATTGCAAATTTGAAATTGAATGGTACATCGAATACGTCTGAAAACTAGTGAGATTGAAAGTATAATTTTTATAATTTTATTATTTTAATAAATTTTAACTACAAAATAGAATAAGTCTCAAAAAATAGATATAATCAATGAAGATATTTAATAGTATATTAGTTCCATTTCTTCTACAGATTAATTAGTTTGATACTAAATCTCATCTAAGTAATCAATGCTTTTCATTAGTTCTTCATATAAGGTATTAAATATTTTTAATTATCCAGTTAAATTTATTTTAATAAGTTTGTTAGATAACTCGACAATAAAATTTTGTTTTTGTTTAAATAATTATTTTTCTTCCTTAACTTCACTGATAATTTCCTCATAATATGGGGAAGGCGTGATTAACAATGGTGCTATTCGACTTTATCTATGATGATTTAAGATATCTTTAATTTTCACTCTTTTTTAATATTTTCCACTCTTTTTATTATTCAAAATTTTCTTCTGAAGATTTTTTTCATCTTCTCTTACTTGAGCAAAGTTTTAAAGCATTTACTTACCCAATACCATACTGTGTTTTCTCGATAATAATAAGGCTTATTTCCTATGATCTATGATTTTCCTGACAGCCATTTTAAATATAGCCTGATATTTCCATTTTTTCTCTTATTTCAGTCCAAAAATGAATCTAATCAATTTTTTATGTATTTATTGATAGGAATCCTTAATAATACTTCTTTTAAATTGTCTCTCTAATAGTTACTTTTTTGTAACATACTAATTCATTAATTACCCATCTAATGCACTTATCCTTTTTATTTATTTTGCACTTTCTATTGAGACATAAGGATATATAAATACTTTTAATTTTGGAAATGCTTTCCTGCAATAAAAGTCTTCTTCTTAATCCTAATTACTCAATTTCAAAGAGCAATTTTTCATCATCTTAAACTAATTGTAAGAATTAAAATACAGGACACATAATAACAACAGAGTCCTTACTGGCGATTGCTGCTTATTTTCTATAGGTATCCTCTAGTATTTCAATTTCCCCAAAAATATAACCTTCTTTGATATTAAGAAGTGTGTTGCCATCCTTATCACATAGACGGATCTCTCCAGCCACTAAGAAATAGACTTCAAGACTAGGAGATCCATTGAAATATACAGTTTCATACTGTTTGAAACAGTAAATAGAAAAATAAGGTAGGATGGCAGCAGCAAAGTTGATATCAAAAGAGAAGATGTTGACATTTTCGATTAGTTGTTTTTGACAAAATGCAATGGCAAATACTTTAAGTTGAGATGGCAAGGTTTCAATGATTCTATCATCTTTATTATAAAAATGAAATACTTCTTGTAATTCCAAAATGGATTGTTTTCAATATTATAATAATAATAGGAGAATAGTTAAGCACTTAATTCCTCTGGTATGAGGATTTGAGACATCAGAGTCTCCAGGGCCTCTAAATCTTCATCAAAGCCTTCGTTTGCAGATTGCTATTCCAAAATTGCAGCTAAGTTGCCGATAGTCATGGAATAGAACCCAACTCCCAAGAATATCCAAATGATTGTTAAATTATATTATGTTGAGGTTGTCATAGGTACATCCCCGTAGCCAATGACTGTAACAGTTTGAATAGCCCAATACAATCCTTGAATATAGATTTTCGAACTGTCTTCTTATTATGAAATTCCATCGTATAATAAAACAGAATGAAACAAACATCCAAAAAGACTGATTAAGATGAGCATATTTTTGAATATCTTTAAAATACTCAACAATTTCCCATCGAGTTAAAATAATCTCTCGAAATATTATGATTAGTCTTAGGATGTTTAGGCCTCTTAGTAGATTTACCTTTCGTTGTAGCTGAAATACTTAATAAATCTCAGTAATTTTAAGAGATTTAAGCATAATTAATCTGTAAAATCATTAACAAATAACTTATATGGGATGATACTGAGGATGTCGAATATGAGCCATCTTTGCAGATTAAATAGGAATATGGCCTAGAAGGTATCGATTAAATTATGATTTTTATCGATTTGACATGTAACTTATTTTAGAATGATGTCAACCAAATATAAACTATCCAAAATCAAAATAAGAATGGTCAAAACATCCTAAAATGATTAATATGAATACTAAACTCTTATAGTCTGAGAGACTGATGTAGATTGGATACAACATCAAAGTAATTAATGTTTGCACTGACATAAATTATTTCCAAATTTGCAACTAATTTGGATAGAACGGCAGCTTTTTTCGTTTCTTGTGAATTTATTTAATCTATGATGTTTTATCTGTGTCTTTTGTTTGATTTATATGTCTAAAGAAGTTCAATAGGATCATTAATTTTCGGGATGCAGTATCAAATTTTCTTTTTGCTCTTCGATCTCTAAAATAATCATCTTCCTCAACAATTTAATCTTAACTAGTAAACTAACTACGTTTTGGAGTTAAGAATGCGCGATTGCTTATTCCACTTCGATAATATCAAATTATACTGTTTAGGTGAGATAATGAGAGTGGTTTCTTTTGATGTATGTCTACTCTATCTTATTGTATTAAATAGTTTGAGTGAACTATTCAAGTAAAATGGATATCATACTCTAATCCTGTTTTATAATCCTTGGTATCAATCGGAGATGAGCAACTAGGATGAACCTATCCAACACTCATTAATATGTTAATTTTTCTAATATTTACTATTGCTTAAGCTTTTAATGCAGAAAATACCTACACAATACATACAATTGAGAGGGACCATCAAGACCATCGCACCCCTTACCCTGAACTTTATGCTGTATAACATGTTTTCGATTCTATTGGTAAAGAAATAACCCTCCAAGGTATTGCATTAGTAGTATCAGAGACGGCAGAACAGTCCTATGTCAAATTCCAATACCCCAACTATCTAAACCTCTGAATGTGGATGAATTATCAATTGCCAGAATTCTGATAGAAGATGAAGCCAATAGCATTCTATTTCCATTAATAGATTTATGTGTGCATCATACAACCAAAGAATTTCTCTATGAATATTGCTTTAGAAAACACGTGAGACAATATGACGATTTAGATACGATTTAAAACATGCAAAAGATTGTAAGACTTATATTTATATTCTAAGTTAAAAGAGGACTTTAGTTTGGGATATTCGAATTAATTTATTTCCAAGAATTATTCCTATGCAGGTTTTGAGCCTCCTAATTCTTCATATTATTTAGATACTAATTATCATTAAATACGATAATAGATTGATCGATTGATAATTATCGAGGGATGCTTGGCCAAATTGAGAAACTATTAGATATCAGACAAATTCGAATATCAACTCAATATTTCAACATCAGACAAAATGTATACATTTCGTGTGATTCAAGTAATCTACAATGAATTGCTACTACTATCCTCATGTTCAGATGTAGTAATCATTTCAGATTACTACGAGATTATTCAATTAAAAAAATAGAAATCTGTAATTAAATAGAATCAATACTATCAATACAAGGATATTATTTATGGGTTGGATCTCTAAGCATAGACTATCTTTCATCCACAATAGAGTCTTGGTGTAATCTTAACAGACAAGCCATTTCTAGTGTAAGTAAAGAAAGTCATTGATTACTGTGCCATCTAAATCTTAGGTTACTTGCCTAATTCAAAAGACTAAAAGTCTCCCTCATTAATCTAAAAATTGATGGTAATGGATACCAATGCTATTTATGAACTATTAAAAGGATCTGTACTGATTTCAGAGAATACTCTATTTTATCATTAAGATAATAGGATCAATATTAATGATTTTATAACTTTATTTGATAATACTGCTTCAGCATTCACTTATGTTGAATCCTTCAGAGTAAGCTCAGAACATAATGGAATTGCCATTTTGGATAAGAAATTGACCAAGGGTTTGCGTTATGAAGGAAGAGCATTTATTAGAAGGAGTGGCTAATTTAATAAACTATCAAATGTTATTCCACCGCAACTCGACACCTTCGAATTTGATGATGAATACTTAATTTCACTGAATAAATTAGAATATGATCTCGTGCAAGTCCATATATTCAACAATCCAACTTAAGGATATCAAATTAAACAACAATATCAAAAATATATGGGAGTTACATTTTCTATTTATTAATTAAATAATGAGACAGCTTGCGCTTTATTCATCAATCTAATTAGCCATATGTATTTAGATACTTAGATTATCATATTGACATAGCCTCAACCAAATATTTATGTTAAAAACAAGTATGGAAGGTATGTTCAAATGGAATCTAGATTTCAAAATAGTAGTCTTCTAAATCAATTATATTGGATTATAGTGGATACTGAAACCGACGTGTTGTATGTTGGGAAAGGTAATTTAATAAAATTATCAAACACACTCATTGAATTTAAAATAGAGAGAATAAGAAGAAAAACTTATTCACCAATCATTTTTGAATTTGATAAGAAATCTAGTGGTTTGAAGATTTATGATATAATGCCACTTCCCTTGATCGATTTTGGACTATTTACTACAAACTTATCAACGTAGTACTATCATCCATTAAATTTTACAGGGGAAATAAATGGAGTTTTTGAAGAACATTATAGATTCGGTAGTTTTTGCAATCCTATTAATTCTACGAGATAGAGTCGAATCAAGCTTGAATGTTATCCAGGGGATTTGATGAGGTTCATCTCAGTTACAGAGGAGGAAACTTGTAAATACCAAATTAGAATTGGAACTTATTTGTTATGCGACAAAAAATATGAGATTTTGGAACCAGGTGAACATCCCATTATGTGTATGTTAAAATAATGATTCATTTATAATTATAAATTCATTTATCTATTATTTTCAAGGAATTAATCGAATCTAAGAACTTAAAGGAATCCGAAAATTTAGTTTTTAATAATTATTATTTTATAAATATCTATGATTGAAATTCCTGCAGATAACCAATAATTATCATCTTAATAAACACTTGAAATGCTTCAATTCTATGTACTATGTAAATATTATTATCTAGTTCGAAACCATTATTTCTGAATATACTGCATTCAACCATGCTCAAATTGTATATCCCCTTTATCAAACGTTTTTAGTTCAATTGAATTAAGAGCTCAGAACTTTAGAACAATCAAATATGGGAGATATATCAATTAATTAAACTTACTAGAATCTCAAAGTTCTTCAAAAAAAAGCATCAGATGACCAAATTATACAAGAAATGCTATTTGAATATGATGAATGTATCTATAATCTCTGATTTATTTAGTCATCCACCCTATTCAAATCCAAGCCCTGCCAAAACTAATCAATTAAAAGCAAAAACAACCCCAGAAATAGAAGAAAGCAGTTAGTTGCATTTTAGATGAAAATTGTGATAAACAAGAATTTTTAAAAGTTGGATCCTAATCAGTCCTATTACACCACACCAAAGAGAAAGTGTAGAGCTTCTCTGAATTAGACGAGAATAAACTTAATGTCATAAAGGAATTTGACGAGAAGAGTTACTTTTCGTAAATCAACTTCGAAAGGAACCCCTTATCCGATCTAAAAGCTGTCACCGAATAAAGATTGGCTTAATCCAAGAATTACTACTATAACGAAGCCTAATTAGATGATGTAGTTCTTTTTATATACATAGGCCTATTATGTGATATAACAAGCTAAGATGGAACTGCAGGATAACGAACTACTCCTAAAATGGTTCTACGAAACCTATGGAGAATACGTTACCTCGATCGAAGATAAAATGAATACTATGCAAATCAATCTTAATGAACTGGAATCAAGTGGCTGGATTATCGAAAAAAATACTAAAACACTTGTCATTAAATATAAGATTGATTCCAAAAACTCAACTGTGACTCTCTTCATGGATTCAGTATTTGAAGCAAATGTCACTAAATTGATGGCTTTAATTAATGAAATTGAACTATATCAAAACTATGTTCCATTTTGTGTTAGATCATCAATGCCCAAAAAAATCGGAAAATGCTGTAAAATTTGTGACATACAGGTGTATTTTCCTTTGATTTCTGACAGAAAAGCTGTGTTTGTTGGAGAAGGAATTGATAGGCTTAACATCAATGGTACTATAGTATTTCTTTGTAAATCTATTGACAATGATCCTGAATTTTTAAAAGTACATAATATAGACTTGTCAAAAGACAAAGGAAAGTTTGTAAATCTGATATTGAATTACTATGTATTTGAATTAACACCTATCAGTGAAAATAAATGTAGAGTAAGGGCTGTTACCAATTCAGATCCCCAATGTAGATACATACCTAAAGCATTAGTTGCCTTGGTTGCCAGAAAAGTATACAATTCATACTAAAAATATTAGATGGCCAGCACTTTGTTTGAGAAAATGTAAAAAATAACTCAGAATTTTGAGAAAAGTCCATGGTATCCTAAGTATGTGGAAAACCAAGAATTTTATGATTGGATCGACAATAAGGTTTAGGTGTATTTTTCTAAATAAAAATAAATATGATTTTAAACTCTTTTATTTTAATAATATTAATTCATTAGATGGTTACTTGAGCAAATATATAGCAATATTCCATAACCATTAAGTTTTCATCTTTTAATGGTATTGCTCTAAATCCTTCTCTCATATTTTTAAATGGTAAAGCATACTATCCTATGATAGTCTATTTATTGTCATCTGATTTATTGAACACTTTAAATATGAAGATAGCTTAATCCACATCTTTAACCTCAAAAGTTGTTTTTGAATAATTCTGATCAAATTCTGGATTCAATCCATTATTATATATAACATTAGTTTGCAACTCCTACCCATTTTCATCCACTTTATTTCCTTTAAGTTTCACAATCACCTGTGGATTTATGACATTTTTAGTGTGCAGTAAAAACAATTAGCAAGAGATGATCTCGAGAGTTACTAATTTTTTTGGATAATCCGGAGATTCAAAATTAGTCACTTAATCCAATCCTTCAATCAAGTATTTTGGTTTGAGAACATAACCAATACCAAGATTTTGTGAAAACCTTGCCCTATTAATTAACATGGGTTCATCTTTGGTTTGGAAGTTGAGGGCAATGATTTGAGCACCCAGAATGAAACTTGGAATTGGATCGAAATTGCTAGAGTCCACTCTCATTCCTGAAGGATAAATCCTAACTAGGTAATTGTTTAAATGTTATTAGACTTCCTTAACTTTCTTTTCTTTAAAGATTTTATCCACTTTGTCCTCACTCAAAGAAGATATGTTCCAAATTGATCGTTTCTTATTGATTTCAAAAGGAGAATTAAATAAGCTTATGCAACTCAAAAACTAAGGATGATGTTTGACATTCATACTCACAGGGATTACCAGATCAATTTAATCTCCTATCATTTTAAAATCACAAATTGCATCATGTCTTATGAATTATTTTTGTTTATTTTCATAATTCAGATTTTTTAAAGTTTTATTACTAATTCTTTGTTTCTATGCAATTTCTCTTACCAACCCAGGTTCAGGATCTTAATCTACCTATATCAACTCCAAAGTCTTCTGCGTTTTAACGATCTTTTGACTCTACATAGTTTTGTGGATCTCTTAATTGTTTTTGTGCAGACTATAGGATTCCTCTAATATGCCTGAACTTTTTATTAGGAACTTTCTTTTTAGCTTGTCAAGCGAAGGAAGAACGCTAAGATTCTATTCATAGATATAAAGTTCATCTTTAAATTAGGCCCTCATAATCTACCCCAATACTTCCTATTGATCTATGCTGCAATGCAACTCTAATGACAATATTATTGGGTAAGACGAAAACATGAACCCGAATTTGTCTAAGGCCAGAATGGCATCCTCGAACAATATCTTGGATGTCAAAGTGTACCCATGGTACACCACTGGATTCCTGTCAGAAATGCTATCCCAACAATCTAATTCAAAGCATCGACACCCATTTAATAATGCAATTACATATTGACCTACACTGCTGTCACCTGCCAATTGATCCTTTGTAAGATAGGTATTGTGAGAACTGTTGATGTAGTAGTGAGATAGAGGTTTGGTCATGTCATCTGAATGACCCATTTCAAAAATGGAATTCTATTGACTAAATAGAAAATCATTAAATTTATCTGCTGTCATGGGGAATCCAAAGAAGTAGTCTGTATCTTATTATCGTTATGCAGTTCTAATGAACTTTTCAAAATCTGCTTCAATTAATAGGTTTTAAGAATTTAAATAAAGCTTATTCAATTTAATTAAAATAGACTACTTGTATAATAATCTAACTATTTCCTAGATAAATGAGGAAATTGTACTTCAAATTGCATAAATTCTAATTTGTTTTGAAAACTTGATTGGATACATTTATTTTCAATAAAACTCTTATTTGGATACACCAATTTAATCCAATTAAGAAACCCTTATTATTCTTCCTTATTCAAACTACCATCTCTATCTTCGTCAAATTTAATAAACATCTCCCAAGCCATCAATTGGATTTATAATTTTCTATATAGTACCAAATTAATAATACTCTTTCAAATCTTCTTTTACTTTTGTATAAAAATATTACAATCCTTGCCACCACAATTCTTTAAGAGTTTGATTTGCAAATTTTAAATACCAACATTCCTCGCTAACAAAGATTTGTAATAACACTGATTTATCATCTGTAAATTTCTTACTATCTCGAATATCATCAGTTATAAATCTAATTTTCCTCAAATCTATATAATTTGTGTATTGATTTATAATATAAATAAGTTGATAACTAACTTCATGGGACATATAGATGAATAATTTCTCAAATTTATTCCCAGATGTTATTTTTTGAATTTCACATCCATAAACTAATAAATTAATGGCTTGATCCTGTTTTTGAGGAGGGAAAGGTTTTTTACTTAAGACAGTTGAATAATTCATTTATATTTATCAATTAATTAATTTATCTGTATATGGATTCTAAAAATGATTAGAAATAAAGGTTTACCAGACCAAATGGATAATATTCAAAGACAATAAACAATTAACACGGCCTCAATCGAGAAGAGCCTTAAAAAACCAATTTCTAGTAATAATAACAACAACAATCTTATCAATAAACGTAGTCATAAGCTTCGAAAGTGGCTCCACTGACTGAAATTGAGAAAATCAAGAAAGTATAACTATTTATATGATTCTAGGAAAACGCAATGCTCAAATCTGAACTACTTATCAGCAAAGAATAACTCAAAAATCTTACAGAGGATTATTAAAATCTCTAATAGAGATATCACGAATTGTAGAGTTAAGTCAGGTACTCGCCTGAAGATCTTATGCTCCTTGAAATGTAAAGACAAATGAAACATCAATAATATTATGAATTTATGCAAGAAGCAATGATGCCACAAAGACAGTTTTAAACAGATGGAATGTCCTACGAAGAATTATTAGAGTTACAAAATTAAGTAGGTCACGTATCAAGAGGATTAACTAAAGAATAGATAAAGAAAATACCGAAAAGAACAGTATATCTCAGATAGAAAGATGGGTATTATTTAATTAATGTATTTTAGATGTTCAATTTGTTATAATGATATACTGACACATGACAACATTAGAGAACTTAAGTGTAAACACTATTACCATTCAAAATGTATTAAGAAATGGTTGATGAACGAAAAGAAATGTCCAATTTGTTAGACTGAAATATGCATCTGAAATTATATAAATTTATTATTATTGAATTCTAGACAATATTAATAAAATCATCATTCATTATTAATAAGATTGCTTTTTAATGCACAAGTATCCATTCGCATTTTTCATTCTAACTGTTGTTGACTATTCAAAGTTCTCTTTAGATATTTATTTTTAATTCTTCAATTTTTATTAGCAATTCAATTTTAACACCTGATTATAAACCGATTCTCCGGGATGACTGCATAACTCCTTTAGAATCCTATCTTTCAAAGTGTCTTCACTTGCAGTAGGTTACGAAGTGTATTACTATTAGATGTTCATATTTGCAAGTATAAATTGTCGCTTTCCATCTATTTAATCTAAAGAAGGCTATTTAGGTTATTTTGAATTGGATCTGCGGTTATCCTATTTATGATTCTATTGATTATTCATCCTTGACTAGGGTTCCTAATGAAGGGGAGTCAGAGATTTCTATTATGGTTATGAATCATAATTAGTTTTAGAAAATTCTTTTTAGCTCTTTTATTCTAATAAGTTGTTATTTACTAAAGGATACTGATATTAAGCTTGAATAAATGAAAACAGATACATTTTTGACTTGCATGATTGGTCAATAACTTAAAAGTTTATGGAATTGCAGTTGTTAAGTTCTTCTGATGTTTCGGTGTAAATTCTCGATCTTCCACACTTTTTCTCTCAGTATCCTTTGTTTATTTTTAGATATATAACTAATTAATGTTATTGATTAATAATTAATTTGACTTTTCATCTAGTCTCTCCCCTTCAATTATAGTTTTTTACTTCTCATTTTGTTAATTGAAATGCCTTTCATTTAATTCAAATTAGTTGTTGAGATATTAAACATTACTGGTTTAATCTCCCACACTGATATTGTGTTTGAAGCTTTCTCTATCATTTGGAGTCACTTAATGATTTTTCCTATCTAAACAGGCCTTGAATTGCCAGCTTTCTGGAGTATTAGCATTACTCTCCCTTCTTGAATTCTGTATAGTAGATCCTGGATTAGAATATGTATTCACTTTTGATTTTTACTATTGTTATAGTTGAGTTGATATTTTAACTGGTGATTATATGTGATCCTTAATTGGATTTGAGCAAGTACTTTAGTAAATGTCTTCACCTTCCAATAATTCAAAGACTTTCATATCCACAGGGGAATTAGTGGTTTTTTGTAATATTTTTGGACTAGTTTCAAGTTTGATTTGTTTGGGTGCTTACTCAGAGGAGTCTTCGCTTTTCAGTAATAAATTATAACACATCTTATTCATGTCAGCTAATATTTGATTATTCTCAAATTTAATTGATTTTTGGAAATATTCCTAATTGAATTCTTGAAGTTATTCTTTTGTTTATGAAACTCTTTTTTCATATCTATTCATTATATCTTCAAATGGTTTCATTTCCATGTGTTTCACTATGTTCTCATGATTCTTAGATATATCAATTTCATATTATTTCAATTAAGTATCAATTTATTAAACTAAACTTATTTTCTCTGTGATTTAATTCAACTAAGTAATGTGATCAGTTTCAAATTTAGACAAATACGTAAGTTTCAATTAATTTGCAGTATTGATAACAGATTCAAAGAACTTTTGACAGTTCTCTTTTTATTCCATTAATTGCTTTGACGAATTCATCTCTATGTTTCTTAACTAAAAGAGTTTATTTGAGCATTATTTCAAAACCTCACTTAACTATTCTTAAAATCTCTATATTCTTTATTATCTATAAATTTCTGGTTGCTTCTCTAAGGTTTCCTCTATTTTTAATCCCTTCAAGGCCAAATTCAAAGCGCATTTTGAACAAAATAATCTGCTGTTATCAGATTGAACATAATATTTTGCCTGATTAAATAAATGGTTATACTTTTTTGTTTGGATGCTTCGCACAAATGTTGTTGCATTATTCTTTCTACTTGAAAATATTGGAACTCTTGAGAATTCGTTCTTATTCAGTTTATATAAACGAGGTTTCCTCTGATTCAGAAGAAGAAATTTATCCACTCATTATCTGTTAAAAATATTTATAAATAAATAAAAAGAATAGTGAAAAAGTAGAATACCAAATTTTTAAATTAATCATATCTCTTGATATTTATAATAAAATAATAGCTGAATTCACATCTAATTTATGCTAAGAATCAAAATAAAATACATACTACTATTTTAATCAAAAGAGAGAAAAAATAGATCATCTATTGAAAAACTATTTACTTAATTTTTTACTTTCATAAATAATCTTAGATAAATATGATCAATAATTTGGTCAATTTATATTTTATATTATATAATCTAAATTTCACCCGATCATTCAATTTTACTTTAGAATTGTTCTTTAGATTAAATTCGTACATCCTTACTTAGAAAGTTAAATTTCCTTCTATTATTTAATTCTAATTCATTTTGGGATTAAATTTCCATAATTTGTTTACCTTTATTTTATGAAATTGAATTTGCTTAGTATATATATGAATCCCAAGCTTTAAAGTACATGTTATAAATTTATCAGTTTAAAAGGGAATTTTTAGAATTCTTCTATTTTCAGATTATATATTTACTATTGTTACTTAAACTAATTAGATTATAAATTAAAAAGCAAAAATTAAATAATTTCATTTTGATTTGCGAGTTAATTGATATAATTTCTAAAAGATTTCTTAGTTTGTCATCCTTTCTGATTAAATTTAGGCATCATTCTCAAAAATTTAATCTAATCCATTACTTACTATTTCTTTTTAAAAACTTAAATAGTTTTTATATATAGAGAACTGTATCTTAGTTTATTGTAATCCTATGAATTAAGATGTATTAAATTTTTCAAAGTCATAACAAGTCTATTTGAAATTAAACTTATTTTATGGACCTAGCCTACTTACGAAGTATTGAGCTATAATATATCCAATAGTGTTATATTCTTACTAGCTGATTTGATTATTGACCTTTTAATTTTAAGGGTTACTTAATTTTGAATTTTCAACTGAAATACATTAAAATGAAGATATTTCTTTTTTATACATATTCAACATTTATTACAAGGTTTGGTTTATACTAATGATTTAATCAAAATAATTTTTGTATTCCCAATTCCTCTTATCGTCATCCAAAGAGAATGGTTGAATATCTTATAATTATGTTACTATCGAATTGTTAATATTTAAACTAGGATGAGTGATAGAAAATTGCAGAGAGTCATCAAAATCTTTTGATTGCTTTATCGAAATCTGAATTGGTTTATTTAGAGGCTAGGCTTGGTATAAAATATTGGTCTCACAATAAATAATAGAAAGCAGCAGTTTAATAAATTAAACGAGGTTCATAATAATTGAAATGAGTTTTTATTTGTCAGTCTGTAAATATATGTCCTTGTAATTTAAATTTTGATCCTCCTATTTATCCTATTTTTATTCTATTTGAAGGTTAAGACAGACATCTTTAATGAATTAGTTCAATTTGAAGATACTTACATCGCTCTTAATTTGTCTATATGAAATTTAATATTAATTAAATAGGTTGCTATTTAAATTGAAAAGGAAATAATTTAATTGCAGTTATTGTTTTAGGTTTTGCAGCACATGTGTTAAGCATTCATGTTTTTATATTTCATGATAAAATTATTGAATGTTTTCAAGTTAATTATTAATTTATTTCAAATTTAATTTGGCATTATACTATTATAACAAATATAATTACATATAATTATTTATCCCTTTGCTCGATTGCATTTACGTAATAATCATATTTATCCTCTTGAATTTCTTCAAAGAACAATAAAACTTAAGGTTAAAAGGTATTGAAATATACTTAAGTTACTCTGAACTTCCATAATTTCGAGTTATGTTGGTCTTCTAGAATAGCAAAATATTTTTGAATAGGATGATCTTCATTTTTCAATTTAAGCTCTTTAATTATTTCATGTTCTATTTTTATAAATTATTATGTTATTTGATTTTCCATATCAAAAAATACTAATTTCCTTAAAAAATCTCTTAACATTTCGTTGTTTTATAAATTGAACTTTTCTTTTAGATGTTTATTGATCTTTTCAATATCCAATTAGCCTGCTTATTTATTATATTTCACAATTACAACCCAAGTAGGCAATAAGTCTTCTAAAATATTTTCATATTGAACTTTGGATAAATTAACTAAAAAGTGGTTTCTGCTTATCATTTCATACTAATATCTTAATAAAACAATTAAAATAGTTATAAGGCAGTGTGAGATGATCGTCTATGGATCATATGTTTAGAGCTTATAAAAGCTGGCCATTTAAGTTAGTAAGAAAAAAAAAGTTTAAAAGATGAATGAGGAACCACTTAGATAGATGACTATGATAAATAATAAGATTTTACACATTTTTAAAACGGATGAATGATAACCATAAGACCATTGGCTTGATTCTTATCCAAAAAGCCTTAGACTTTCAATTACTGCACTCATTATAAGTATATTTGTAACAACAAAGATCTCTTTGTATTATTGATACTTCTTCATGGCTATATAGCAAATGATTATTAATGCTAGACTAACGCTAGCAAATATTATTGGCATCTAATTCTGGTACTTTATTATTATTAGAATTAAATAGATGCTCACTACTGCATACAAATATTCCCTTCTATGTTTTAGACCTGTCAGCATTGATTAACGATACAACTGCTCAATTTCTTGAGACACATACTGTAAACTAAATGTTTTAATCATAAATTTATAATATTAGGAATAACCAGATTAATCACTTGACTTAGGATTTATATATTAAACAAATTAACTTAATTAATTAATCAAACTAAAATATATGAGTTTTCAGACCAGAATAATTATGAATTATTAGTTTAGTATTTGCGATATTATTGGTAAAGGCCTAAAAACAATAACAAAGGAGAAGGTAGCGATTAAAATAAAATCAATCTATAGGGTCTAAATACTTTTAAATTTTTATGAGCATTTCACAACTTAAAACAATATATATATTATCACTCAATACTGTAGACAAGGAGATCTAGCTTAGAAATAGAAACAATTTGGATATTTGAGTTAAGACCATTCAGTAGCTATCGTTAGATAAATCATTGATGGTATGTATGTAATGACTTAACAAAGTATTCTAAATTATCATATGAGATATCATACACAGAGACTTGAAACCATAAAACATAATAATCAATGATGATTGTATTAAGATTGCTGATTTCTGATTGCAAAACCCTTATATCAGTTATAAAATGAGATGAATGTTAGCACTCCTCTTTACATGAGTCCATAAACTATAATCAAATCATAATATAACGCCAAAAGTGATATTTGGAGTCTCGGTGTCTTCTTTTATGAAATTCTCTTTGGATACCCGCCCTGGTAAGCATAGGCTCAATAAGAATTGATTTTTAAGATTCTCAATTAACTTATCTCATTTCCAGATGTCCCTAAAGTATCTGAAACTGCAAAGGATTTTATCAAATAATGGTTCATCGTTGAACAATATTTAAGATTAGGAATTGCAAAACTATAAAGACATCCTCTGGTAAAGAAAGTATAAAAAAGCAGAAAGATTTGAAAGGCCTATGCATACTCGAAGTACTGAATAAATAATAAATCTGAAATCCAAACTGCTCAGAACCATGGACATAAAATAGTTATAATAAAAAACTATTTTATGTGAATTGCAAAAATCCTCAAGTTTATGCAATACTTAAAAAGCACTTGAATTCAAAAAATAATTAAATAACTACTATTAATAATAAGGGAAAAACTAAAAAATTAAGCTTTTTTTGATGAAATTTCTTGATACTCTACAGCTAGCTTTTATTGTGTTTGTTTCTAAATAATATTATATCTAAATTAAAAGAAATCAGATTGATCAGTCCTTTATTAATTGAGAAACGCAGGATTTTTTTTTCAAGGCATCTCTAAAATATCAAGGATACAATTTACAAGTAATTGATTGAAAATGACAATAAGTTTAAAAATTAAAGATTGGTAACTATTTTGCAAAGAAAATGCATATTATATAGCAAATTCATTGCAAATTTTTATTAAAAAAATAACTAATTTACAAAGACTTGTTTAGAATCTAATCAATCGATTAAAACCAATAAATCATTAATAATAGAATATTAGAAATATAATTTAGAGTTCTATTAATTTTATTTGGATTGAAGTGGAAGACCATTAAAAAGATAATTAGAAACTCAATCATCGAATTTAATCATATACTTGCTTAAAATATTGATGCAACCAATTTATCTAATAAGATTAACAAATAATAATAAACTGAGATCTCGCTTTTTAGTAATTACATTATTATTTTGGCATCATTGATAAGTATTATTTGAAAGAATTAGAGATGAAGAATTTGCATAAGAATTTAAAAATTAATAGTTTATGACATTAAAGGAACTTAAAATCTCTGACTATTTAGAAATTAGATAGTAAATAAAGAGGCTCATGCAATCATGAAATATTAATATAATTTCTAATTCTTTATTATTAAACATTTTTCTTTGATTGATATGTTAGTTACAAACTATAGATTTAGCTATTGAAGAAAAAGATTCGTAATTAAAGGAACAATTAATCTTGAAATGAATTTGATTGAAGAAGAAATCAGATTAATTTTAAATGATATTTTATTTATTATTATTAATATTTATTCAATACACTCTCTTTTTTGGAGGAACGGTATCAAATTCTTTTGGATCTTAGGTCTTAGTGATAACCTATAAAATATAGTATTAATTAATACATCTCTATAAGTTAGTTCAATATCACCGTTCTTGGTGTCTTTGATTCTGGCCAATGTATGTTTCATCCAGTTCTTGTCATCTCTATCTGGGAAGTCATCACGAGCATGTGCTCCTCTGGATTCCTTTCTATTTAGAGCTCCTTCGATGGTCATTTTACCTTGCACTGAAATAATATTTAAATATAGAAATACATAGTAAGTTGTCTAATTCTAATCCCTCGACCAAATCAGAGTTCCATACAAGTCCTTTATCTTTGATTCTGATATCATCTTTTCTTGAATAGATTTCTTTAACTTTTTCAACACCCTCTTACAATGTCTTTTCAATTCTGAAGACAGCAGCATGTTTTTACATAGTTCTTTGGAGGTCTTTTCTGACTTGAGCAACAGTCTAAGATCCCTCATGATATCTTAATCTGTCAATTCTAGCTATTGCAGCTTCTCCAGCATTTTTGGGTAAATCTGGCTGTTTCTATCCAGGTTTCCACTTTTCACCAACAAGATTAGCAGCTTGTCTTCCAAAAACGACAATATCTAATAAGGAATTGGCTCCCAATCTATTGGCACCATGGACTGATGCACAAGCTGCTTCACCAGCTGCTAAAAGTCCAGGAACAACTTGATCTTTGCCACCAACTTAATTAAGGACTTCAGTTTTGAAATTGGTTGGTACACCACCCATATTATAATGAACTGTGGGTAAGACTGGTGCAGGTTCTTTGGTAACATCAACACCAGCAAATATTTTAGCAGCTTCACTGATTCCTGGTAATCTTTCATGCAAGAGTTCAGGAGGTAAATGATTGAGATGCAAGTAGATGTGATCCTTCTCTGGTCCAACTCTATAAATGACAATAATAACTACCCTCTTCCTTCCAAAATTTCCTTAGTCATAGCTCTAGAAACAACGTCTCTACTGGCTAAATCCTTTGCTGTAGGAGCATATCTTTCCATGAATCTTTCACCCAATGAGTTTCTGAGGATACCACCTTCTCCTCTGCAACCCTCAGTCATCAAACATCCAGAACCATAAATACCTGTAGGATGAAATTAGACAAACTCCAAATCCTCCATTGGTAAACCTGCTCTAATTGTCATGCCTCCTCCATCACCTGTGCAGGTATGGGCAGATGTACATGATTGAAATGCTCTCCCATATCCACCTGTTGCTATTAACTGTGTATCCTGCTCTAATCCTATGGATCGATCCATCTGCCATCGACATACAAACAACTCCTCTGCAAGCTCTATGATTAATTATCAACAACACTCTATTACCCTTGATCATCCATCATCAAATCAAGAGCGAAATACTCAACAAAGAAAATACAGTCATATCCCAAGGCTCTTCCAAACAAAGTGTGTAACATAGCATGTCCTGTTCTATCTGCTACTGCACAACATCTATAAGCTTGTCCTCCTGTTCCGAATTTCAAACTCTGTCCTCCAAATGCTCTTTAATAAATCTTGCCCTCTGGAGTTCTTGAAAATGGCAAACCATAACTTTCCAATTCGTAAACTGCCTTTGGAGCCTCCTTACACATATAAGTAATGGCATCTTGGTCTCCCAACCAATCTGATCCCTTTATTGTATCGTATGCATGCCTAGATATAACTCAATCAGTACCATCTCCAATCATCTTCTGTCATGTTTCCCAATGCTGCATTAATACCTCCTTGAGCAGCCACTGTATGAGATCTAGTGGGAAACAACTTTGAAATGCAAGCAGTCTTGAACCCAAGCTCAACCAAACCAAATGCTGCTCTTAAACCTGCACCACCTGCTCCTACAACAACTGCATCATATGTGTGATCTATCACTGTATATTTGTCTGTCAAATGTCCCTATCAACATTATGCATCCATATTACTTAAGAAGGACCAGCTTCTGGTTTATTTTTTGACACCACACAGAATCGATTAACTAATTTTCTGGCTTATTGATTGTACAAGGCCTAAGTTGTAATTCTGAACATTGGATTAAAAATAAATAAATAAAGATATTATTAATTATGATAAATAAATTCCTACTCATGCCTATAATTAGCTATGTAGTTTATATGTCAAATTCATCGTAATGATACCAATATCATATCCATCTTAAATGTTGTTGCCTATATGACTGGGTATCAAACTATCGTTAATACATCTTGGATTATTATCTTTAATGTAATAGCATTTTCCATTTTGTTTGGAATCTCATATATCGATTATGCTTGACTTTATTCTCTAATTTATCGCTATTTTAGCACATTCAAAATTTAGATGACTTTGAAATTATAGAATTAAGTCAAGCATTATAAAATGTTGCAGCTGACATTGCTATCCTGGACATATCACTAGCAACAATATATTAGAAAAAATAACTGAACGTAGAAGACAAAATACAACTCAATGAAAAGCAAGAGTGACCAATCCAATTAATATTTATATGTTTATTATATTGTTATTTTTAATACATTATTCTCAACAGGAATAAATTATCATCTACTATCCACCATTTTGTGCTCAATACAGATACACTTTTATTAAATTAGCCAATGAATTCAACCTATCTATCCTCAACATCCCATCAGAAGAATAATCAGCCATTTTACTTAATAATTCTAACTCAATTATTTAATATCAATGGGATGTATTTGAATTAGATATCAAATATTGGCTTACCATTTATTTCCATCAATAATTACCAATCCTCAATATGCCTGTCAATTAACTCAACTTAATTTAAGAGAATTTACTCTTTTTCTATGGACTCAACTAATCATACTATAATTACCTTCTTCAACTGGCTTATGAATACCCTTTATATATGTTTTACTATGCAAACCCTCATAATCATAAGATATATTAAGAATTCTTTATTTAAAACTATTCAATCCAATAGGACTACCTCATCATCAGAAGGAAATAAGATAATTATGATTATCATTTGCTTATTTTAAGTTTAGACTAAATTAAACCCTTCCTAGAAAAATACTCGAAACCTTATTAACAATAATACTTTACAATGAAACATATTGCATATCTAAAATAAAATCAAAACTAAAGGGCATTTCTCTACATTTCTTTTAATCTTTATCAATTTAAAGAAAACAAACTAATCATCTAAAAGCAATCTGATATTTATAGATAATCAAACTAAAATAGAAATGTTGTATTCATCATTACTGAACCAATCTTCATGGCTAAAACACTGCTATAACGGTTTTTGTATAAAAACATTAAAGATGGGCCTTTCCTTGTTTATTTAGAATTTAATCAGTTCAAATTCAACATCTTTAACAAAGAGTGGAATTATTACTAAGTATCTCAATGGATGTAACAATACATAAGAAATGAGTTCCAATCTTAGCTATTAACTTTAAACCCATATTTATAATAAATACCATTCTTAACTTTAAGTTAATAGAAAGTATAAGCAGAAATCTAAAATAAGTTACATAGTATCGCAATACTAGATCTTATTTTATAAAAACCACAATAATAAAATATCTTATTAATAAGGTTAATCCCTTACTGTTATAAAAGCTTCAAGCTTTTTTCTATATTGTCTAAATTCAGAAACGATAATTTAATAATTTTATACAGCCTAAACTCATTAATTTATGATGAATTTGAGATGCTCATGATCACAAAGAATCAAACGCTAATCATAGATAATATCAATGATAATTCATTGATTCAAACATTGAAATAATACATTTAAGAATAGTTTATATTGTGAATTAATATGAAGAGGTATATTAGAATAAATTATTAATTTTATTATTGTGCTTAATAATCAAGTCTTATAAAATTTTAATTTATCATGATAACAGATCATTCTTACTAATCTTCATGATTATCATCTTTTTTTTATTAATCAGAATCTTGCTAAGGTTCTGAATCTAAGTTTTGAGACACAACAAGATCCTTTTCTGGAGTAGGTAACCAACGAGGTGCTTCTGCACTTTTATTAGTTTTATGATGATGATGCGAATGATCTTCTTCTTCTTTGATCATGTGATTGAATTCGTCATGAGGCAAGTTTTTTGCTTTTTCTAATCTTGCTACTAATTTCTTTTAAACCTCTTGTGATCTCATTAATTTTTGCATCATGTATGACTCTTCCATCTCCATTTTTTCTTATTAAACCTTATTGTATTCGCAAGCCCTTTTGTTCTCCAATTTAGCTCTAATGAAAAATTGTCAATAATGCTTACTTTTCGTTTTCCTTTTGGATGTGGGACAATTTTTCATTCCAATAAAGCGATATATTGGTTTTTGATTGGGACATAATTTCCTTTATATGTTCTCTTTTCTCTTTGTTTTTTTTAAGAAACTCTTCTTTCTATTTATTAATGGCTTCAGAGTTTTTAATGGATATTTCTCTAGATTAGATGATAAATTGTAAGAATACTTAATTCTTTTATATTCATCCAATTTGATTTGTTCCATAGCCTTCTTGATCATTTCTAGTTGTTCTTCTTGTTATTTTTTGAGGCTATAATTTAATTTCTATTTATCCTTCAATATTTCTTCATCATTCTTCTGACTTAGTTTTTTCTAATGAGTTTGAATAAATAAGGTTAGTTACTTATTCAATTTATGCATGATGATTCATTTTCAGTTCTATCATAGATTTGGTTTTCTTCTTAGTTTCATCAATTCTCTTAGATAACTGTGCATCACCTCTCTTTAATAATTTGAGTCTATTTTTCATTAATAAGATATCCTTCTCAGTCTCTTAACGTAATTTGCGAGTATGCCAAACAGTTTCGTCATTTTCCCTTTAGAATGATAGAGGAGATGTCTTCATTTTTATTTATTTAATTAGATCAGATTTTATATGCATAGAATAACATTAATTAAGACTCTTATAATCCTTAACCATTATTAACTAAAAAAGACAACAAAAATTCATCGATCTATATTGAAATAAGAATGATTTTACAATAGAAATAAAAATATTATCAAAAAGAATAATAGATCAATTTATTAAGATGTTTCATACAAAGTCAAGTAATTTCTAATTGTGAGAGTACATTTACTTCAAATAATAAATCATAAATACACAATTTTTGGTTTTTTTAAAAAGTTCTAATTAAAACAAGAAAAGATTGCCCAAATTGAATTAAAGAAAATAAATTTATTCTAGATTATTTTATTATTCTTAGGGATAAATCATATTTCAGTACATTATTCTCAAAAAAATATTTAGTTCTGGTTACATGCTTTCTGTTATGAATAATTAAACTAATAAAAGTTATATGCCACTTTCTCTTTGAATGTATTGTTAGGTCTGTTGAGTTGATGTTGTTTTACTTTAATTGAATTATTCTTTCTTCTTTATGTGTGTAAATCCTAGATAAGATCTGCAATACTATAAGAAGAAATGAGTAATAATGTTGGTTGAATCAAAAAATTAAAATATATATGAAAAAGCAATCAGCCAAGTATTCAAAAACAGAGCCCTCGGCAAGGAGATCCAACAAATCACCCACTAGTCCCAGCGGAAATCCAAAACCTGAGGATATGCTTACTCAAAGCCAAGTAAATTAAGAACTCTTAAAAACTCAATAATCTTTTCGTAGCTCAACTGGCCATTAAGGACAGACTCCATCTATAAGGTAAACCAAAATATTATAGTAGTAGTTCTAAAGTGACACAATCAGTAACATCTCCTGGTAGAAATATGTAGAAAAGACCTTCACAAATAATATCAAAACAGTAATTGCAAAACATGCATGAACGCTCTGTAATCAAAGTTCTTGGAATGAATATGGAGGCAGTATGTCCGAAAAAGAATCATGAAAAAAATAAGATGCTCTACATTTGTTAATATGGAGATTGTAAGGCGGACAACAGATTGGGATGCTCATACTGTTTGGTAGAATCTCATAATGATCATTCCTAACAAGTAATGGAAGTTTAAACCTTTTGTAAGATATTTGATGATAGAAAAAAGCAAGTATTTACTAAAAATGATGTTTTAGTTTAAAAATCTAAGCGACACAATCTTGCAAGTACCAGATAAGACAGCTTAAGTAAGCTTATTTTTTGAATAACTAAGAGATTAAATAATGGATCGGTTGAAATAAATAGAAAAGAATATTTTGCAATCAATTTAGGAATAATTGGCATGGAAGCCATTATAAAAGGAGATTTTATACAGAGTGGAGGTTCTGAGTTCTAAACTCATTTTTGATATGACACAGGATGAATTGAAGGAGAGCTTAGAATTTATTTAAGGTAAACATTTTAAAGAGTTGGAATATATAAAATAAGAGACGAATAATTATTTAAGTTAAAAAATAGCCTTAGTTGAACATATTTGGAATGATTATAAAATTTAATTAGAAACAGATATAACTCAACAACTTAATGATTACAATAAGGTGATGTTTTTAGATCCATAGAGCAAAGAGTTCGCTGAATATAAGATGCAATTTTTCTAATAAAAGCAATTGAAAGTGAATGAATTGAGTTAACCCTTCCATTAATAATTAGAGATGCTTAAGGAAGAAGAAAGGAAAGTAGAGGAGAAAAAACAAGAAGAAATTAGAATCCAATAGCAAATAGAATAGAGAAAGAAGGAGGAGGAGGTTAAAAAAGAGAAAGAAAGACAAAAACAAGTGCAAGAATAGATTCTCAAATAAAAAGAAGCTTAAAAGAATTCTGAGAGATAGAGTGAAAGAGATAAACTTCTTAAAACCTTTCCTTATAAGTTATACACAGAAGATTGTCAACATAGGACTAAGTGCAATACAATACCTATTTTTTCATGCTGCAATAAGGCGTATCCTTGTTCACAATGTCATGGATTTGTGGCTCACCCTCCTCGGATATAAGTTCCCAGTTATAGATATTGCATGAAATGTCTTGAAATTTATCTGGTTATGTACCCAACTAATTAGGCCATTAATTGTCTGAAGTGTTAAAAGTGATATAAATTTTGTAATCTATATTCAGAACAATCAAGTTAAATAGTATATCCTTCCATATAATCTATCTTCTTTTATTTCCGACATATTATTACAAAATGATTAATGAATAAATGGAGATATAAATTCAAATGAGACCCTTTATTTATAACTATTTCGCTTCTCAAAGGTTCAAATATAAGTTAAATTGATGGAATCATTATTGAATAAAAAGAAGGACAATTGATGGTTAATTATCCAAAGAAGAATTGCAAAGTGGAGATTTATAAATATTTTGGCATAGTCCATAAACTGATAGAGTTTTTCAAATTGTGGTGCTCTATATGAGGTATCTTTAAGTTTAATAAGGCATAATTGTAAAATTGTTAAAAGGTATTTTCTCTTTTGAATTATTACATATAAGCCTTGATAAAGTAGAATATATTTTATTTTTGGATTTTGCAAAGAAAGCTAAGATTAAGATTATCTCACTTCTGTGATGGGAATAACCAGTATTAAAATAAATGTCTCATTAATTAAACACAGAAAATTTAGTTTATCATTAGATATCATTAGAATCACTTTTATGCAAATATAGATACAAATGTAATTTATTAAATTTGTAAAGATTTTAATCAGATAGTTATAAATTTATACTTTAAAGAATATTTGAATCTAATTTCATACTAAACTACTTAGAAGGAAATTCAGAAAGCAATTCATATTATTTGATTATTTTCTAATTAATTTGATAAATTATTGTTATTTATGCATATTCGTGATAAGTATATTGATAGATAGAATTTCAAAGAATCTGAAAAGATAGACAAGTAAAATTATGTGTTCGACTTCTAGTTAGGAATAATTTAATAGAGCCAATGAATTTTTCTCTTAATTCCCTAAGATTGATCTTTAGGCTGAGAAAGTAAGATGTCCAAAATGTAATTTGCTTCATAAGGTGTATTGTTTAAAATGTGGTGAGTTGCTGGTAAATAAAGAACTAATTCCAAAAGTTGAGTTGCCTGTAAATCTATTTATTCTACACCATAACAAAGAAAAGCATTAAAAGAGTTCAGCTATACCTGCAAAATTTTTGAGTGATTAAGTAGAAGTAAAAGATTTCCCTGGTGAATTTGAATTTGATGAGCATACATATATTCTTTATCCTCACTAAAATGCCAAATATATAAAAGAACTCTCTTAAGAGGAAATTTAAGGCATTAAAAAACTTGTGGCCATAGATTGTACATGGCATCAAACAGGAGCAATTTTAGAAACAATTTCAAAAAAATATCCAAATCAAAAGTTCCTCAAACTAGAAGATTATCAAACATATTTTTGGAGATACTAGCATCATAGTTTGAAATGCTTAGCTACAATAGAGGCTATATATTACTGCTACCAAGAATATAGTAAGGCCATGAACATAGATAAGAATTATGATAATTTGCTATTCTTCTATAAATACACCTTTTAATAAATGACAGAGTCTATAAAAAAGGAGATTGGCAATCCAAATGTTTATGAAAAGATTGAGTAGAAAAAACAAAGAATTTTGCAAGCTAAATAAGATGCAAAAAAAGAGAAATAATTTAAGAAACTGATGTGAAACAATCAAAAAATAAAATTAAATAATATGTTATAAATTAATTAAATATTTTTTGTATGTCTGCTATTCTACATCTCAAATATATCAACTAAATTAATGGTTCCATAAAATTTCAACCTTTTTGATATATGTTGATTTTCTAAGTGTGTTATAAAAATAACAATAACCAAAAATTAATTATAGTTGATTTTAAGGATTTGTAAGATGAATTAAAAAAATAATTAATTACCTAATATTTCAAATTAGCTATGGGAAATTGTATTTATAAGATCTAAATTGACCAAAAAGGTATTATTTTATTCAACCTCATAAAGCTTAGACCCATGATTAAATTGAATAAAAAATTGTTGATGAGGTTATCAAAGATGAAATCATATAAACTCCTCCTTTAATTGAACCCAAAAAAATATTGACTTAAAATTATGAGGTTGTTGTGTAAGAGAATTCTGATAGTCAAACTCCTAACGTATTTAGTTCTTAATCATCGAACCCATAAGTAAAATATCAGTAGGATTTATAACTTTCTCCAGATATTTTGGTTAGAAATTAGAAAGAAGGCGAAATGTTTTCACTGCATTATGAAATCATTAGAAAACTAGGATAAGGAGGATTTGGGTCTGTTTATTAGGTAAAGCATTTAAAAACAAATTTAATTCGAGCCGCAAAAGTAATTTAGAAATAGGCTATTGATGATGAGCAGTTGTTAATATCTGAAAGCCAGATTTTAAAGGACTTGGATCATCCTAACATAGTGAAAATACTCGAAGTATTTAGTGATGCTTAAAATATTTATATAATAACTGAATGCTTATGTGGAGGCGAATTGCTTGAGAGAGTCAGATCAATTACAAACTATAACGAAGATATTGCAAAATATTATATGTAATAAATATTATCTGCAATGGTCTATTGTCATAATCGAAAAATTGTACATAGAGATTTGAAAGTATTAATTAAATTAATTGCAGCCTGAAAATATTTTATTTGACGACAAGGATATTAATTCTAATTTAAAAATAATAGATTTTGGTGCAAGCGAGAAGATAATATCCAAAAAGTTAACAACCAAAATTGGTACACCCTATTTTCTGGCACCTGAAATATTAGGGTCAAATGGATATGACGAGAAAGTTGATGTCTGGTCATGTGGAGTAATACTTTATATATTATTGATTGGGAAAGCCCCATTTAGAGGGAAAAATTAATTAGAAACCCTGCAATTAGCATAGAAAGCGCATTTGAGTTTCAGTGGTACTTTATTTAAGTAATAAAAGGCTAACGCTGGAATAATATAAGTCCAGAAGCCATTGACTTAGTTAAACACATGATTTAAAAGGATCCTCAAAAAAGGATTTCAATGAAAGATGCATTGAATCATAAATGGATTTAAAATTAATCAAAATAAAGCATTTAATTTGATCAAGATTTCTTTAAAGAAATTACAAAATTTAAAGGGTATAATAATCTTAGAGTGGCCATTAATTAGTTTGTAACAGTTTAAATATCGAAAAAGGAAGAAAAATACAAATTCCTCTAAATATTCAAATCCTTGGATAAAAATGGAGATGGATTATTAAGTTAGTAGGAAATTCTTTAAGGAATGATAAATGTGAAAATGGATAAGATTGAATCTAAACTTATGGTTAAGGAAATTATGGAGAAAATTGATACAGATCATTCTGGGAGAGTTGATTTCACAGAGTTTCTCACTGCCTCAATTATTCAAGAGCAGATGTTCTTAAAAGAGAGTCTGAAGAGTGCTTTTCGTTTATTTGATCTTGATGGAAATGGAACTATATCGAGGATTGAACTTGAGGAAATATTTGGAGGTATTCAGATTGATAATTCTGCTTGGTAAGATATATTAGCTGCATGTGACAACAATAAGGATGGTCTAATAGAGGAGGATGAATTCATTGCTCTACTTGCTAATTTAGAATGATATTGTTTTGTTTGTAGTTATTCAGACACTCCTTTAATACTATAATAGAATTACTATTTAACTAATATTGTTTTAATATTGGAATATATTAATTTATTATAATTTCTTATGAATCCTAATCCAATACAGTTTAATCCACCAAGATCAACTATTACAAGTCAAGTTCCATAACCAGGACCTAATATTGCAAATAATTCAGGATTTAATACAATTCAGAACAAAAATATGTTCCCAATTGCAAACTTAATTCCAGCACCATCCAATATGCCTATACAAGGAATAAATCAAATGCAAATGCCAAACTAAGCGCAAAACAATATGCCTATACAAGGAATAAATCTAATTCAAATGCCAAACTAAGCACAAAACCCTATTTTTAAGACTCAAGATTTGAATTAAAAAGAAAAGGATAGGGAAAAGGAGGAAATTATAAAACAGTTAAACATTGTTGTGTAGGAGGCCAAGGAGAGACAAGATCAGATTAAATAGCATTATTAGAAGCATTATGATTGATTGGGATTATTGTATTTCTATTAAAAATATAATTTAATTTACTAAATATGGCTATATAACTTTAGACCTGAACTTCATATATAGGTTATTCCATTTTTTATGATATAAACACAGAACTATTTTTAATAAAATTCAATGAATATAGACACAAACCCTATTTTATATTAATTTAATATATGATATAAATATAGAAATTAGAGTAATATATTAAGAAACATTAAAAATATACTTTAAATGCTTTAAAATTAAAATGAAATTATGGTCTCAATTTAATTCAATAATAAATGCAAATATGAAAAAAGACATCTATGAGAAGTAATCAATTTAAAATGCTTATAAGCAAATAATAAATTAGTAAATCTATGCAATTAATATATTTTTGAATTAATAAAGACTGTTTCAAACTCAAATGATCTAATTCATCAATGGATATTTGACATGACAATCAACTTATGAAGGTGAAAATGAGTTTTATAACTTAGAAATAGATGGAGCATTATTGAATGGCTAAAATGTTTTAGATTAATTAATTTATTTCTTAAATTAGAATTATAAAATAATTATATAATTTACCAATGCACTTAGGTGTAATATCCCCTTATAAAAAAATTAGATAACCTAAACTGATATCAAATAATATAATTTCGGGCTTAGATTACACTATTAGATTTTCAGAATAGCTCCATAATTTATTTTCTAAATATGTTACATTATAGTTTAATAAAAATAGATATGCAGCCCAAGCTAAAATGTCACCATTTGATACAAAACTTTCTTGAGTTCAATTCGAGATTTAGCTATCTCATCCTTAGTTATAAGAAGTTTGGGGGCCACTAAAACTTTTTATATCTATTTTTTCTTAAATTACTTGGGGGATAATCTGAGAAGAATTGAAGCCATTTGTTTCTTAAAATTCGAAATATTGTCGAGAATATAACAAAAATACATTGATAAATCAGACTTTGAAATTCATAGCACTTGAAATAATTCATAAGATTTTGATAATCATTTGTTTAAATTCTTAAAAATTCTAATAAAAAATACTTGATTATTCAAGAATTTATTTGATATTTTTATTAATGAAATTCATACTACAATGTTCTATATGCTTATAAAGTTTATGCAATCCTATGTCTCTCAGTTGTGGACACACATTTTGTCACAATTGTATTCATAACACATTAGACAAACAAGAGTAGAGTGTTTGTCCCTTGTGTCGTTAGCCTGTGTTGATCTCATAGAATAAATCTGATGAATTGTTATCGATTGTCTAATAGATATATGAAAAGGATGGCATAGAAGGTAATAGATTTCAATAATTTCAGAACTTTTGAACGAATTCCCTTCATTAATTATCTGTCTCTGTTGTGGGTTGACTCCAATAAATCCAATTGTTCTACCATGCTAACATATGTTTTGTTAGAAATGCATTTATGAGAGTCTTCAAGAGGAATTGCTATGCCCAGTATGCTCTGAGTTTAGTTTTTCACTTAAAGTTAGCATAAATTAGAAATATAAAGATCTTATCAATTGGTATTTGAAGCAATTTTAGATTGAAGAGGTTCAACAAACTGAAGAAATTATGGGATTAGATAATGTAAATGGATTACCAATCTTTAATTTTGATTAAACAGTGATAGTTCATATGGAAACTCAGTTCACTTTTTTTGAACTCAGATACTAGGAGATGATCAGAAGAGTTTGTTCAGGCTCATGCAATTTTATTGTTTCAGGAGATTTTATCTATGGAGATTTAGTTAAAATTAAAAATATCAAAAAAATTAATAAAGGATACCAAGTGCTTGTAGAGGCTATAGCAAGAGTGAAAATCAAATCTGTATATAACTATATCAACGGAATCAAGACATCATATCAACCCTAAAATGCTCAATCCTTTTGGCTTTGCTCATATTAACATGTCAAGGATTAAATCCTCAAAGAGAATAGCATTTAATAATATAACAATATTGTATTAACTTTGGATGAGATTTACAGAAATATCAAATCCGATTTGCATTCCTTATTCGATAGTTTTATGAAAAAGTTACACTTGGTATCAAGTGCTGATAGTAGTCTAATACTATTGGCTACCTTAAATAATCAAACTATTTCATAATATTATGATGTTGATGTTGAAAAAAGGATTCAATTGATCTAAAATCACTTTTGCACTCTCGAACAACATATTAAAGGAATGTACAACTAAGGGGAACAAAAATAGAGTGCGAAATACTAATAATAAACCATAGAGATCATATTATATCCAGAATACGATGTGGCAACTCAATATTTCCTAAATCTTTTCAATCTAAACAAGGTTCTTTGTTTTTGATATTCATGGCATAATACTAAATTAATTAATTGTATTTATATTAATCTATAATTCTCTATTCGATGTCTTTAAGCCACTCTCTCTATATATTTTAATTACTATAATTTGCATAATGGTCTTTACTTTGAGAAATTTGAAGAAAAGTGAATATCAATTAGAGAGTTTTCTAATTTGATGGATCTACAGATTTTCTAATTAAATAGGGCTTTCAAAACATTAATAAAATATTTCAAAACAGTAATGAGATCATTGAAATAATTAAATGCGAGAATTATAAATTAAATAAAAAAACTCTTATGATTTCTAGATTCACTCTAAAATTTAAGTCGAATCAAATTGAAAATGACTATAGATAAGAATAGCATATCCATTTAAAATCAGAATTTACACTATTTTCAATATAGACAATTGTATAATAAGAACTTATTTAGTTATTTTTTGTGGCCTACATATTGTATTACTTTCAAGAAGAAACTTTCAATTTGATAGTTGTAACTAATATTCTAGTCTTTATGGTTTTAATACTCTTATGGAAATGGCTAATTGATAAGTAACCTAGTAGTAATAAATATATATTACCTTTTCTACAAATTTATTTTGCTTTCATTTGGAATCTTGACAATTTTTTTCCATAGTAAGTAGCCGAAGACGACTATTCTTACTCACCATTTACTTACGACTACAATTGGTACTATGGAATGTAAGCATTTTATTTTCATTTTGGTAAATGGTAATATAATCTTAGCGGTTATGTAATTAGGATATTAGATCTGGCCTTAAGCAGTTGCTTTATTGATCATCTATTTTTAGTATGTGACATATTATCCTTCGAAAACTTTGGAGTATTATGCAATGTGTTTAACAATACTGTTGGTTTTCATTGGATTGATTATGATGAAATATACGAATGAAAAAACAAGGCGTATGCAATTTAGAAATAGTAGAGAGCAAAATAATTGGATAAAAACAATTGATTAAATTCTAGAGTAATCCGTGTTAGTAATTAAATTTGATGAAAAATAAGATCAATTAATATTGTCATCTATCAACGATTTATCAAAATAGAGATTGAAAATCTCAAACAATAAGGATATGAGGACAGTATTAAGAGATGTAATATGTATTTTAATTTTAAAGATGCTCATTATATAAGAAGCGAACAAAAATATTGAAGCCAAAAAGTAAAATTTGGAGGAGGAAATTCGAGATGTCATTAAGAATTAGAAATAGAAATTAATATAATACTAGTTAGAGGTAAAATCATAGTAGTAAAATAAAGAGTTAAAGGTTAAATTGATTCAATCTATTATGCAAGAGGAAGAATGTGTGATTTTGATTTTCGAATAGAATTAAAAGAATAAAATTCGTGATTTCCAACAAGTAATGAAGCAAAAAGAAACATTCATCTTATTCCTTTTATAATAATTAACTACCTAATTAAAAACCATAAAAACCAGACTTTAAATCGTTCTTTTAGTTATAAACTTACAATAAATAAGATTATTTTTTAACTATTATGATATGCGAAATAGGAAGGGGTGGATTCAAATTAGTCAAATATAAAATCAGATGAATCTATTACTGCAAAAGAAAATTGAGTTTAATGTCCATAGTGAATTAACTGGATTTATAACAAATCAAGTCTATTTTTTTAGCATCTTAATAAGTTTGGCTTAGCTTTTTGATCGACTCTAAACAATTAAATTAAAGAAACGAAACAAATTAAATTAAGATAGATTAAAAGTAAGTTTAGAGGGATCAATGATAGATATGATACTAAATTCAAAAATTCTTAAATAGAATTTAAATTTTAGTAGGAATCCTGAATAAAATTATAAAATCATTTTATCAAATTTATAAAAAACGATTGACGACAAATCCTTAGACATTAAGAAAAAAGCCTAAATAATATCAATTTATTTAACTAAGTTTTTGTTATGGAATGCATGGAGAGAATGCAATATAAATATCAAAGTAAATTTTGGACAGACAATTCTATCCTTCGAATTTTCATTATGAACCTGATCGACTTTGTACTTGTGATTGTAATATTTATATAAAATCTATTTTATATTATGTTATCTACACTTAAGTAAATTTTTATATAAATATAATAAAAGAAAATCAATTCAAATGAATATAGGTTAAATTCTCGATTGTTAGGGAAGCTATGATTATACAAAATTATTGAATGTCTTCTTAACTTTTGAGTAAACAATTTTGAACTAAGCAAACCCATCTATCAATACATTAGAACTCACTATAATAGTATAAATTCCAATATTTATCCATCCTAAGTAAAATAATGTTTCTTGATGAAATTAAAATTATTAGTTAACTGAATACAGAATAAAGGATAAACTATTCAGAAACATTCCAGCCTCAGTGACTAAGGCTTTTCTCAGATCATCAATTTTTGTTAACGGCTGTTGTACAACTAAGTAGACACAAAATATGGATGATTGTAAAGCAACAGCTATTGTCTGATAGAGGCCTGATTGTTGCATACCCACAATCACATGTATATAGAAGATTTTTTTTATTAACAAAACTGTATTATATTACATAACCCACATTTTTTGGTGATGAGAACAATCTAATTATAAAAATAATGTTTTAATCGAGGATTTGAAATCAGTAGTTTTCTTAGTTTGGATCTGTTGAATTTTATGAAATAGAAGACCAATAAATACAAACTGGGATAGTAATGTAACTATAGCTCCTATAATATTGATTAAACTGTTGGTATCATTAAAATTTATGTGAGATAGTTGAAGTAAAGATGAAAAAGCAAGTTCATAAAAATTAATAGTAATCACTCTAATGATTCCAGAGAAAGTAAAGTTATTAACAAATTTAGTACATTTCTATCTGATAGTCAGGATTGACCCTCCAACAATTGAACCTAAACTATTGAGTGTAAAGGGAGTAATGTGATGTAGTAACTTAGAAATGATGAGTGATGAATAATAGACTGCAAAACTGATCGAGAAAAATGTTAAACTGGTTGATACATTGCTAAAAAAATCATAATTAAGAGAATCATTCTCGAAGGGTTGAGGCATTTAACTGCTATTTGTATTAGGGGTCTATTTATCTTCAAATTTCATCATAGATAAACCTAATTTTTTAGTTGCAATTTGGGATAATTGGGATTCTTTTAAAATATTCAGATACTATTATAGATTATCAGGGAAGGGTAAGTTAATATATTTGGAATAGTAGAGATACTATAATGTATCACATGCCATATAGAAATTTGAGTAACCACTTGTAAATACACTAACTAGAGAAATAGTCAAAAATGAATAAGACTGAAAAGTTTGAAATTCCGAAAATGTCTTTATAAGCTGTTCAGCTGATTGACTAATATAGGTTTGCGTAGGTATTTATATTGATTCAACATTTTTAATTAATTTTGTTTTGTTTTCTGATACAATAAGTTTATTATTGATTATAAAGATAACATTAATTTTTTCTTAGGAAATAGTAGTCTTGAGTTCAATGTATGCAAGATAAATCGCAAAGGATGGTTTTTAACTAACAGGTGCAATAGGGTTAATAGAGTAGCTGTATGAATTTTCATTTAAATCTTCGATCTTTAGATCTATTAAATTGATATCATTGTTATTGCCATCCTCAACTTAATTTTCCAAGAATACTTGAGAAGAATCAATGTTAAAGCTGAGCATCATTTTAGTTGAGAATGAAATCTAAATGGTTGAGATATTATCCTATTGATCAATGAGTTCTAGTTGAATGATAGGTTACTTTTCATAAAAGCAATTACTAACTAATAACTAATGATTTTAGCAAAACCAATCGATTTCAATTTTGCAATCTGCAGAACATCCATCAAAATCAAAATTGTTGGCATCATCACATTATTCCGTTAAGGGTTCCCAGAGTCCATCACCACATTAAGAAGCACATTAATTCAGATACTCAAAGAACCCTTAAGATGCATCACACTCCTTGCAAATACCTTTTTCGCATAATAAACAAGCTGGATGACATTAGAATTCACATTTATTGTTGCATCCATCTGCTTCAATTAAATTGCCATCGTCACATTGTTCATTACCATAGGATGCTCCATCTCCACAAATTGGAATGCATTAGAACTCTGAGATCTACCATCCAGGAACATTGCATTCATAGCAAATGCCTTTTAAACAACTTGTACATAGTTATTCACATTAGTAGTTGCATTCATAACAACCATCGTAAGGTATGAGGTTGCCATCATCGCAGTCTTCATATCGAGGAATGACATAACCATCTCCACAATAAGTTTCACATCTATTTTAGGCATTCAACTTCCAACCGAAAGCACAATCCAAACATTTTCCAGCATCACATAATACACATGCTTCTTCGCATTAAGATTTACATTCATAACATCCATCATAAGGTATATCATTCCCATCATCACACTCCTCTATTCCAACTTACAAGCCATCTCCACAGATTTCCCAACAGAAAAAGTTATCTAATCTCCAACCAGGAGTATTACATTCATAACAAGATCCTGATAAGCATTTTGTACAGGCAACTTAACAGATGTATCGACAATTGAAACATCCATCAAAATTAATTTCATTACCATCATCACATTGTTCATCCCCTGTTACTTTTAAATCTCCACAAATGGCTATGCACATTCCTTATGGAGTAAGTTACCAACCATTAGTTGAATCACATTCCAAACAATAACCAGTCTGACAAGTTAAACATTAATGTTAACATGAATAGCTACATTCAAAACATCCATCTTCTGCCAATGAGTTTTCATCATCACATTATTCATATCCTGAAATCAATCCATCTCCACAAATTGGTTAGCAACTATTACCCTTTAATTCAAATCCTATTTTACAGAATACACATCTTCCATATTGGCAAAATTAACAATACATATCACATGAGAACTTACAATTCTCACAACTCAATGAATCATCAAATTTATCATCGCAATACTCGTCTTTAGTCACAATTCCATCTCCACAAATTGGTATACAATTATTGTCTATTAATTCATAACCAATCAAACACTTCTCACATAGACCTTAAACGCATATTTCACACTGAGACTAACAATCCAAAGAACATAGGTAGCATCCATCAAAGGGTGCTAAATTATTGTCATCACATTATTCATTTGAATTAATCAGTAAATCTCCACATTGACTATAACAAATGTTACCACTCAAGAAGTATCCAACTTAACATTTCTTACAAACTCCAAATTCACATTACAAACAATCATCAGGACATTCAAATTGGCAATCATTATTACATTTAGGATTTATTTGATCTAATGCAGATGCATAATCACATTACTCATCACCTATTATTACATCATCGCCACATAAACTCTCACAATTCAATTTCATTTAATTCCAATACCAACCTTACCTACATTGATAACACTATCCATCCATGCAAACTTCACATTAATTTTGACATTATACTTTATTACATTTAGTTTCACTTTACGATAGAATCAAGTCTGTGCAATCAGTAATACAATTCAAATACTCAAAATGATACCCTATTTCACAAACCTTGCATTGACCTTTCACACAAGTCTGACAATGTTAAGGACATGAATATTTACATTAATAGCATCCATCGAATTCAATGTTATTCCCATCATCACAAAATTCTATTTCACTTAAATATCCATCACCACATACTGACTCGCACTTTCCATTTTTATTCATCTGATAACCCAATTTACATGATTGGCAGACTCCTTAAACACAACTTTAACACAAATCCTCGCAATCAAAACTACATTTGAAACATCCATCAAAAGCTTCTAAATTATCATCTTCACATTGTTTTTGATGTGTCTATTAACTATCACATAATTGAATGCATTCCTTATCATCATTTAATTCATAACCATCAATACATTTTGTGCATTGTCCTTTATCACACAACTTGCAATTTTCTACACAAAGGATTTTACAATCAAAACATGTATTTAACGATATGTCCCCTTAATCTAAATTGATATCTATATCACACTCCTCATCGCCTGCTTTGATTCCATCTCCACATATAGTATGACATTATTCTTTGTTTATGTACCAACCGTTTATCTCATCACATTCTATACAACCACCATTTAAACATGTGATGCATTAAGTTTAACATGAGTATTCACATAAATAACAACCATCGAACGGGATCAGATCGTCACTTTCACATTACTCATTGTCACTCTCTATTAGATCTCCACACTTACTGGAACACTTATTTTCATCAAGGTAATATCCATTTTGGCACTAAGAACATATGCCTAAAAAACATTGGGAACAGTTATCGTCACAAACTAAAGCACAAGAGTCACAAAAACTGGAATTTTCATCACACATTTCATTATTACTTACAATAAAATCACCACATTAAGAATTACATTATTAATCTATTTAATTAATATGCCAACCCTTTTCATTTTTGCATTCTAAACATCGTCCATTGACACATTAGTTACAACCCTCATCACATTCAAATTTACAACTGATACATCCATAATCATTAATTGTTTCTATTCCAAAATCACAATCTTCATCTTTGGTTACAATTCCATCTCCACATATTGATATACAATTTTAGTTTATTAATTCATATCCACTATTACAACTAAAACAAATTCCATATTTGCAATCATAACATTCATCATCACAGACTTATAAACAATATTGGCAACCATCAAATAACTGTGAATTCTAATCATCACACTGTTCATTTAAACTTACAATAGCATCTCCACATAGGCTGACACATGTGCCAGTTTCTGAATCTAAATAATATCCGTTATATTGTTTACATCTCTAACACTACCCTAATACACAAAATTCACATTCTTATTGACATTATAATTAACAGCTTATACATTCCATTTCATGGTTTAATTATTCATTTTAAATATCATCACATTATTCTTCAGTTGTGATAATCCCATCTCCACAAATTGAAGTACATACTTTTTAACTGTAATTTAAGTTGTAACCAGTAATGCACTTTTTGCATACTCCAAAGATACATTAATCACAATATTAATCGCAATTGAAAACACATTAATTACATCCATCATCTAGAACTGTGTTACTGTCATCACACTGTTCATATTTTGAAACAACTCCATTTCCACAAAGAGGAGTACAAATATTATTTTAATCCAGATAATAATTAGATTTGCATGAATAACATATTCCTGCAGCACAAACTGCACATTCAGCCTAACATTCATATCTACATTGATAACAACCATCTTCAAATTCAGAATTCAGATCATCACATTATTCTTGAAATTAAGTTGTAACTCCATCTCCACAAACAGGAACACATTTTAATAGTTTCTAGTTTAATGTATAACCTGGTGTATTACATTCATAACATTAACCCAATATACAGTTGGTGCATTCATCTTAACACTAGAATTAACATTGAACACAACCATCAGTTCTAATCAAATTTCCATCATCACATGATTCATAGAATGTAATATAATTGTCTCCACATATTGGTAAGCATTGATTAGTTTTGCTGTATAATTGATATCCTGTTTAGCATTTAGTACATATCGAGAACAAACAAATATCGCAAAAGGAATCGCATTAGAAATAACAATTGTGACACCCATCAAATGAAGTGATATTAGCATCATCACATGCTTCAACTCCTGCTATAATTCCATCTCCACATTAAGTTTCACATCTTAAGAGAGTCTAATTCACATAATATCCCTAAGTATTATCACAACTATAACACAATCCTTATTAGCAATTTAAGCATTGAGATTAACATTGTTATAGACAATTGAAGCAATATCTGATGGGATAATTGTAGGTATTATCACATTGCTCAGATCCTACTATTATGTTGTCTCCGCATAAAGGAATGCACCACTTCATGGTAGAATTCAAGACATATCCAGTTGAACAGACTGAACATTTACCATTGACACAAATTGAACATTCCTTTTGGCACTCATATTTACAATTATTGCATCCATCGAATCTTGTTGTGTTACCATCATCGCAATCTTCACCATCAGTCACTACCATATCACCACATACAGATTGACATTTATTACTTACTCCATCATCGTAATAGTTATTTTAACAAAGACACACATTATTATTAATATATCTATGTTGAGAATTCTTGCATGATAAACATTAGTTTTTTGCAGAGCCATAGCAACTAGAACATTAATCGTGACAATTATCACAAGTGTTCGTGGCTGTTAAATAAGTCCATGAATAACATTAACATGTGCCATTGGATAAATAAAAATTGGTTGCACATTTAGTGCAGATGTATTGATTTGTACATTCTAAACAATATGAAGGGGAACATTTTGTGCATACAGCAGGAGTGACTGAACTATCAAGATAATAAGTGGCATCTACACAAGAGGTTGGGGTAAGCATTCCAGTTGGTATTGCGGATTGACCAGTGCATTCTGCCCATGTGGGACCTGTGCATGCTGTACAATATTGAGTGCACTATAATTATTATATTAAAATACTTCTAAGATAAGAATGAAATAGTTATATATTAAACAAAAATTGTCATTAATAGATTGAGATGAACTTGCATTGCATTATAAAATCACTTAGAAACTACTCAGAGAGTGATTCTCTGTTCTATCTACTTGTATAAATTTATCCACACCCAAAGCTCCAATATTATTAGAAGTAGTAGCTCCTTAAGCATAGGTTATAATTTATTAAGAGAATCCTCCTACAGTATAGCGAAAATCTCCAGCGTTGACAAAATCATCTCCCAAAACTAGAGTAAATTTGATTCTGAATTTATAATGCGGGTTCAGGACAAAATTCTAAGTAAAAATAGCCTTGTTCCAAACTAAAGGACCACCTAAAGCTCTTTTGCCTAAGTAATAACTAAAATAGATTGTGGGTCCAGATCCTATGAACGTGTTGGTGGTTTAAAAGTCTGAAGCACTTGAAGATGGAGTCCCTATGATGGCAGGTATATCTGTTTCTGTGGTATTAGTGGAATCATAGAAGGCCTTTACTATATATCTAGTATCTACATTAAATAGAGTTACTACTTTAGACGACTTCATCAAAGTCTAAGCATTTACCAGAACTCAAAGTCGAATAAGGAGGACATGAAGGTACGCATCTATTCTTATACAACACTCCTGTAGAGCAAGCATAGCATTTCAAATCATAATCACACCAGGAACAGGTTGATTAACATTTCATTATATCCAAAACCACATTTCTAAATCCCCAAGATTAGGATCCAGCAGTGCTGAAATAAATTTAATTTCTTACTCCATGTTTCCCTATATCCATAAGATTGGAGATACAACGTTACTTCTTAACTTTGCTTCCATTCTGTAATAGGTAACTACAGGACTTGTGCAATTTGTATCTGTTAATAATGCTTATCCATTTCTGTTTAGTATGGCATTACTAATAGTGTAGATGGATGCCTATTCATCACTATCTAAAAGTATTCTTATGGTTGAATAATCTGTCCAAGTTCCAAATTTCAATAAAGTTACACGAAATCTTATGTAAGTTAGATTATAGGGTAATGATAACTATAATTTATATCCTTCATTTGAATAAAATGGGCCTAAGTAATTTTTAGTAGTTTGACAAGGTATTTAAGATATTCTTTCTACATTGACAATATTAAAATTGAAAGGATCAGGAACAAAGACCCAAGGAGATGCAGTTGTAAATGTACTTGTATCTAGATAGGTTGTAAATGGTAACATATCTATAATAAATAAGGATCATCTTACTCTCGTTGAATTAGCATACATTATTTGAGTCTGGCACTCTATAATGTTGGCATTCAGTAAAACATCCTTTTGAGCTATTCAGATACTCTATATAAAGGTAATTTGTGGGGCATAGACCACAAGTACTGGCTGTTGCCAAAGTGACGGTGGGATTGTTAAAACAGACCTTGCATTTATTACTAGCTGAACTTGTTTCGCATTTCATGCAAGACCAATGACAGCGATCAACGTATATTTATAAACTGCGTGTTCCATAGGTCTACCCAGCATTTAATGTTCCACAAACCCTGAATTACAGTGTATCATTATCGTTGTGCACATAAGTTAGAATATACGTTTAGATCTAAAAGTTTCCCCAACTTGCATTGCAAACATTTTAATAGTTTTTAACGCTATTCGCTCCATTGTTTTTAAATTAGAAAGTCTTTGTAGCTGTGGTTGAGACATTGCAATCGTAATTAATGGTGTTCATGTTGTTGCCTGAATTAATAAAATAGCCATCCACTATGATTTTAACTTAAAAATGCGGAGGCATACTTGTAACTGTATACATTTATCTACTATAGGTTTATCCCACATAAGAGTATTAGAAATTGCTTGGGGTGCAACCTGCAACTTGAGATGTTGTGGTAGCACTATAGGTCCAATCGCATGCAGTAGCATAATTCCAATTACTATCGGATACAGAGAAATTCATGAGATCCTCACTTACGAGGGTCATCTAAGATGAGACAAGAGAAATTAAGACAAAATAGGCGATTATCTTGCTTTTCATATTATTTTAAATCTTAGAAAACAAATTTTTGTGTGACATCATCTAATTAATAATTATATAATGATTATAATAAAATCTATATTATCATAAATAATTATGTAAGGATTATTCAATTATCTTGTGCTTATTTCTGCTGCATAATAATCTAGTAGATCTGATCTGCATCAATAGCTGAATATATTGGATTGTCTTGACTATCTCCATAATCATCCTCATCTTCTTTGTCAAAGAACTTGGTGTAACACCCTGGGAATACTTCCTTATCGATTTTAATTTTGCCTCTCACAGTCTTAATTTTATCATCCTTATCTTGTTTCATAAGTTCATTTTTCTTTTTTTCAATCAACTTCATTTATTTCTTTGCCAATAACGCTGTTCTTTTTTAAACAGGAGGTTTACTCTTCTCAGATTTCTACTTCTCTTTATTACTCATGATATCCATGACATCAACTAATAAGTCTGTTTTTAAAGTTGCCTTCTGAATTTTGGCTTCATTGTACCAATCATAAAATGTTTGATTTTAATCTGTATTGCAAACACAATAAATTGGACTCTACTTAATTTCTTCCATATCTGCTTTTGTGAAATTGGTTCCTCCAGTAACTTTGTTGATCTCCTATTCAGTTCTGAGTACATCTTCATCTTCAGTGTTTTCTGGACTTGAACTTAATAGAAGTGCTTCATCCCATCTTTTAACTTTAGTTGGCTTTTTATACTTGATTTTCTTTCTTTCATCCATTTTAATGAAATCTGGAGTTTCATCAGATGGTTTCAATTCGTTGCAAGCTATCAACACAATTAAATCAATAATGAATATGTTTTGAAGGACTCTGGCAAACTTCTCTGGAGTGATCATCTTTTTCAATTCTTCTGTAATCACTTTATAGTCTTCTTTATGATTGTCAACGACATAAGTCAATAATTTGATGAGCATTTAACAACTTTATATGATTTCTCTTGCAGATTGATCTTTAACGCTGGATGCTTCTCTGGCATTGATTTCCAAGATTCTTTTTTTTGTTGTATCTCTCATATTTTCAATTTTAGGTTAATTGTAGGCTACCATCTTACCCATCATTCTATTTAAATCAACCAATTTGAATTAGAAATGTGCATAGAATTTTTGACTCAAAAAACATTTGTCTCTGATTTAACCAATTGCTTCATATTCAGCTTTGACTGCATCCCAATGACACTTATATTTGACACAAATATGCCAATGAGTGACTGTTTCTTCCGCTGAAAATATTTGTCTATTAATTTTTGGATCTATTGCTCTCCATCTAGCTTACACCATTGGTTTATGGGGAATAGAAAGTCCATAAATCGTTTTCATCTGTCTAGTAATTTCAGCCCATTTAGCTTCTCCAAGGGTGCCCACCAATTCAGTCAGGACTTCATCAAACTAATGTTAATATAAATATCCATACCCTGGGTGTGTAGATAGGATTATGTTTACTAAACTGATCAAATTAGCAATTAACCCAAATTATTGCAAGGATTATGTAAAATGTCCTTTAATATTTTTCTCCTATTTTTACTATTAATATATATGTATATTAATCATTTCTTTCCATAAGAACTTTAATTAGCCATTTCCCACACTTGTTACTTGAAGATATGGATAACCTCATCAATTATGGCATTCTCCACTTAAATATTAATTTGATCTCCTTACCGTTTCTTCTATTCAACTGAGTCTCGTATAGGTCTCTCAACTTCTACAAGGATGCTGCAGCTGCATTAAGGGTATTTTGAGAATCCCTCAACGCTCTGAAGGCATAGCTGTGCACAGCAAGAGCAGCTTTTCGTTACTTTACAATTATGTAGAATCTTACATACCACAACCAACATGTCTTACAATAGGGTCTTCCTTTAGATTTCTTCATTAAGATGAGCAATTTCAGATTCTGTGTCTGCTAACGAATCGGCGAATTAATAATAGGCAGCAATTTCATTGGCCTTTAAATCGGCTAAGGATCCCTTCAATTAATCCTCAAGATCTGAGAGAACATTTTAAACCAATTGACCAATATTGTGTCCTGGTAATCTGTCTGATGATGCTCCTTCCTTTTGACCAACTGCATTCAATTCTGCATCACCTTAAGCCTATTCAGCAGCTAATTATGCAAATTTGGTAATTGCATCTTGATTAAACAGATGACTGTATTATTTCAATTTGTCAGATACATTGTGCACATTAATCTATCCCAATGAGGATGATTGACCTGTCAAATATCCACTTAAGTCATTCTTTAATATACTAATCACTCTCAAAGCATCCTAATGGCTATTTGATGGCTCTCTCAAGCAAACCATTTGAAAGACATCTAAACTCTTACAACCCAATAGGTCTTTTGTGAATATTCACCAATTTTTAGGTAGCTAAGGCAATTTAATCTTTAGCCATCTATATATACATATCACTCTAAGTATTACTCTTAATTAAACATCAATTTTTTCTATTCTAAGTTTTGCAATTATCAAAGGTTTTTTGTTTAACCATCTCTTTCCATAAAGCACTATTCTAGTTTATCCAATCACCTCATCTGAAATGTTCTTCTCATCTGCCACTCCTTAAGCCTCTATGTTGTTTGTCTTCAAATCATTCAATAAATCATAAACAGACTAAAATGCATAATTTGATTCAGATCCTGTCTTTTGGTTAATTATTTCTATGATTCATACTTGCAAGAGCAATGAGAAATCAATTTCAAATCCTTTAATACTAATTAGACATGTCAGTGATAACACTAATACCTTATTCATATTGTAAATAATATAATTATTAAATAAAAACAATATACGGATCCATTTACTATTTATATCAAAATCACACCTTTGCTCATAAACAATACTTTCTTAATGATTCCGCATTCTCCACTTTGACTAATTTACAATATTCCTATATTTGATCAAATTTGTATTTATAAGCGTTGATCTTTAGGAACTTCTCTATGTCCTATCCATTCACTAAATACAACTTGAAGTATCTTCGCAAATGTGAAATTCTTTTTCCTTGATTATTCATCTCATCCTTCATAACATTAAGATCCTTCAAAATCATCTAAATTTTCTTTGGATTGAAGTCCCTCTACCTTATGAACTAAGCCTTCAAACTCGCCTTGAAGATCGTCCAGAAATCTTATGTAATGATATTGAACTAAAATCATGGATGATGATAAAAAATACCGTTTCATCTTATATACTCTCCTTAAGAGTTTGAGAAAAGTTAATGTATTCGAAATTGAATTCTTGAATGTTGGTCATCAATAAATGTCTCATATGAAATTCAAATCTCAATACCAGATAAACATCGAATTGAACCAGAAATATTTCATTGCATAATTTTAAGAACCTGTAAAAGGACTATTGCACATTGTCATTATATTAAATTCTATTCTATTTTAACAATTGTATACTCTATTGCATTCTTGTTTTTGAATTACTCCAACTAAAAACTTTGCTATTCACACCTCAATTAAAAAATCTTAAGCAATTGGATTTTTATGCTCTGCTATTCCAATGGAACATCCTTCTATTATATATCCAACTACTTTATCAAATATTATTGATCACTATCAATATCAATATCTATACATCTTATCTAAATATTGCTCTATGGATTGAAAAGTAAAGGTTAGAAAAGCATGGATGTTGTCATGTAATGCACCCAATGTGTGCAACACTTCTTTCGATCTAATTAAAGGACTCGTTTTTGATTCATCAACCTAATTCACCAAGTATTCCATATATCCTTAATACATAGGTTATTTCAATTAAAATCTAAATTACTTATCGCCTTTAGCCTTCTACAGTCTTTATTATGTATTTATGCCATCATTTAACAGAGGATTCGACTATTAAAACTTGCATTTCCATTCCATATAAGACAACAACTTTTTTTGCAAGGCTTACTTGTCTTGATTATACATCAAAATCTCTGATTGGGAACCCTATATAGATGCTTTTAATTTTATTCGTATTTCTTGGAGATAGACATTCAAAATCCAATTCAATATTTGAATGAAATCTATTGAAAGATTGGTTATCTGATCTATGACATTGAGTTCATGTATTAAATAACAAAATTGTATTGATTCAGGAATTTACATCTTTAGATTAATCAAATGAAAATCGCTGAGCATTTGCTTTAATTGTTGATCTTGAACATCTTACGTCAATTAATAATTTATTTGAGGGATAAAGGATTTATTCTATCGTTTTGGCAATGACACCACATTTCTGACTACATTTTTTACTCCTTCATTTAATTACTTGATGCAATCTAAATAGATACTCTTACTTAATTCCTACTACAATTAAATCTCATTATCAATAGGCTCTTTGAAGATTGGTTCTACTCTCATGAACACCTTCAGTGACTCAATACATTGTTGTAAGACTTCATCTAACAGATGTCTCTATAATAAATAATAAAGAGGACTAGGTTTGATTAATTATTAAAGAGTAGTTTGAATGAATAAATGATACTCATTTCTCACATCCAACACATCTCTACCCTTATTCTACTCACTAATTTTCGAAGACTTATAGAACATACTCAAAACCACATTGATCTACCAAAACAACTATCTGCATAATTCTGATAATGAAAGTAGAAGAGTGTTTTCGTCAACATCAACATTTAAGCAATGCAATGTTTTTCCAAATAACACTTACTTTCTCAAAATAATCATGGCATAAGCTATGAGCTTCTTGAAAAATTAACTTATAATCTTATAAGTTGCAAAACTACTAAAATTTAGTTCTCCAAACAATGAAATCTTAATGTTGTCATTGGGAGTTTATCTTTTAATAAATATAGTCAAAGATTTAGTAAATAAATCTTACAAATTATATTTGAAATCTTCGAAATGCTTATTTAATAATTCATTTGTTTTTCTAATTATTGTACATCCTTTGATACAGAGAAATATATTTAATAAACTAGTTTATTACGTATTTATATTTAAATTTATGTCTCCTGTCTTGGATGTGTTGTTATCGACATACTACTTTACAGCATCAAAATCATTAAATTAAAAACTCATTTGAATAAACCTTTTCAATTGATTATAAGATATGATTAATTCATTGCTATTGAGTTGTTAATCAATCAAACATAGTTCCAACTCATCATCATTTTGCAGTGTCACTTCTGGGAGATTTGCCTTAATGAATTGCAAGATTTCGCTTAAGGACTTTAAATCTCTTACTTTTCTCTCTAAATCATAATACTTTTAAGCATCTGTGCTTTTTAAGATGGAGCCCCTTTGCAAGAAGAAAAACTCTTTTAACTAATTTTAAAATTCCCCCAAAATTTAAGAAAGTCCTAAATTGAACCCTTTGTTAATATATTGAATTTAAAAGGACTCCTACTTCGGGAAAATACTTATTAAAGATTTAATTTTTCTACACTCCAAACTGCCTTCATAAGGTTAATTCAAAGCTTAGGTTTGTATCAATTTAATAGATGATCTAATAGTTTTCAATTTATTTAAAGTAGAAATAATCTCCTTGTAGTATATATTCTAATAATAAAAATGCTTCAATTCCGCAGACTTAGAACTTAACAATTCTTTGCTACTTTACAATCTTTTTCTACTTTGCTTTACATTGTGGGATAATTCGTCGTATGCTTTCTACATAATTTTACTATTTTACTCCGTATATTTAAGGCTTATTAATCATTGGATTGAATTTATCATATTTCTGATCTATTATCTAGGAAATGATTTCCTCGCATTAATTTTCCTTGGTTGACATCTCTTAATACACTTGTTCTATCTATTAGGATAAAGGGGAATCAATTACATTCTTCTTTGAGATCAACAACTAAGCAATGTATCTTGTTGTACTGAAATTTGCTTCTTGCATCCCAATATTATCTTATTTTAGGAAGTCGTCAATAATATTAAAAAACATATAATTATATAAATATATAAATATATTTTTTTGATATTTCAATCAATCTATATAAAAAAATATCTGCAATTATCAGTATCAAGAAAATTATTATTTGTAAGAGGATATTAGGTTAGTTATAAACTTATTTTGGTATAAACTACAATATAATACATCATAATATAATTTAAATAGTAATTTATTATTAATATTAGAAAAGATCAAGTAGAATTTCTTTGTTATGATTAATCAGATGTTCTGGAAAATTGTTTGCCAAAACCACTCAATACAGGTTCATTTAAATGATTTAGACGTTGGTTTCTACTATGATATAATATGACCAATGCTTAATCATGGACATTGTTATGATCTACAGTTTTTATAAATTCTTCTAATTTTATGGTAGTTGTTGTATTATTCTTATGATTTTTCTAGGATGAGCAATTTCCCATTTTGAATGTTAGTTTTAAAATAAATAATAAAATATTTATAAATATTTTCAATTAATAATGCAGAATCGTTTTGCTCAATTTGGATAATAATCAATTATCCCACTCAAAGCCACTGGTAAGTTCGGGGATCAGTTTTTCGATCTTCCACAAATTAAGCCTTTTTCTCTCAAATTACTGAAAGCAAAGGGTAGACCTAACTAATTACTTTAGAGAAAAGGAGAAGAAGTTATCCCTAAAGAAATCCGCATGGATAAACCATTTTTCGAGGTTTTTAATCCTCCGAATTAAAATTATATGAGTATGATTCATTCTGAAGAATTGAGACCCTAAATTTCCTACTATTATCACGCTCCTAATAACCAGCCAAATGAATAAGTGACAGTAGACAAAGATAACGCTTACTTAGTTGAAAGTGCTATTAAAAATTAACATGCTGATATAAGGAAATTAGAAGCATTATAACAAAGGATAATATTGAAGGAGAGAGTATAAAAAGAGATAAAACAAGAGATGTAATTGAAATAACTAAAGAAAGAAAAATAAATGGCTGAGTTGTAAGAATCAACTTCTAACTCAAACCTTGGTTTTAGTAATGTGAAATTAAAGAAACCTCAAAATTATGATACGGCAATTTAGCAGTCTAAAAGCCAAATTACTTTGTAGTCATAGTTTAAGGAGATTTAAGATAGCTTATTAGAACTTTAAAGGATTTAAGAACTAAATAAACAAAAAGAACAACTTATTAAATAAGAATAAGAGGAATCATTTATAAATAAAATAGAATCATTTTAGAGGTACACTTAGAAGAATTGGAAATGTTCATCCTAAGAATTACGAGCTTTAATCAAGAAAGATAAATAAAAGAAATAATTTTCATGAAAATACTCAATTAACTTTAATTATTTTATTTTTTATTTTTCGATGTAAATAATTAATTACCATATTATTGTTTTAGTAATTTTATTGTAATTAAAAATATTTCAAATGTGATCTTTTGATAAACAACCTCAAACATTACAATTGAAAATAATAGCCTTCAAAATAAGCCAAAGATCAATTAAGTAATAAAAATGATATTAAAATTTGTAAAATTTAGTGTGAAGAGCAATTGTGTAACTGAGTAGTAATATTTCTACAATATTTAAAATATCTTTAATGAATTCTTTTAAATGAGTAATCAAAAATACTTAAACTCTCTTAATAACTATTTAATTTCATAAAATATATTTCATGATTTAATACAATTCAACTATCTAATTAAATTAATATAATATAAATGAGTACTCATAGGACAGAGAATGGTCTCCTATAAGATTGTTATTTCGGGCCTTCAATTGAATAATCTGAAGTGAATCTGTATAAAAAAAATCCATCTTCAAAAAATTCAATTCTCTCAGAAACAAGTTAAAATGAGATTTAAAATGAAAAGGAAAGCCCAAAAAAAGTTGGAATAGCATCTTTAAATTATTAAATTTTGAAAGCTAAGTAATAATTTACTAAGAAAAATTAAAACCTTTAGACTTCCTAAAGCAATTTTATAAAGGGGAGTAGAAGAAATTTATTTGAAGGAAAGATCTAGTAAATTGATAGAGTAGAAAAGTCAAGTAAGCAAGACACTTTTAATTTTATTAAAACAATATTAAAATCAAACTTGATCAATAAATTTAAAAATAATCTGCTTTCCTCATCCTATGTCTTACCATATAGAATGAAAAATATACTAGGTAATGAAGGATATCTATAAGAGCAAAAGGATAAAGTAAAATCTGCAAATTATGTTATTGAGAGGTATAAAATATATATTGTATTATATCAGGCAGTAAAACAAAAATTAGCAATAAAAAAGCAAAACACTGATTAACCTATTAATGCCAGATCGAAACTTCACTTTGGTTTGGGATTTAATTTCATTATTGTTGCTATTTTTGAGTCTTTTTTTATGCACACTAATTGCATCTTTTGGTTAGCATTTATATACGTTTAAACCCGCAGAAATTATTATAAATCTGTATATAATTTTGGAGATATTGTTTTCAGTTTATCGACCAATTATATTGAATGGAGAAGTGGTTTTTGAGATTTCATAAATATGGAAAAATTATTTGTAAACTTAACTGCTGGAAGATCTTATCAGTTTTACCATATGGTTTTTAGTATATTTTGATTTTGATGAGTAAAAATACCTAAATGAGATCATGGTAGTTTTATAATTTGTAATTACGATTAGGAAGATAGATCGAAAATTCAACATTCTAGTGGAACAATTATATTTAAAAGGGTTTAATAGTAATCTTCTTAATATAGTAACTTTAGTAATCATTATTTGTTTCTTTGCACATACAATGGCATGTTTGTGGCATCATGTAGGAAATCTTACTTAAAAATATGGATCTTGGTTAACTTATTACAATATCATTGATGAGCCATTTTGGGTGAGATATAATTACTCATTTTATTGGGCAACAATGACTATGGTAACAGTAGGATATGGTGATATCACACCTAAAAATTAATTTGAAGTGACATTTGCAACAATCATGATGTTACTGTCAAGTTGTATGTTTGCTTACACAATGAATTCTATTGGAGTAATTGTCAAAACAATATATGATTAATAAACAAAGTTCAAGTATTTATTAACCTATAATCCTAGACGGACTTTAATATTAATGAATTAGTTCATGTCTAAGAATGAGGTTGATTAATAAATATAAAGAAGAGTAAAAAATTATATCAAATATAATATTGAAAATGACATTCTCGAAAACCAAGAGGACACAACTAAAATAATTAATGATTTACCTGTAAACCTAAAAAAATAAATTGAATAAGACATTCAATACAGAGCAATTTTAAAAATTAAAGTTTTCACTGACAATTTCTCAACTTCAACTTAAAATAAACTATAGAATATTTTAAATGAAGTTAAGTCTACTCCTAACGATTTCATTTATCATACAAATGACAATAAGGATAAAAGTTTGTAAAGTTATATTTTCATTTAGATATTTCATTAAGGAAGGAGAGGTTTAAATTGTAGAGGAACAAAGTTTGAAAATTATAAAAGTTTTAAAGGCGGGAGAAACATTTGGAGAATATTAATTTTTTACAGGCTAAACTACTAAAGAATCTATTATTAGCGTTGGATTCACTCAACTATTCAAAATAGATAGAGATCAATTTATTACTATCATCAAATAAAACTCTAAAGATTTCGAAAGATTTCATAAGATAAAGGACAATATTTTTTATTCAAAATCATTCTCAGCTATTTAAAAAAAATGTCAATTCTGTGGTCAATCCAATCATCTACAACTTGAATGTCCTTACATCACCTATTAGCCAAATTTATATATCAAAATTTTGAAGATGAATTAGTCACAAACTAATTATCGGTTTTATCAAAGGAGATCTGGTTAGAAATCAAAATCTATTATGATTTCTTATTCAATTTAATAAGCCACAAAAGAAATCTAAGAAGACTATGCAGATTCATTGAATACGGATAATATGCTCAATTATTAAATTTCAAATTCTCTAAGTTATCTCTAAGAGTCTCAATTAGGAATAGATCAAATATAGTTATCAAACAAATCACTTTCGAAGCAAGAATAAAATAAAAATGTGCCTTCCGAAAATAGAAGGGAGTCTCTTTTCCCTAAAAAAACTGAAAGTGAAAAACAAAACAAATCATAAATATTTTAAAAGAAAAAACCCTCCTTAATAGAGAATGATAAAAGGAAAACCTTAGTAAAAGAAACTTTAATTTTTCAATAATTAGATCAATTTCGAGGCTATATACATAATTCTGAATTAGAAGGATTTGATAAAATACATAATTATAATGAATATCTTCCTCACAACAATTTCAATAATGTAATCAAGCAACTCTATAAAGAAAAATAAAAATATAGAAATACAAAATAGCTTCGAAGGGAATTCAGTAGAAGAGATTATTGAAGTCTATAATTTATATAAATATTTAACTTAGATACCTAAAAATTAAAAATATTTATTTATTAAAAATAAATAAGAATGATTAAATATCTTCATTATTTTTGTTATTGTTATTATTATTGCTATTATTATTCTAATACTGCTTTTGCTGCTGCTTAAACATATATTTTATCGAATGCGAGAACGTTTCCTGCAACTTAAAATCCTTCTTTACTTAATTCACTAGCTTAATCTCCATATTTATTTTTAATAACCTAAAGTGATTAACGATGAAAATTACTTCTGTAGTTGCTTAGCCAGTGCAATCCAATAATACACTTAGAGCTTCGGTTAGTCCATCATAAATGCTAACAACAGCAACAACAGCAGCTCCCCCAACGTTTTTAGCATCATCATAATATTTGTGCTCTTACATCTTTTTACCAGTTTCACTATTCTCAAATTATTTCTCAGCTTCATCTGCAATCAACTTTCCCAAATTAATCAAAGCATCAACTTAAGCCTTTGTAAATTGAAGTATAGCTTTAGACCCTTTATTCACTAATTTAACTTTATTCAATGTGTCTTCAGATATTTCTTTTTATTCTTTATCAGTGATCTTCTCAGAAATCAATTCACCTCCTTTCTTTATCCCTTCTCCAATAAACCCAGCTACAGAAATTAAGCCTTATCTAATAGCATTTCCTCCTTATTTTATATAATCGCTAACTCCTGCAGGTTTCTCTCCTTATCCAACATGTTCCCACAAATTGACTTGCATTATTCCAGTTCTCAACATTAATTCCTGTTGGGTCAATTTTTGCTATTCATTTAATTACTTCATATCATTTCTTCCACCATAAATAGACTTAGACATAACATTTTAGTGTTGCTTTTGGGGAGAAATCACAAGTCGAACATTAACTGAGAGAATATGTTCAAATGTATCAGATACCTAATCTTACTTCTCTACAATGATTCCATAAAATATATCATTAAGACCAGGGAAAATGTACATTTTGCTACCATTAACTATTAAAGCAACCATCACAGGGATATTTTTTTGCAATGTATATTAAAACTAGCCGAATTTTAAGAAAGTTAATTTAAGTTGTTCTGATTAATATAACTAATAAATTTAGCCATTTCAATACTTAGAGAATGCCAGCATCAACTTATTTTGGCTATTGGTTTTTAATTTCAAATAATTTTGATTAAGGTACTTCTAATTATAATTATAATTGATAATCCATTATTCTTTCTTTAATTAAAATAATTAATTAAGAATGAAAAATGTATTCATATCAGGAGGCTGTAATTCAGTCTATAATGGTTTGGATGTTTGTTAATTTGAACCAAATTCACATTTGATAGCATTTCCTTGTAGTAACCAAGTAACTCAATTTTTTATCTTAGATATTAGTGTATGATATTGAGAAATTAAAGGTTATATATTCTTATTCAACTTTTAATAAGAGAGTCAATTACGTAAGATTTCTGGATGCAAATACATTGATAGCTGCTGATGGAGAGGGTAAAATAGCTATATTCAACGATTCCTAAATTTTACATGAAACTAAATTAAGTGAATCAATATAATTGTTCAAAGTTATTGGTAAACACCTAATTGCCTTGTCTATCGATGGCTTAGTTACAGTGCTGGATTTAGAATTAAAAGAATTATCAAAGCTTGAGTTTGGTAATAATGTGATGGAGAACATTGATGCAATTGCTTTTGATAATTTCATTTTTGTTGCTCTCAGTGGAGTAGATACTCAAATCCATTTATACATCTTAGAGAACAATCAATTATAATATAAAGCTTCAGTGAAAGGTCATTAGAGAAGTTTAAATCACTTGCAGTTTTTCTAAAAAAACTAGGATTACTTGTAATTGGCAAGTGCATCTAAGGATACATACACTAGAATCTGGAGCATCTACAAGGTTAATGAGGTTGAGGCTAAGATTAGATCTTTTAGAATAGGCTAATAATTATATAGTTTCAAATTGGAGACAATCCTCTAAGGACATAATGAAGAGGTTTCTACAGTAAATTGGTTTGATGAGAATACAATTCTGAGTGGTTCATTTGATTACAATGTTATCATTTGGAAGCAAGACAAGGATACCGGATTATGGTTAAGTGTTTCCAGATTAGGATAAACAAGTGGAAATAAGAATCAGATATTTGGATTGAAAACATCATATGATAAATAATACATTATATGTTATACTTTGACTGGGGCAATTTATATTTGGAAATAGCAATAAGATAATTGGGTAGAATAACCTGTGATAACAGGCCATTATGCAGAGGTAACAGATCTTGATTTTAATGACTATTTACTCACTTGTAGTATTGATTAAACTAGTCGAATCTTTGCCAAGTGGATTCAAAATGGCACATATCATGAAATATCCAGACCATAAATTCATGGTTATGATTTAAATGCTATAAAACAAATTGGAAATCAAGTTATAAGTGGAGGAGATGAGAAGATATTAAGAATGTTCAATCCATCTCCTTTTACAATTAATTAGCTCAATTATTTGAATGAATAAAATATTAATTCATCTGTCTTTTTGAATAAAAATATTCCTTCACAAATTGTAACTTATAACAATAGATAATTTAATGAATTTAAATTAGCTACTGAAGGAATACAATAGGCACTTGGATTGATGAATGTACAAATGTAATTTGAGGATGAAGAAGATGAGAAGTAGACTTTATTTTATATATGATAGTGTCAAAGCTAATGAAGTTGAAGTCAATCTTGAAGTCAAATATGGATAACCTCCAAATGATGCCTTGCTTGCAAAGAAATCCTTATGGCCAGAAACTAATAAATTATATGGGCACGGTTATGCAATTTAGGCAATAGCTATACATTAAAATATAGCTGCTTCATCCTCTGTTGCCATTACATCTAAAGCTGCTGAAATAATCATTTGGGATACAAACACTTTCAAAATTAAATAATTATTACCATGTCATAATTACACTGTTGTCTAACTTGTATTTTCTAAGAGTGGAAAATATTTGATAAGTGTTAGTAAAGACAGATGCTTAGGAGTATTTGTTAAATAGGATGATGACACTTATTAATTACTATCAAAATCATAGCCTTGTTCAAGAATTGTGTATACTTGTTCATTCAATAATGATGAATCTCTGATCTTTACTGGAAGCAGAGATAAAAAATTTAGAATTTATAATACTAAAGAGGCATCATTGCCAATAAAAGAAATCGATTTCCCAGATGAGATCACAGCTATAGATTCTGTTTAACTTAATGAAAAATAAATTGTCGCTGTAGCCTATGGTTAAGGACAACTAGAGACATTTGAACTTACATAAGCTCTTGAATTAAAATTGCTGTCTGCTGTAGATAAATATCATTAACATTCTAAAACTATTAACAGAATCAAATTTAATAATAATTTGCTTGCTTCCTGTAGTGATGATCACACAGTTAGAATATATGAAATATGATATATAATCATTATAAACAGTATTTAGTTGATTATCTTTTATTTGTAAGTTTATCAAATTATTATTAATTGTCCATTTCTTAAAATAAAATTTTATTTCAAAGATTATAATAATAGATTTCAAAATCTAAAGAAAACTGAGCAAATAAATAGAATAAATAATTAATCATAATAATTAGTTATTCATTTTTTAACTTTTCACTTACTTAAATATGAACACAAAACTTAAATTAGAATTATTAGATCAGATTAATCAGTAACAGTTTTCATCTTATCTCTTCTTTAAGTATTGGAAATTGTATGAAGATATTACATGTTTGATGAATCATGATGATTTTCATTAATTAAAGAATCAGAGGAATCAGCAAATTTTGCTAAAATACTCTAACATCATAACAATTTTGATTTTATAAAGTGAAAACAATGTTTTTATGCTTTCAAAAACCTCTCATAATATTTCAAGTCAAATAATGTAATTATTGCTAATGAAGCTAATAAATTAATGAATTAATCTAAATATTATTATATATTATTTAATGAAATTGGGAAGTGTATTTAATCCAAGAGGTGTCCTTGAAATAAACTACAAGATATCATCTATAGATGCTTATTAAAATGTCTTGTACACTGGAGATGAGAAAGGCACATTATATAGGTAAAGGATTAATTGAATTAGATATCAATTGTAGCCGGATTAAGCCATGATTATACAAGCAAATTAAGCATAATCCAAATCTTTAACTAAATCAAGGATTGATTAAATAAAAGTCTTCCCTTAAGCGGGTGCTAATCTTTTGGTTTTATCAGATCAAACATTATTTTTTGTTGAAGAAAAGACTCTAAAAGGGGATTAGATCTCTAAAGAAAAGGTATCATTATTTGCCTTAAACGAATTTTCGAAAATAAATTAACTTGAGATTGTGATAGTGACTAAGAAGAAAGAAGGCTTCATTTTATAATACAATTAGAAAGCAGGAAAATTTGAATGTTTGAGAGAGAGATTCTTATTGCCAGATATTCCTGTAACAATTGCATTTATAGGGAGCTTATTCTATTTTGGAATATCAAAGAAAAATTATTCTGTGATAAATCTTGATGATAAATAACTTTAGGTAGCCAATTTAATTCTGGATATTGGATCTAATCCATATCTGAAGGCAACCGATAATGATGAATTATTAATAATAACAACTAACAATGTTGGTATTTTTATTGGCAAGGATGGCTAAATGAAATAGAAGAGTACTATCCAAATACAAAATAAGTCAATATAAATAATAACAATATTTAAGTAATATTTGATAGTACTATTTGATAACTTAATACAAGTGTTCAATTTATTGGACTCTAAACCTATGAGTGATATTTAATTGTCATCTTCAGCAAAATGTATTACTTAAACATCAAACCATTTATTTTATGGAAGTTCTAGTGAGGTATGAATTATTTTATCAACATTTTTAGATCATCTACTTATATTAAACACCTCCTGAACAATAGATTTAGGATTTACTAAAGTAAGGTAAGGTGGAAGATGCACTCCAAGTATTTTAACAATACAATTAAAACTAAGATGCATAAAAGAATTAGTAATTGGAATAGTTAAAATTGGATTGTGGTTGGGCTTTGATTAGATAGATGTAGTTTTAGAATGCATTGAATTATATATTATAGACAAATTTTGAACCAAGAGATTTCATTTGTTTATTCCCAGATTATTACTATGCTGTAGAGAAATTAGAATCAGTTAATCCAAATCCATCTTAAAATACGATATCACTAATTATTGCCAAATATGTATAAGAATAAAATAAAGGTGATCCTAAGAAGAGTTAAGAATTGAAATTATAAGCTAGAGATTTCTTGATCGAAATTCTAGAAAAGAAAAGGGCTGTACTAACTTCAACTTAATATGCTTATTCAATGAAGGATAAATTGAATTTATTAACTAGTACTTAGATTTTCAATTAAAATTAATGGCATGCTATACAGTGTGAATAACTGTTGGAATTGATAGATTTTGCATTGATAAAGGCCTATTTAGAGGCTTAACAATTACCTAAATTAAAGAACTTTTTATCTTGTAATCAAATATATTGTTTATCGATGTATGCTGAATTACAAGCCATATTTCAAAATAATAAAGCAATTGAATAACAATAAGGTATTTTAGCCAGATTTTATGAATCATTTAATAAAATTGATTTGTCGCTGGAAGTCTGGAGGACTATTGGGGGTGATTCTTTGAATTAATAAGTGCAATAGGAGGCCTGTGAGGAAACTACTCGAATTCTTAAGTAGAATCCAGAAAAGAATAGAATATTCAAGTTCATTCAATGGGTTTTGAAAAAGCAATTCAAAACAGGAATTTAAATCTTTTACGTTAGTGAAAGCATAATATCACCAGATTAAATGTTAAAGTTTTTGGATGAAGAAAAGGAACAAGATCTAAAGAGGAAACTCAAAGAGAAATATTTAGAAGTCTTAGTATTGGAAAAGTAGACAGAGGAAGAAAGATTCCATACTCAATTAGTATATTCTTACATAGATTTCTTGTTCACCATATTTCCTAAAGAGACGTAGCCAGCTTAGATTGATATGAAGAAGAATTAGATTGCATAGGAATCTTATTCGTCATTAAAAAAGTTCTTAAAGAATCCAAATGCCAAATATAATTCTTCAAGCATTTTGGAAAAAAAAGTAAAGGATTCTTGGATGATTGGAGAAGTAATTCTGTTGTATGGTAGAGAGAAAAGACATGAGGAAGCATTAAGTTAATTATTAAATCTTGGATTTTATGATTGGGCTGAAAAATATTGTTGCGAGTATACTGATAACTTATTGACTAAACTCTTCAAAAAGGTATGAATTCTCTTTAATTTAAAGTATAAAGAGCTATATTTCTTTTTGGAGGGAAAATAGAAGGAAAGATCAACTGATCAGTAAACATTATTTGCGTTTAATTAAGTTAAAGTAATTCAATTTTTCATTCAAAATGTAGATTACAATCAACAATTTTTTGAAAAAATATGCAACACACTCTTAATTAAATGCTTTGGAAGTATTAGAAATGATACCAGAGAATTGGATACTTGCTGATTAAGGAGAAGATGATGGATTATTTTAATTTTTAAATAGTGTAATAAGTAATAAGATACTTTACTTTAGGCCACACACTACATTAAAAGAGATCGACAAAAGCTGCGTTCCATCTATCTGATATGGATTTATTGAATGTCGAATGCTTGAATGCCAGCACCAAGTAAGCCAACGTAAGGATTACATCTGAAAAGAAGTGTGCAGTTTGCAGTAGATCAATTGGTGAAAAGGTAAATATAATTTTGATCACATAGGTATTTGTTGTTTATCCTAATGGTGTTATCGCCCATCATACCTGTATAAAAAGCAACACCATATGTCCATAGACGGATAAGGACTTTGAAAAGTATTTTAAAATGTGAGTCTGAGTTAATCAGATAAATAATAATAATATTTTATAACTATTTTTTGTAATTAAAGTTTAAAAATAATTTCTTAATTAGATACTAATTCAAAAAAAATTTCTTTGCTTATTAATCCTTATGGACATGATGCGATAATTTCATAAACTTTGTATCGCATTCATTTCTGAAATCGCCATTAACATTTTAATTTAATCGGATGATATTTTAATTATTCTAAATAAAAGTTTTATTATCTATCGGGTTCTAATGTGATACAAAATATTGCAAAAAACAATAATTATTTAATGTACCAGAACTTATATTAGAACTTCATGCCAACTCCCTAAGGACAATACTACCCATAATACTATCCTTAGTACTATTATCCTGCTTAAAATCCATATTTTTAACAATATCAAATAATGTAGGCTGGGCCAACTCTTGCCATTAAGACGAAAGGAGATCCAATAAAACAAGAGGAGAAAACCCTTGAAACTCTGCCTAAAAAGTCTGTTCCTTTCATTGATTTCGAGAAAACTTCAGAACAAATTTAAACACCTTCAGTTTAAATCTAATCAGACGAAAAAGGGAGCAATTTAAAACCTAATTTATTGGTGGACTCAACGAATATTCAGAAAAATTTTTCAAAAGCCATCGTCTAATATGCTTTGAGACAAAAAAAAACTGTTTTTCAAATTCTGGGAGAAGAAAAAGGAAATCAATTTCTTTTGTTCATGAGTGAACTTGTAAATCAACTCAGAAATCTCTTTCATCTGGTGAAATACACTTAGGATGAAGAATATCTTAAAGTCATAAGGATTTTAGGGTACATTATATGAATAATATTAGTAATAACTTTTTAAGGAAAGAAAGTACGTGTTACATTTATAATTCAAAAATAAGATAAAAAACAAGTCACATCAAGCACAAAGCCATAGTGAAGAAAGTCCTATTAAAACTTTGAAATTTACAATATTTTTTTTTATACATGATTCCAGTATCTTGATTTGTCAGAAATTAAAATATAAAAATTTAATGCAGAATTTGTTTGATTATAACTTCTTATCAAATTAATCTCTTTTTTATACATATTTTATTAGAAGTAGAGAAGATATTTTAACCTAACTCAATGTGAACTCAAATTAAATAATATGAAATACTTCTAATTTTAGTGGCATTTTCCTTTTATCTGCTATCTTTTAATTAAAAATAAGATTTTCAATTTTGGTCAATTGTACTATAGTTTTCTAAGTAACCTTTATATTTTAAAATAAATTTCTCAGCAAATTATTGCATTTCATTTGATATTATTCTTTAAATGTGTAACATTCCAATAAAAGCAGTCAGACTGGTCTCATTTGAATAATAATTTAAGCCATATAATATGAAGGTTTTGTATAATTTATTATTTGATAAATGAAACCTGTGTGGAGATTGATAGTAATTCTCTTTTAGACCTATGGATTAGGGTTTTCAATTTATTACTATTTAAAATCATTGGAAAATACCAATTTGGCATATCTGGTCATCTAAGCTCTTTCGTCTCTATTATTATTTTTTTTTTAGACCAAAAATAAACCAACCCTATTCATTGGAAGCCTGATATTAATTCAACTGAGTTTATGCTTATTTCTGATTCAAAACGAAAGTAACTCTCAAATTGAATGTACTGCATATGTTGTCATTTTGCATTTTATCACAACACAACTAATTGAGGATTTGTTAAGATTTCAAAAATAGTTGTTTCGATGTAGATTATTTTGGCTAGTTTTGTTGCTTTAATCAACTTGTTTGTAGATCTTTTACATATCTTAAGCATAATAAATTGACATATCCTTTTATTAATGCATAATTTATTTGCTCTTCTCCTTGTTCATCAATTTGGCCAACGGATTGTAAAAAGTGATTATTCCAAAAAACAAATTAAGTGTTTAGCAACACAACTAGAAGATAGATTACATAATCACTAGGAAAGACAGGGCATCTTCATTGTCTGATACAGATAAGCTATCCCCAAAGAGTAAAGAATTTCCGTTCTATCATTTTCTGCTGCCAGATTACACTTTTCAAAAACAAGTTTTAAACACGAATATACTAGACGTAATGATGGAATTTACACATGAAGGATTAGTAGTTATGAGATTAAACTAATTAAATTAGGAGATGGAGATAGTATTTACCAATATAGCATCAAAAACATTGTTTTCAGTTAACTCAGCAAAAGAAATTCTTGACATTTTTAATTCTTTAAACAACATATAATATTAATAGCATCATTCCTAAGATGACAATTTTTTACAAATTAATCAATAAAAATAATTATGCAAAAGTATGGCTTATTTAAAGAATGAATAGATAAATCAATCCAACAATCCGCATTACTAAATTCTATTAGAATTGAATCAAGAAAAAAAAGTAGTCAACTAATTTAAAGAAATTTTTAGTAAATTTAAATAAAATAGTCTTTAGAACGAATTTTTTACATTACAAACATTCTACCCTCATAATATTGTTGCAATGTCTTAGAATGAAAGAAAAACAGAGAAAATGTTGGAACTCACTATAACCAAAAGGGAGAACAATTTATTCTTTATTTTGATTAGAGACATTACTCATAAATAAAAAATCAAATATTTGAGAGAATATGATCTATAAAAATCAAAAATGCTATCCTATGTAAGTCATGAATACAGATCTCCTCTGAATTGCATTATTTAGATGATTGAAAATGTACTGCACACTAATTAATTAACTATGGACAATTCTGAGATGCTTCAAGCTGCTTTGGATAATTCATATTATATTTTAAATTTATCAAATGATTTGCTAGACTTGGCTCAAATAAAAAATGGTAAATTTACAATTCAATAGACAAGATTCAATTTGTAATTACTGATCAAAGAGTGCTTGAAATTATTTGCATTGAAGGCTAAGATCTTAAAATTAAACCTTTCCTATGTCTATGATAATTAAGCTCCCTCTCTAGTTTTTAGTGATCGGAATAGAATCAAATAAATTTTGGTGAATTTATTGAGCAATAGCTTTAAATTTGCGTCCAATAAAATTACCATACTCGTCTCCTCTATAGATAACACAACAATCAGAATAGGCGTGCAAGATGATGGAATTGGTATCTCTAATGAAGATTAAAAATAACTATTCAAGTAATTTTCGAAAGTTAATTCTGAAGAAAGTAGAAAGAGGAATGAGAATGGAGTGGGATTAGGTTTGGTTATCAGTAATCAGATAGCAAGTTCTATAGGTTTTGGTGGTTTATAGATAGATTCAAAGTTAAATTAAGGTACTTATTTTTTTTTTAACTTGCAAATCTAATAAACTAGACTGAAGAGAGTGTCAAATTATCGCATTAAAGAAAATCAAGGTTAGTCCTAAGATGTTGATGAAGGAATGACATTTTTGTTGGAACCTCCAAAATCAATCGACTTAGAACCCCCTCTTACTAGATGCCCTCATATTTTAATAGTTGATGATGAGATATTTAATGTCTTTACGTTCACAAAATTATTGAATAAAAAGTAAATATTGATATTGATAGTTAGAAACATTCTAGATATAGATTCGGCATCAAATGGTAGCGAATGCATTGAAAAGTTGAAAAAAAAAAAATGTTGCTAAACTTGTAGTGGCTATCGATTAATCTTTATGGACTTGGAGATGCCAATATTGAATGGTTTTAATGCTTCTAAGGAAGTGCTTAAAATAAATCCAAATCAAATTATCATTGCTTGCTCTGGGTATACAGATCATAAGGAAAGAGAAGAATGTAAGAAAATTGGCGTATTGAATTATCTCGTCAAACCTATTAGAGACTAAGAACTCAACGATATATTAAAGGAACATTATTTTTGATTTGTAGTATAAATAATTTAATAATTTTAAATAAATAAAGTCTACTTGAAAAATGATCGATTTAATTCTCTTTGATAATTAATTTAATTGATTAAACGAGAAATTGTTTTAAGAATTTTAATTTTTGATTCTAACATAGGTGTTTTGTTTAATTTAATTCTAAAACTTAAATTTTGCAAATTAGGAATTTGATATAAAACGAAAGAAGATGATGAAAAAACCTATTAAAAACATTAACTGACACTTGGGTTATTCTCTCTTTATTTTGAAAAGCTTTTAGTAAATAGCAAGATTAGATTTGATCAGCTAGAAGTGTTTATGATATAAAGAATACAAATAATATAAGTAGTTTCCAATTGGTATTCAAAATAATGTTAATGGAGGAGATTTCGATTTTGAGAATGATAATTTTGATAAGAAAATAACAGAATGATAATAGAAATCATAGAGTGTACAATTAAAAAATGAATTACTAAATGATTCCTGAATAAATATTTTATTGAATTACAAAAGTGCTTAGGAATACAATAAAGAGCAAGAAACTTAAAAATAAAAAAGAAATGAAATTTGATATCATATTAAATGTTCACATTAATGTGAAGTATGAATTAAATTATATTTAATTTATATGATGGACAATGACATATTTGCTAATAACTCGATTGTAATTGATATGGTAAACAAATCTAAAATATCAATTAATAGGGTTCAAGTCAGATGAAGGCTGGATTTGGTGGGGATGACAAACCAAAATTGATTTTCAATTCATAGTAAATAAATTGAAAAATAATTAAGTATTGGACGCCCCAAATATAAAGCCTTACCTGTAGCAAATAGTCAAGAATTTTATGTAGGAAATTAAATTACAGATAGTACAAGAGGGATGATGAAAATCAAATACCCTTATTAAAGAGGTGTGATTAAAGACATGAATGAAATGGATTAATTATGGAAATATACATTTTAGGAATTGCATGGAAATCCCAAAGAAGTAATAATCAATTGTATTGTAGTGTCCAATATTATTGACTGAACCGCCATATGCTTCATAATCATAGAAAGTGGAGATTGCAAAACAATTTTTTGAAAGCTATAATTGTCCAGCTTTGTTCTTTGCAGTATCTGGAGTTATCAGTCTATTCGCAAGCGGCAAAACAACAGGAGTAATTCTGGATGTTGGAGACACAGTTTCTTAAAGTATTCCAATTTATGACGGATTCTATATTTAACACAGTGCATAGAGAGTTGATCTGGCAGGTAGAGATGTTACAGAGAATTTGAATAATTTATTGAGAAGAGCAGGATACACATTCACTACTACAGTAAGGAGTGTTAATTATCATAAAAGGCAGAATATGAAATTATAAAGAAGGTTAAGGAAAAAAGATGTTTCTTAAGTCCAGCTATGATTGGAGAAGACAAGTTTTAGGAGGAGAGGAAGATCAAAGATTAATATATGTTACCCGATAATAGTACCATTGAGTTGAGTTTTGAGAAATAAAGAGCTCCAGAGATTTTGATGTGTCCAGAGAAGTATGGTTTAGAATTGAATTGTAATATAAAAAGAAAGAATATTTAGCAATCCCTGAGATTTTGGCAAATTCGATATAGAAAGTTGATTTGGATTTGAGAAAACCATTATATAGTGAAATTGTTTTGACAGGAGGAACTTCAATGATGTAAGGATTCCCAGAAAGATTAATAGGAGAAGTTAAGAGATTAGTTCCAAAAGAGGCTAAGGTATCAATATTAATAAAAATATAAGGTGAAAATTTGGGCTCCACCTGAAAGAATCACATTGAGTTGGTAAGGTGGATCAATTTTATCTCATTTGGCATCATTCAAAAGTATGTGGATATTAAAGAAGGAGTTTGAAGATGAAGGAGAGCGCATTTTAATCAAAAAATAATTGTGAGGTTTAGATAAATATATTTAATGGATTGTTATTGTACTGTCATTTTTCGACCTTGCCTAACCACAAAGCAAGTAAAGATTTGCCTTTAACAGCGATGATCTTGAATCTGACCCCTGGAATATCTCCGACTGCATGTCCCTTTCTTCCGAATCCAGCTACTGTGACTTCATCGTTTTCATTTAAAAAGTTCAAGCAACCATCCTTTGGAACGAAGGCTGATATTTTTTTTCCATTTTTCTTGAGCAATACTCTAACACACTTTCTGACGGCAGAGTTTGGTTATTTGGATTCACTAAAAAATAATCATTTAATTATTACACTCCAATTTTTTCGACAACCAATCCCTTAGCATGTGATGCACCCATAAATGGATTTTTATATCTTGATCCAATCATAGCCTTATTATATTCCTTATCAGCCCATCTATTAACTCTTCTGTGATCTTTGAGCTTTCTTCCCGCTCGCATACCTCTTGGTTTTCCGACACCCATGATTATAAATAAAAAGATTTTATTTATTTTTTCAAAATATTCTTTAAAAACATCAATCTAACTAATTTATCATAAAATATGAACTTATTCACTCCATTTACATTAGGATCAATTCAATGCCAAAATCGTATAGGAATGGCAGCCATGAGTAGATAACGATGCGATAACAAAGAAATGATACCCACTGCGATGATGAAGTAATATTATATGTAAAGATGCACTGCAGGATTTATAATTACTGAAGGTTTGCCATTAAATTTAGATTCGATTGCATAAGAAGGATCATCTGCTATTTTTAATATCAAATAAGCTGAAGCTTGGGCTCAAATCGTATCTGAATTGCATGAGAAGGGCTGTAAAATAATAGCATAATTATGGCATTGTGGTCGAGTTACAAATTATGTAAACAATCCATTGGCGCCATCTGCAATTAAAATTAAGAATAGTAAATACAATCAACCTAAAGAAATGAGTCTTGATGAAATTCAATTAGTTATTAAGTAATATTTAGAATGTTCTAAATTAATTTAATCTGCAGGTTTTGATGGAATTGAAATTTAAGCCAGTAGTGGATACTTATTGGATTCCTTTCTAAAGTCTTCAGCAAACAAAAGGAAAGATCAATATGGTGGTAGTTTTGAGAATAGATGCCGCATTATCTTAGAAATAGTCGATCAACTAAAAACAGTGTTTGATCCCTAAAGGATGGGTGTCAAGATTTCTCCCATTACAAGATAATATGACACTTATGATCCAAATCCGAAAGAGTTATACAAATATCTGCTAGAATAACTTGATCTGAGAAATGTGGGATTCATTGAAATTAGAGATGACGATTATCCTGAGAACTGGTTGGATTTTGGTTATCCATCATCTAAATCTGATATCGCAAACGTCTTTTAATTTTGTAGACCACTATTTAAAGGTTAGATAATAGGGAATGGAAAAGTCACACCTGAGATGGGAAATGAATTAATACAGAAACAAATTTGTGATGGTATCAGTTTCGGAAGATTGTTTACATCAAGTATGAACTATATTGATATGTCTGTTAGATCCTGATTTAGTGGATAAATTAAAGACTGGACAGAAATTGAATGAAGTAGATAATTCAACTTTGCTTAGTCAAGGACCAAAGGGATATATATATTGAAAATGATTTGGATACTATTGATATATATATATATAGATATGAAATAATATACACACAGCAAAAGATAAGAGGATGGATTTCAGCTGCTACTTGAGCTGACTGTAAATGTTGCAACTCTTCCTTATTTAAAATGGCAAGTGGATCTATTATTCTTTGTACTATTGAGATTATTGAATGTAGTAATGTTCTCAAATCCTAGTCTTCTTCTTCCCTTAAGGAATATATTTTGTTCCTCTTCTGGTTCTTACTTACTAACAAACAATCTGATTCTATCAATCAACTTTTTGATTATAGCATATTCATGAATTAAGAAGTTGATATGCTACTTAATATCGATGAACAATTGAAACAATATAAGAAAGGATGTAGATGCTATGACAAACCATCCTAAATTCAATTTTCCATTCTCTTCCAATTAATTGGATTACTCATTAATGGCTAAACCCATTATAAACAATTCTGCTAACCAAATAATCATCTCAGATCCAACTTGCTTAATTAATTCATCTTTATCTTCAAGAGGTTTCACTTTTATCAAATAAGCAGCCATCGCCATGTTTAATAAGGACACCAATCCAATCTAAATGTAAGGCATTGAGTAAAACATAACTAAAAACATCATGAATAACATCTTCTTTATCAATAAGATTATGTTGAAGTAATAAGTGAATGGATTCTTCTCCAACTTTACGCCTTCATATATTGCTCCATAATTATTTTGTGTCACTCTCTATTTGAAAACATAATCTGGTTTTGACATGAACAGTATTGCCGAGTAAATGAATGCCATCTCTAAAAACAAAGCAATTATGCAAAATATAAAACTGGAGAATAAGATTGGGTCTCTCAAATACACATCCTTTATTTACAGAAACAAAGCTAAGTTATAATCAAAGGCAACTGCCGTGAATGTGCGAATCACTCCAGACATAAATTACTAATTGATTTTTAAGAGGGATTGCTATAAGTTTCTAGTAATTCTGTAGATGAAGAATGTGCACACACTTTGTTCCTGTAAATCAATGGGAGCATAAATAAAAGAATGTGAAATCTTAGTCAAAGTTGAAAACAGCATTCTACATCCAATGAAAGTGATCAATGTAGTTATGAACACAGTCAAAACTGTTATGATGTTTACATAGAAGACTGTAGAGTATCCTTCATCTCGAAACTTGGGATCTGCATCTGGTGTATTCACATATTCACTAATGTATTATTCTAAATTAATATATTGCTTAATATAATCGAATTGGGCAAATCCAAATATAGTAAAATAATTCTTAACATTGTAAGGATATTCCACATTCAAAAATTGTAAGTAGGATACTAATTGCAGAACATCCAAGAGATTCCAAAATATATTCAGACCTCCAAACAGAAATGCCAAAACAGCGAATCCAAAGAGCAGGTACAAAATGTACTTACTCAATTTCATTAAGCCATCAGTTGCACTCTCCGTTGAATTTGAAGGAGCCTGAAATTCCAATAAGGAAGTAACATAATTCTTCTCTTTGAATGTATTGCCTTATTAATTGAGGATCGCATCTTGATCTATTATTTAACAAATTAATTAAGGACTTGAAACTACTGATTGAAATTGGATGTTCAATTCTAGAAACAATTAAGTATACAAATCAGAGTATTATGTTAGATCGATGATAGAGATTTCGTATTAATTTAGATTATTGATTTTGAATTTCATAATTGAATTGATACTGCCAGATATTGATACCTTTTAATCTGTCTTGATTCTTACTATTCTTTATGAATCGTATTTATTATCATAGGGATTTTACTCAAATATAATAGATGGATAGATTATCTTTTCACATAAAGTCTAACATTAATAACCTTCTTCGATTTGACATTATTGATTACAACCATCATTATTCTCTAGATTTCCATCATCGCATTGTTCATTCTAAACTTTGATACCATCTCCACAGATATGGACACATTAATCTCCTTAGATTTGATAACCTTGATCTTGGTTACAGATTACACATCCAGATCCATCAGGTTAATATACAATACAATCAGTACAATTATCCGATTAGTGTATGCAAGTCTTGCAACTTTGATCACAAGGCAGACATATAGAATCTTGTGTTAAATAGAATCCATCGATACAGGCTGTGCAACGACCAGCATCACAAGCAGTGCATGTGTAATCTAAACAAAACGAGTTACCATTTAAACACTTATAGCAATTATCTCTATAATTATCATTGCCATCATCGCAATCCTCCTTCCATTGTATAATACCATCTCCACACTTTGAATAGCAGTAATGAGTAGTTGGAGGATTGACATAATCATTGCAACTCAAACATTCCTTTTCATTGGATTCATAATATCCCCTTCTACATTTACAAGAGAACTCAAGAGTATTATTTGTTATCAGAGGTTCCCTAGTACTAGGACATCTAGTACAGGATTAGTTTGTGTTATTAGAACATTCTAGACATGATATATGGCACACTAAGATTTAAATAAATTAGAGTACATCCGCAAACAACAGAAGACCGTTGAAAGTATCCTGATTAGCATGTACAAAATTTATTGTTAATACTCATAACTCTAAATTGATTATCATGGCATGAGGTACAAGTATTAGCATCTAGACAGGTTTTACAAGTAGAAGGACACACTATTAAATGATAGGAAATTGTTACTTTAACAAATCAATTAACCAACTTCATAATACCCATCCATACAAATACAAGTGTCATTTGCAAGTATTCTATTGTGAGCAGGATGACATTAACTACATCGATCCTTAGTAAAATTGCACTTAAGACATAGATCTGAACATTTAGAACATACTAAATCATTATCTTCTTGAAAATAGCCTAATTGACATTCACAAGAGGATGATTCCAATACTCTATTTTATCCTGGAAGACAAGCTAAACAATATCGAGCTCTGTCTTAACACTTTCTACATGTTGGATAGCATAAATAGCAACTAAAATTCTCCATATAATATCCATCTAGACACATGCATTAATTAACATTCAACCATAAATTCTTGGATTCATCACAAGATAAACAATTATTGGGATGTTTGGGACGTATTACACCAACATCTACTCTATCATTTAAACAGGTCTGACAATTATGAAAGCAATTAGTTTGTGAACAATATTCAATCACATCCTTTAGAGACGAACAATAGCATATTTTATTTCTCAATTCATATCCATCTAGACATGTAATACAATCTGAGTGTCCATTACAACTACTGCATCCAATATCACAAATAAGACACTCCCCATTATTATTCATATAATATCCAAGCTTACATCCATTGAAGTCAGTACTTATAGTATCTATTTAATTCAAACAATTTCCATTTTCGTCACATTCTAAACAATTGCCCTAACAAGTCCAAATGATAATCCTATAATCATATATCCCACAATATGCCTCACTGTCAATATTTCTAATGCAGTGTAATTGCACTGATAATTCATTAGTGGATTAGAATGATTTCATATAACTGACACTCTAAATCACCTCAATCTCAGATTAACCAATTTGATTACCAACTGAAACTCCACTTCCAAATAATGAATATGTTGGAATTTCAGAATTTACACTTGTTCTAAATTAAATTTGATTGTTCTTTGAATCAATGAATACTAACTTGAAATCTAATTTTATTTTGTAAAATGGTCTCTTGTTTTTCAATTTATGTATCACCTGTTCATTGCTCCAAAAATTTAGTCCACCTAAAATTATCTTGTTCATAAAGTAGGTATATGATTTCAAACTTAATTTATTTGAATAAGACTCCAAGTATTGATGATTCAAATCATGAAACATATTGGTCAGATACTCCTAATTGTTATTGACTATTTGTGAATCAACACAAACATTGTTGATCGCACTTGTATAATCTGGGCATTAATCAATACACATCCCCTTAAATAGATTTCTACTGCCCATACAAGATAAACAGATATTCAGTTTATTGAATTTACAAGTATAACAATTATTTAAGCAATTCATTTGATTACTAGTCATTTAATACTCATTAATTACGAAATCTCTGATTCCCCATTTCCGTGATGCCTTATTTAATCTAAATTTAGAATCGAATTCGATTTCATTGACTGTTTCTACCAGATCAAATTTTATATAAATTGAGTATGACTTACATTATTAATAGTCAGGAGAATTGCAAATTTCTTTAGGTGTTACTCTATTACCCTGCTTAAAGTATGAGAATAAGAAAACTAATTGAAAGTCTTGTATCTTGACGACCACAAACTAATTGAATTTAATTAATATTTCTTCTAGCATCATACTACCCATTTGACCAGTCATGTACAATGTAAATCTCATCTCATATTACCCATTTGCAGGTAATGAAAGGTCATTATACACAATTTTGTCTGTATTACCAAACATACCAGCCACGCTCTTTGTTCCAATAGTTTGCGTCATCAATTAAATAGAACTATAATATTTATCAGGAATATATTGGAATTTGTAAATATTGAAGTTATCCTAATCCAAATCCATATAGATATTGTTTATTGTTGCCAATTAACAAACACCATTCTCATCAGGCACATGATCAATTGGACATTCATAAAGACATTACAAATCTGGATTAAAAAATGAATAATGTATAAATGGATTGCATCTACATTATGATTTTATCAATTCATATCCTAACTTACATGTCAAGCATTTATATTCATCACATTCTTCACAAAGATCGTCACAATAAAAGACTTATAATACAAAATTTGTTATTCCATAATCGCTGTTCAAACCAGTAGTATATTACTCATGAACAATCTCAATGTTTAATTAAGGATCATTAAATGATATTGCTTAATCTATTCTTGATATTTTTTCAGAATTCGATCTCCCAAAAGGTCTTGACATACAAAATCTCATTGGATAGTCTTCTAATTAACTGTTATTTGGAGTTTCATAATGCACTAACAAACTGTTGGCATATACAGTTAATGCCTCTACAGAATTCCATAAACCAAAATAGTAGATATCGAAACTGATTCTTATTTTACTAAATCCTCTAATTGGAGACATTAAGATATTACGAGTTAGAGAAATATCACCTTAAAGTATTTTTGAATTGAGAGTTGGTTATAAGTCGCAAACGAGTAACAAATTCGATGAAGGGATGTTGTTGGAATTGGTCCACAAATGAAATGTTGAACTTTCCATTAACTCTGATTAAAAAAGTTCCCAACCTAAAGATCGGATGATAACTAGTACCACAATGAATTTTCATCATAAGGATGGATAAAACTAGCAATTACAGCTATTTCATTATGTTATTTATATAAATAAATCCATATTACATCAATCTAGAGAGATATACTAAAATTATATTGATAAATTCTGTTGTCATATTATAATCAATTTCATCATCGAAGACACCAACTATTAAAATTTGAATATTCGCTTCTTACCATTTGAGTAATTATTTTTTTTTAATTTACATAGAAATATACTTGTTCCAATAATTATATTAATGATATTACCACCATCTGATCAAATACTCCATTCAGTGCAATCCAAATAATGGTTCAATTCTCGATGTCAATCCAAAGTTAAATTGTAGTATTTGAAATCATCACGTGAAATAATGAATGACAATGTTGTCACAAACACATTTCGTTTAATCGACAGAGATTAATCAAGTAACTCTACCCATATAGATTTGTAGAGACACTCGAAATTGAAGAGTTGTACTCCATGTTTCTCAAGAACGGCTATCCGATCAACATCAATTTGCTTAGAGGTTTTTTTGAGAAAGCAGATAAAGACAATAACAGTATCTCTATGTCTATATTATTAGAATCTATTGAATTAGAAGAATTTAAACACATTATGTACGATGAATAGGCTACACAATGTAAATTAAAATATTTAAATAGCTTTTAGAGAAATGATGAGAAAAATGAGAGAACAAGCCAAAGAGTCCAATTATTATTCTACTGACTTTGTCAGATTGTTGAGATATCTCTCTTATTGTCAGGACAGAAATTCTTTGCAATTTCAAATCAATGTAAGTCATCTTCAATTACTTAGAATCACAGATTAACTGTAGAAAAGAGATCAAAATTAGTATCTCAATTGATCTAGCTCAATCATCAATACAACTAAGATTAATAAATGAGCGATGAATAATTACAACCGAGACCATACAAAAAGTAAAATAATGAAAGGAAAATCTTACCACCTTTACATAGACATTATGTTGGCAATTCAAATCCATCTTACATTGCTTAATCTTAACTTAAATTGAACTTAAGTGATGTACAGAAGAATTCAGCCTTATCTATTCCATCTTACAAATCCCCTCAAAACACAGACAGATTTAGCAAGTAATCCACAATCAAATGTCAAAATTATATAAGAATCAATAATAAAATATTTAGTAATAATAAAAAATGAATGTCTTATTAATTTTATTTATTTATTATTATACCACCTCTATATGGATATATATAAACCTTTAAAATATAATTCAGATTTTTTAAAATAAACAATTAACATTAAAAATCAGTTGTAAGGTGAACAATAAAACTGTCCATCCTTATCATCTTTGCATTTTAAACACTAGTTGTAAGATTCACAAGTTAAGCAACCAAAAGAACATTTTTGACATCCATTCTCATCTAAGTAGTAACCATCTATGCATTTTAATTTTGAATAATCAAATCTTTCTATATCTTTTTGAAATGCTCTACAATCTTATGCTAGTGAGCCCACACATTAGAGACAAAGTGGAGAACACTAAATTATTTCAGATTCTTACTTTCATAGTCATAAAATAATAATTAGAAATTACACATCTACCATTACTCGAGATTTTACATCCTAAATTCATATTAAGGATATTCTTATTATGATAAAGTGTACGATCAACGTAAGATACATTCTTATGCACTAAAAATGTTTTGCCATCTATTGTGTAAGTGAAGCAATCTGAATCTGAAGTAGAATTCTCAATTGATATGTTAAACATCAATCTAATTTAGTAATGTTTTCCAAGATTTAATTATTTTGTGAAAGTAGTCCGTCGCCAACTGTCTTTCAAGCCTCCTCCAATAAAAGTAGTCCGATTTTCATATCTAAAACTAATCAATTCCTTCATGTCAAAAGTTTTTTGGCCAAAAATTTCTTAAAATTTCTGAAATGGAGATACTAATTTTACAAGAAAACTAACATCTTAAATAATTATTAAAGAAAATACATTGTTATTCTTCATCAATAGTGATGCATTAAGTATCTTTTTATATTGTATAATAAGGACATTATTTTATGCATTAATTTTCATATAAATACAAATTTTGATTGCATTTACTACATACTTTGTTAAATGAACACTATACACATTCGTAGATTGGACAATCATAAGATTTTATTTCTTTATCATATAGTTTAATCTCTTCAATAATCCAATATCCAGGATTCTCAACACTTTTTGAATAACTATAAATAGTAATGTTGTTTTGTTCTTAAAATTCCATCTTAAAGTAACCCTTCACCTAAATGCAATCTAATTCGAACCTTGGCTTACAATATTTATATGATTAAGTGTTATAATACATAGGGAGAAAAGGATGAATAGTTTCAGGTTGATCATTTTCTTTTGAAATCTTTAAAATCGAATTATAGTGTTCCTCCTATTTGCCATAACAATTAAACAATATTTCCAAATATCCTTCAAAATTTTATTAAAAATCAATTAGTAATTCTTAATTTTCTCCAAATTTCTTAGTTAATCCAAAATCATTTTTTACAGACTTTTAATTTAAACCCAGTTAATTTAAACCTCATTTATTTCAAATTATATACTTGTCTTTATGCATTCTCTAAACTCAGCTATATATCCTTTAGGGCATTCATCAACGCATAAATCTTTAAATCTTAATTTTTCACATTAATCTAATATCTAAAGTTCACAAAATCCAGATAAACAATATTTGCAATTCTATGGACATTCATCAATAAATAAGTTAAAGTTCCTTATTGAAAATTATATTTAATCACTAAGAATGAACTGTATTATTATATTGGGGGCCTAATGCTCAAATTCTATATGGTATTCCGTAAAATCTTTTTCTACAACCAGAAAATTTCTCTTAATACCATTAACCTTAATTAGTATCTCTACTTAACTAAAATTTGATTTTGCATCAAACATAATATGTAATCTCCTATACCCCTTCACTCCCTCATATTTTATTGAATAGCTTCCATTTGCCACAATCAAATAATCCTCCTCTAAAATCAATGAGTCATTCTTAATTGACTCAATGATTTTTTTTGAAGTTATAACATTCCAACATTTAATCCATTGAATCAAGAAGAATAGAAATATCAATTACATTTTTTCAAAATATTATTTATTCAATGAAAATATCTATCTTGGCAAGAACAGACTTAAATACAATCTCAATTTTAACAGCTAATTGGTTAATCATCTGTTATATTACGTATTATGTTCAGACATATTATAAACCAATAGCTTTGTTTAACAAAAATAAGAGCATCACAAATTCTGTCATTAAGTTGTAAATTAATACTTAAAATCTTTACAACTCTTTACAATCTAATATAATTTTCCTTCTTTGATGGAAAACTATTAACTTTTATTTTTAACATAATTATAAAATATGTAGTAACTTAATCATTATATCTGTTCTCTTTCACTTAGATTACTTGAAAATATACCACAAGTACATTAAAAATATATATATAGATTGCATAAAGTACAATATAGAATACAATATTATGTATATATTCACATATTTCATTTAATTAATGATAATCAATAGATGTTAATCTTTCTTTTGTTTATTTTTATTCTTATTAAGGAATACAACTTATCATGTCTCTTATTCTATAACATCAAAATTTAACAACTTAAGAGGATAAAATTTTTTAATAATAAATATAATTAATTTGATTGGGAACATAATTATATCAGAAATATTACTAAAAGTGTATAAAGACTAAAATTAATTAAAAATTTGGATATTCCATTTTAAAATAGCTACTTCTATTCTGAAACAATAAAGAATTTCATTTATTCAGTTTTTCTTAATTTGTATTTAATTTTTTAACAAAGCCGTACGAGTAATTAATAAAATCTTAGTACTTAGTTATAATCAATTATCTTTTTGGTATTCAATATTAATTAATTGCTTGGGTCTTGAATTACTTATTCTTTACTTTGAAATTATTCTATTTGAATAGTTTTAATTAATACTTATGATATGAGATAATTATTAAAAATTTAAATAAAGAAAATATGATACAATTTTTAATTTAGATCTATAGTTAAATCATTTACTTACCAATAATTTTAGATTATTATGGTAATTTGAATCAGAGGAAGTAACATTTTGATAGAATTTATTGTCTAGTAGAGATTTATAAAAAACTGAATTTGTAAAAGAATAATAAATTGCTAATTTTAATACACACACATTTGTTCTAATTGATATAGAACTCAATTTGTTTCTCAGAGATTTTCTTGAAGATTTCAATATAGTTATAAATTTTATGAAAATACTATTTTGCAATATTGCAATTATTATCATAAAAAAAATTATTGAATATTTGGAAAAATTCAGCTAATTTATCCTTTTACTCTATGTTTAATTTTCGACTTTATTCATTTATGAAATATTTCTTATTTCATTTGATCTAAAAATTTAAAATAACACTTACTTTAAAGTTAATTGATGATTCATACTCTTTAAATTATTAATTATTATTTCTTATTCAAACATTCTAGAATTTTACTCTACTTTAAGTTCTCTTCAATTTTATTTTCATCTTCTAACAATTTAACAGAATTTACTCTTCCTTATCTTTCTCTATTAACAGTATCAATTAGAGATTCTTTATTTTATAAGAATAGTCATCTTATAACTATTCTAATCTTATTCATAATGTCTTTTGTTTTAGCCAGTTCTTCTAATTTATTTTAACATTACCTTGCCAATGAACGGATTTTTTAATACTTAATGTTTTTAAATAGGAATAATGAGATTATTTTGCTAAACTTAATTCTGCTTCATGATCAGTTAATTTTTACTCAAGCAATGAATTATTATCATTCAATTCACTAATTTATCTTTTAAAATCGTCTGTTTGTCTGTAATTAGTTTCAATATCTTATTTCAACTCCTTTTCCATGTGAGTCTATTCTATTTTTAAAACTATTTATTTCTTTTCTTAATCTATCATTTAAGATTGTCATTTAATTTGCTTTTTCGATCAATATATGAATTTCATCTTCTCTTAATTCAATAATTATTTTATATCTATATTTCAAACTCTCTTATTGCTATCTTATTTCTCTCTATCTATTTCAATTATTGAATTTTTCCTTTCTTCTTCTTTAGAGCTATATTTCATCTATCAAATAATCAATTGCTCTTTATCAAATAATTCTCCTTCATTTTGTGCATCTCTTCTAATTCCTTAGACAATTCAGTTTGACTCAATAAGCATTTGTTTTATAGATTAACTATTCCTTATTTTAAATTGTCATTTTAATGTTTGAACACCTTTTTTTCATTTCACTTTTTCTGAATCTTTAAATATATTCTGTTTCTCCTCTTCAGTAATAGCAACTAGCTGCATTTATTTTAGATTTTATTTTCCAATATATCAAACTATATCCTTGAGTCATCCTAACCGATTTTACTTATTAATTCAATTGTTTTAGTTCTTGTAATTAATGTAAACACGATTATTTATTTCTATTAAGCTATTCAATTCTCAATTAAAGATCTTATAATATTCATAATAAATTAATTCATAATATAATTATAAAAATAAATATTTTTCAAAATAGCCTTTATATTATTTTGATTTATTGACATAGTTACTATTTTTTCTTCATTCAGTAATCTAATTCTCTCCTAAACTCTTCCTTCTACAACTCAATAAAAGCGCTTTTGATATTAATAGCACTTCCACCTTATTAATACAAACGAAGATATTATTCATTTCTTCTCCTGCAACTATTTTCTAAGAAATGTATTACGACGATTGACCATTGAAATTCTGGCATCCATAGCAGTCAAATCATACATAAATTTTTGAAGTATCACATCATAATTTTTAATATGATCTTCTAAATATGATAGATCAGATTGATGATTGATGTCTTGTTGAATTACATCAACTCTCGTAATTCCCAAATGTTTTGAACATTCATTAAGCTCCTTAGATAATCTCCCATCTATATAAAATAATGAATTCTAAAGTACTTGAGTTAACTTAGAAGGAAAGTTCTGAGTTTAATGAGTTTTTTTAATTTAACAGTTCTGCTTCTGAATATTAGGGTGAACCATAACCATAGGATGACTTTACATTTTGAAATTATTGTTCTGTTATAAAAAATTTAATTTATATATTAAACTTAATATATATCATCTACATAACTGAAAACCTGAGTTTTAATCAAAAGGCATGTTTTGGTAATTTAATGGAATAAAAGGGATTTAAAAATTTAATCGAATTCCTTAGAATTATTATTTTGGCTAAAAGCCTGGGATTTATTAATTAGGTGGAAAGCCTGGGATTTGTTAATTAGGCAGAAAGCCTGGAATTTGCTAAATTGGAGGATAAACTGGGAAATAACCAAAATTTTGTACTTTTGGTAGAAACCATTGGGTTTGTTAATATGGAATATATTAGGGAAGGCTTTAGTTTTATTGATAAGAAAAATTTGGTGGAAATCCTTGATGTTGTTTGGGAGCATAGTTATGTGATTAGTTTTAGATTCCTTAATTGTGTGGAAAGCTGGGGATTTGTTAATAAGCATAATTTTGATAATTCATTGGAAATCTTGGGATTTGTTAAAAAGCCAAATTTTGTAATTTTGGTCGAAAACTTAAGTTATTTTATTGAGCCAAATGTTTTTAATTAAATGGAATACTTATGTTTTGTTTTTGATCAAAATTTTACTAATTGAAAAATGATTTTGGATGATGTAATGGTCAAAACTTACTTATTTTATTGGAATGTCTAATTAAGCATAATTAAGTTAATTTTGTTTAATGCTGTTGCTTTATGAGCTAAATGCATCTCTTAATTTATATTCTGGAACAATACAAAGTCTATTAAAAATTTCACATAACTATTAAAAGGTCATTCTTTTTTCCGGATAATACTCTATCATTCCTTCTACCAAAAGTTGAATTATTTCACTATCAAATTAATTAACTTTAAAAGGTTAATTTTCAAGTGTACGTATAAAATCAATTATACTATTATGTTCATCTTTATATGGATATTCTCCCGTGATCATGAGATTTAATATAATACCAAGCTTTATTTAAAGAAATAAGTACAGAGTACATATCAACAACACTTCTTTAATGCTATTTTTTCATTCCAACTAAATTTTACCTTAGATTATTATCTTTATTCAGAACATTTAATTCAGGTGAAGCAAGCATAGGAGATCCTAATTTGGTTAACCATAAATTATTTTATTCACAAAATTACGCTATTCCGAAATCAGCCAATTTATATAATTTCTTATTTCCATAATATTATATAAGGATATTTGCTGGTTTTATATCTCTATGAATAATATTCAAATCATAAAGAACTTTATATCCATTAATAAATTGTCTTAAAAAATCAAGAATTTCATCTTCCTCATATTTTAATTTCTCCCTCTACTCCTAATCAAGAGTAGAGATGCACTTTTCCATAATTATTGTAAAGTATGACCTTTCTTCGTTAATTTCTAAATGATGTATTGTCACAATATTGGGATTTTGTAAATTTTTAAGAGTCTTGCAGAGATTTCATATTCTCGGATTACCTATTCCTGATTTGATAAAGTAATATTTATAATCTTTGTTAATTTGAAATGTATTTTTGCACAGCATTCAAATGATTAATTTCCAACTTTCTTGTAACAGTTAAAGACTTTGCCTACAGCACCTTTTCCAATAATTTGACTTGTATCTATTTCATATTCATAATTTTATTCATCTCTAAGCAGAATTGACTACTTCATATTGTTTATAATAATAAATAACATAATGATAATTGATATGATTTAAATTTAGTAAGTCTATCATGGACAAATTCCATTTGTAAGTTATTAAAACTTATCATAACAATATGTTCTCTTATTACTGATGCTGTCATTAATTAATGTTATAACATTCTTTTTACACTAAAAATATAGATACCAATTTTTACTTTTTCAACACTATCTTGCAACTTGAATCGATCTTTAAATTCCTTAATATCAAAGTTAGAAAAACAATGAAAGTTGCTTTTCTCCATCATCAGTTCAATAATTTATAATAAAGCAGCAAAGCTTTTCCTTAATTCTAGGAATCCAGAAATCATTAATTCTGTGAAATATTTGAATGCTTTAGAACTAGTTCCATCCATTAATTCGACATAATCTTATGTCATTTTAAATGGAGCTGTTTCAAATCCTGCATTACCTGGAGAAGTCGACAAAATAAATCCAAAATCAATATGAACTAAGTGACCCTAATTATCAATTAATATATTTCCATTATGTCGATCTTTTATCTACATAACATATGTCAATAATGAATAGCCAGCTAGGCTTTCAATGAAATTTCTCTATGCAAAATGAAAATCTTCTCCAAAATAGAATTTAAAGAATTCCCTCAAAGACTTAAACTTGTTGGATTTCAAATATTTTTTCATTGCATCCATAGATATTGTATTAGGAACAAATTCTAATAGTCCAGAATTTTCAGATGTTACAATAATTTCATATGGCTTTAAATATAAATTTAATCCAGATGCTTTAAATATTGAGTCCAATTTTTATATTACTTACATAGCCATAAGTTCCTGTCTTAAGTCATCTCCTCCTTTAACCATAATTGCTCTAATTTAATATGATTCAAATTCTTTAAAAGGAGATTAATCTTTTATCAATTCCAACTTATGATCCCAATCTTCTCCCCAAGGTCCCTGCATTTTCACAAGAATTTTCTTTCTTTCCTTACTTTTCTTTTCTTACTCTAATAAATATTCTTCTTCTTTTAAATTAATCTCCTTCAATAATTAATTATTTTTTGATGGAGTTGGCAAATTAATAGATGTTCTCTATCTTTAATGCCTTTTTAAATCATCGCATTCTTTGCTTTGTTTTGTTTCAGTCAAAGTAACAGCAAAGTCCGTTATGGTTGTAGGACTCGACCAAGAATTTCTTCGTTTAATCTTAGGAGAAGTAAATGAAGACTTCTAAATTAAATTCTATTCAAGTTTGTTCGGAGAATCTGGTAAACTATCATCATAATTAGTTGATTTATCATATTTATAAATTGGAAGTTAGTTGAAAATTGTATCTTCCAGTTTACATTTAGTATGATATCTGAGTTGAGATTCAAGATCATCAGATATTTCTCTATGTAATAGATCATCCTGATCAACATCTGTCGAGACATCCTAATTTAATTTTGTTTATTTTTGTTTTATTTCTTCTTCACTAATTGTTTCAACCAAAATTCTATAAGGAACTCTAGTTTTTGTATTGAAACATGCGTGACCTTCTTCACAAATCCTAACAATCAGATTCGAGGGGTCTTAACCTTCGTATTTCCTTTGGAAAGGTAACATAGTTCCCCAATAGTATGGTATTTCTGAATATTAATTTCTTAATCGTTTTAAAGCTTTATTGGTATTTTTAATTTCCTTAAATAGATTATGTTTCCTTTCAGAAGGGTCAATTTATTTAAGGGTTAAGGACAACTTGATCAAATTCATCACTAACTTTTCTACCATGCCTATATAGCTGGATCTCAATTCTTTTTCTGAGAATTGGTTTTACAATTCTATAAATTTTATTTTTATTTATAAATACATATTTGAAATTCTACATTATTCATGTTTTTTAGTATTTCTTCCTTACTATATTTAATGGCTCCATTTACCATTGACTTTTCTAGTCTCTATTAAAAATATCAACTATATATTATTACTCGTTGAAAGAATTCGATTTGTTTACAAGTAACCTCATTCTACTTTTCATTCTCAGAATAGGCATTAATACACCAGCTGATTTTAAGGAAATTTGCGATACTTGTTTAACATAAGGTTTCCAAAAATGTTTCCATGCTTTTGCTGCCCTTTTTAATCGCTAAGTAACTAAAATACTTATAATCATCAATTACCTGAATTGAGGAATAAAATTTTCAATGAATGTATGTGGCATCTATAATAATTTTTGAGTTAAATATTAGTGAGGCCCTGGTTCGTTAAAAGTTGCCATGTAATAATATATCAATAATTCGGGTGTAAATTCTTATGAAGAGAAGAAATTAAGAATTTGTTTAGTATTTGTTGATCTTATTTGAGAATTCAAAGTTTTAGAATCTACATTCATTTCATTTATTTATCTTGGTAATTTATCCATCAAGAATTTTTGTTTAATTTACAAATAAAAATATTAATAATCGTTTTATGTCATATATATTTGATTAACACATTACAAAATCTAAATTTCACTAAAAATTTAATAAACAAATTATTGTTTGAATTGCCTCATTTTTTAATTTAATGATTTCTAACATTGAATTGAAATTGCTTATAATTATATTCGCTTTATAAATTAAATAGATTAATATAGATAATGATTTCATCAATATATTTTTGATTATTATCAGATTCTTCAAAATTTAGTTATCTGAAATACAAAACAGTGTTAAAATACTTTTCTAATTTCATAAAATGTCAAATATATATATTGTTCTATTGAATTATGAATAGATAATAATATAGTAAGGAACAATATTTTAGTCACTTTATTATAAATTTTATTGATTATATTTATAAAAATTTGTCAGTTAATTAATACAAATGCAAAGAAAGATAGAATGCTATAATAAAGGACTATTTAATTCCATGTTGTAATTTGAACCCAAATAACGATCCAATGGTAAGACTAGTTTAGGAACTGGATCTTTTGGAACAGTCAATTTAGTTTAGAATCTTAAATCACAATAACTTTATGCTATTAAATCCATTTAATAATGCAATATACAAACTCCGTATGAATAGGAAGGAGTGGAAAGAGAAATAAAAGTCCATTTAAAATGTAGACATCCAAATATAGTAAATCTATATGACAGTTTTATTGAACATGGAAATGTTTATATGGTTTTGGAGTATGCAGAGAATGGGAATTTATATAATTATGTATAAAAACGAAAGAGATTAGACGAAAAGGAAGCTTGCAAATATTTCATATAAACTTGTAAAGCATTGCAATATCTACATGAAATGAATGTTTTCCATCGAGACATTAAAGTATATATTTATGATTTATGATTAAAGCCTGAAAATTTGTTGCTTGATAATAATAATGATATCAAATTATGCGATTTTGGTTGGTGTGCTGAAAATATTCATTTAAAGAGAAAGACCTTTTGTGGAACTTATGAATATATGGCACCAGAAATTGTATCTGATTTGCCATATGACTATAGAATAGACATCTGGTCAGTCGGAGTATTGCTGTATGAATTATTGCATGGATATGCTCCATTCAAAGGCAAGGAATACAAAGAAATTTCATAGAATATTAAAAATGGATTAATTAGATATTCTAGTTCAATTAATTAGGATGCTTAAGAATTGATAAAGAATATATTACAAAAAGATCCTTCAATGAGACTTTGTTTCAAAGATATTTATTAATCTGCATTCGTTTTGAGATGCTTTCCATAATAATAACAAGCTTGTAAATTAATTAATTTATATGATAGAATTGAAAATATCAATATCTCCTAAATCTAGTGTTTCTGTGGATCAGAATTCTATTCAAAAATATCAATCTCCATTAATCACTCATAAATAATATCCAAATGGTAGACAAAATCAAATTAATACTAATAACAATGTTAATAATTCTTCTTCTTAGAGTATCAAATCTCCTAATATTTATAAAACTACACTTGATTCTAAAAAGTAATCACTCATATTGGATGATATAAAAAAGAAAATCATATATGAATAAACTAGTCCATTAAGAGATGCTACAAATATGCACAAACGAAATCAAGTTAGTTTGACTAACCTAATAAAAAGTTCAAATACATAATTTAATGCAATAAAAAGTCCTTAACCTAAATCTATTCAATTGAGTAAATATGGCTCTAAATCAAAAAATTTCGATGAGAATGGAAGTGTAAAATTACTAGAATAGTTTAAATCAATGCCCTCTTTCACAATTGAAGATTAATAACAAACATATGAAGAGGAGCAGAGATTAAATTTAAAAACTGATCGAGTTAAAGGGTAATTCAATATTTCAATATTAATTAGATTTAAGAAAGAGCCCCAATCATCATTGGATATTGACAAGATCTTAAAGATGTATCTAAGCATGTGTAGCAGCAGATCATGATTGATTTATATAAAATAATACTATTTAATACATCTCTAAATTATACACTTATAGGGTTATGGTGCATCATTAGTCTTGGATAATAAGTATGTCTAAACTATTAATATGCATTTCTAGAAAATTCTCTTTGTAATTCCACACAATCAATAAAATTTTTATCAGTTAATTCAATAAAATTTACGCTGGCTAAAAATTTTTAATTCCCAAAAAACTTTGATTTATCAATTTAATATACATATCAACATGTTCTGAGAGTAATCTTAATGATCAGTAAGTAAGGGTTTTGTAGAAGAAGTAACATAATTTGAAAAAATACCAAAAATTTCATTTTCAAAAATGTTTACCAAAATTTATTCAATATTGATGCTTTTCATAAGGTAAATTTCTATAACCTTATGGATGTGTAATTTGGATTGTGTTGTAAGGTTTTGGGTAAAAAAATGAAGGAAAGAAAGGAATTTGGTGATTGAGAAGAAATTCAACGATCTTTTGAAATCATTGTTTCTTCCTAGAACTTATTTAATTAGTGAGCACTGATCTATTACGAAGTTATACATCGAAGAAATCAAATTATTTGCAAGCATTATTAACATTTCAAGATTAATATCAGTAGATAATTATCTATATAAATTACGATAATTGTAATTATACTGTTTGAGCAAATTATGTTGATACATATAAATCTCGTATTATTCCATTAACATTATAATATAAAATATAAATCTTAAATGAATAGCAGTGAAAGTGTGATCGGCGTAAAAACTAGGTCCATGAATATATGTGAAAGAGTCCTTCAACCAAGAATAAAAAGAGACTATTGTCATATTACCAAAGAAAAGAAAGCTTAACTGATTCAAACTGTACTGAAACAAAAATGTAAAATAAAAAAAGTAAGATACCTTCTTTATCATAGATAGCAAAGGATTTAAATATTAACTATGCAACCGCAAAAACTATTCTTCATTGTTTTAAGAAAAAAAAAATGACTTTTGAATCAGATCTCGAAGTAAAAAGGGTGTCTGTTGGTTCAATAAAGGAAGATTCAAAGTTTTGGGTTTAGGTAAAAGTAGCTGATCAGACAATTAAACACTATGAGTATTTCGATGAAATCAAGAGAATCTAATGATTTATTTTTAAACCTTCTTCACATTCATTAATCTACACATTATTTATGCTGCCACAATTATATTGGCTTAAATTTGGTATATTGTTATCAGAAAAATGAAAAAATAGGCCTATTTAAATAACCTTCCAAAGAACAGACAAAGGGAAGAAAATGATTATCCAAATTTCTCCGCAATTAAACTTGTAAGCGACAAGGATTGATAATTTATTAAGAAATGTACAGTATTTACCACTTTATACTTTTAAAATAGAAGCCGATACAAGCTTATAATTGTTTCTTTAGTTCAGTGATTAAACTATATTATACAATATAATTTTATTCAACCTTTCTAAGGTAATATTATTTAATAATATATTTAAATCAATCATCTCTTATAATAATGCGATTGAAACATTTTATGATCATAGTATGATTCGAGACAAGTATTATACAAATATATAAATTTTTTAGTTGATAAATTAGAATTTTTAATAATAATCATAAATAATATGTTAATACGTCGACATCATTATAAACAATATATTTATAAATTTATTATTACCTGTTCTTTTTGATTTTCCTCTTCCAAATACAGTTTATTCATTTTTGACTTATAGAAGTCCTTCATATTTGTAGGTTCGTAAATTAGTCATAAAATTATGATTTATTTAAAATATTTGAATAATATAATTGTGTTGTGATCATATTTTAACATAAATTATAAATAAAAATTAATTGAAATTCAGATGTGAACAATATGAATTTGGATGGTTGAAATTAGTGATATAAAAGTCAATTTAGATTGGTATAATTTAATATCAATATATTACATATTTTAAATTAAATCTGACGGAACTGTCTATTTTAATTTAATCTATATCCATCAGAATTTTATAAAACCATAACTTCAAGCAATAAACTCAAGATTTATTCTATTTAACTGATAAATAGATGAAAATAAGATGCAGTTCGAATTGTTCAATCTTAATTAGCAATACAAAAATACTGAATAATTATAAATTTGATGAAAAAATGATGCAAATAATAATATCAAATTTTCATTATAAATGAAAATTGTAAACAATTGAATTTAAGATGCATTATAGAAATCGTATTAAGCAATTTTATTAATTAAGAATAGGAACAGCTACATAGAATATTAAGGTGATGTTGAATATAATAAAAAAGTCTTCACTCTTGTGCTTTTGGCATTAAATTCAGCATTTTTTAAGCCAAAAATAAAATATTAATTAAATCGCTAAGTGATCTTGAATTACGTTTACCAAATTTAAAATTCAACTAAGATGTATAATTTTTAAATGAAATATACAGATTAAAGGATTGGAGCTGCAATTAGATAGATCATTAGAATTGTAGTTTAAGAATGAAAGTTAAAATTATAATTTATAACTTATGTATGAAAAAACTGAAATTATTAGAAGTTTAAATACTCTACTCTCATAAATCAAAAGCTATCTATAATTGGATATGATATATGATGGTGATTATAATACAATAGATATTCGAATGAATAGATGGTAATATTTATTTACAAGTTTTCTTATCAATGTTTATAATAATTATTTTATTTAATGGTTTAATCAAACTTTGCTAAGGCTAATTTACTCTTCATTAAGGCTTCTTCAATTCTATTTTCTAATAAGCTCCTTTAACTTTTATTATTACTCAAAAGGGATTATTATGAAAAATAACTAGTGTCACATATTTTTTCTTTGTTTAATTAATACTAATTAGGTATTTTAGGTTTTGAAGTACTATTTAATTGATTTTTTGATGCTGATATTGAAGGGGGTTTTCTGGAAGTTTGTATAGGAGAAGAGTCAGGGGTTTTAAATTATAAAAATGATTTTGATTTCTATTGTTAATAAAAATTATTATTATCTTATTGATTATCATATTGAAACAACTTATTGGTGAATATTTGGTTGTTCTTATTTATTTCTTGATTTTCTGATTTTAAAGTTATTGAACCAATCAAGGAGATTTATTTTTGAAACTGTAAAATTTTATTTGATTATAAGTTTGGTTTTTGTTTTCTATTTGATTAATTTTGCGAGGATTATGATTAGTATTCATACTCATCATTCTCATGATTATTTGGAATAAGATCTTGATTATTTGGAACTATATCATGATTATTTGGAATGGGATCAAGTTTATGAATTTTTAGAAGATCATCATTTTTTTCAAATTTTTAAGTGAAATGTAATAAATAATCCAAAGTACCTCTTTCTGACGGATTAATTTAAAGCATTTTAATAAGAAAAGTCTTAAAGTTATCAGTGTATTATAAATCTGAGATTCTTAAATACAGATCTTATTCATTCAGCCTCAATTCGATCTTATTGAAGAGTGTGGATGGATCATTCAGAGATGCTGCCCATAGGATAGTTAAGCCAGATTAAAAGATTTAGCACTATTCTGGATTGAGATTATTGAAATTCGATTAATTTTTGAAAAGTGACAATTCTTCTGGGGATATATGAAAGTCTTCACTAAATTGACTGAGCACCTATTAAAATGATGTCATATGGTTATCAAAAATGGAATTGAATTTTAGATATCCTTGATTTGAAATGTATAAATTCCTCATTTCCATAGGAAAAATAGCATTTCGTTTTAAATAATTTAATACATCCAGAATCTAATAAGCGATAGCCCAAAGTTAGGATTCAGTGAAATATTATTGTTTCTTGTATCGATTGCTAATGATAGTTTTAAGATCGTTATTAATGTATTCATATACGATGTATAATTTTGTAAAGGTAGAACAGACTTCCTTGTAATAAGCTAAAAATTTACTTTGAATGTAGAAGCAGAATAGTAATGAACTTTTAATAAATTAGGGTGCTCAAGTTTCTTAAAAGGTTTCGGTGGTTAGGTTTGTATTTTTTCAATTACACAAATCAGTTCACCTGTCTCATTTTTCTAGTACAATTTAACTTCTCCAAATCTAGGATCTAAAATTTCTTGTAAATATTAATATTGGGAGAAATTGAATTGAAAAGTAGAACTGCTTGTTCCCATATTATATTGTTAATTTTTAAATGATAAATTTCAAATTGTAATTTATGTTAGAACAATTACATTTGCTAAACACTCTTCGTTTTTGGAGAAGGTGTGTCTCTCCCCTTCATAATTGGGATGATCATAAATTGTAAGAGTAGTTCCATAAGGAATCTTCATGGACTTAATTTCATATGGGAAATCTCTAAGAGATAATAAAAGTAAATTAATTACTTCATTTATCCAAGATCATTGCAAGCCTTCATGGTCTCTCCTTTGTAATAACATTAACTATATAATTCAATGCATTAGGATGTTTATCTAAGGTAGCTTAAGAATAATACTCTTCATTAATATCACTTATGTTATTTGGATCTTCAGAGGTGATTTCTTATTAGATGTTGACTTGCTTGGGGCTTGAATTATCTGATTGCATTTAAGTTTGTTCTTAGACAACTATAATTTGAGCTTCTGGTTGGTTTTCATCTTTTTCTAATTGGTTATCAACGATGATAGTCTAGTCTTATTGATTAGTCTATTCAATTTGATTTGGTTGCACTTCATATTAAGGTTAGGTAAATTATTATGTAATTTAATCTTAGTCCATATTAGATAGATCTGGAACATCATTTGTTTAAGCAATCAATTATTATTATGAGGCACTATCACTTACTTGTAATGTATCATTATTTTCAATAGAATCATCATAATAATTATCTTCATTATTGATTGTTTCTTGGCCATTCTATTGATCTGAAAGTTCTTGCTGGATTTCATCATTGACATTCATGGTGTCTGAAACATAATTCTCATTATTATCATTAATGTTTTATTAAGTGTCTATGACTTGATGATTTTCATCAATAATATTGTTATTTTCAGATTAGCCAATCAATTTCAAATCCTCCACAATATTTTAACTAGCATCTTCAATTATTTCATTATTATTTTCTTCATCTTCAAACTTTAATTATATTCAAAATTAATACATATGCAGTATTCAATGGTGTTTCATCATCCAAAGATTATTATGTATCCGATTTCTCAGATGGATCTAATTAATTAATCATCAAATCACTCTCTTAAGCTGCCAAAATCTGAACATCCTTACTTTGGCTCTTCTCCTCAACAACCTATAAATTTTCTGATGTATATTCAACATCACTCTCTTGACTACCATTCAAATAATAAGTACCCGTCGAGTTACAAAAATTTCTTATGTACAGGAATACTCTAACACAAAACTAAACAAACTAGCAAAACAAAAGCAACTCTCATTTATTTCAAAACGGATTTAAATAAATTATGTATTTTATATAAACATATTATAAAAACACATAATTTCATAATCCTAAGTGCGGATCTAAATAATTAAAAACTGAATCTAATGCACAACCTTCATGATTATTAAATAATTTCTCCATTATTGCATAATCTCTTTTATTGAAAAACCATTTAAACAACAAAAATTATCCTGAATATATCTATTCTACAAAACTATATTACTGAAATATATTTGTATGCAATATTTTTTTATCACTTTGTTTCATTCTATAATGATAATATTAAAAAGTAAAAGCCAAAAATCAATATATTATCATCTTTTAGTATCTCAGAGTATTTACGTATGTTTTATTCCAACTATATTACATTTATTATATTGATTCTGATTAAAGTTAGGTTTGATTTTTTCTTGAGATTTTTTTAATTAGTATATTTGATAAATAAAGAAAGAATATTTTATAATTTAAATCACTTGTTAGTTATCAAAATCATCATTATTTATAAATAAAAATGTTTTAGGAAGTCTAATTAAATTATTTTAAAGTTCCAAGTGTTAAATTTGAAGAAACATAATTGCTGGCGATCCTGGATTGTTCAGGATCTATGTATAATTGTAATTTTTTAATGCTATTTTATAGATTGGTAATATGTGGCCAAGTATTACAATGAAATTAGGCATAAAGTAAAATTACATTGTGCAATTACATTTGATACTAGAGTAAAAACAATTCCTTAGGCTGAACTTGGATCAAATATTAACACATATGGTGGAGGAGGAACAAACATAACAATAGCCTTTTAGGAGTTAAACAAATTGTTGTATTCTCTAAAATAAAAGAAAAATGTTACAGTTTTATTTGTGTCAGATGGACAAGGTGATTTTTCAAAGGAATTCATCGATAAGACAAGGCCAGCAATAGAAAATTTAAATTTTATTTGTATTGGAGTAGGAAAGGGTTTTCCTACATTCATATCTATGGATTTAAGAGAAATGTACCATAATGGAGACAAATCTATTCCTCCTTTATTTTTAGTTGACATATAAGATGGAGATCAGCCGTTAGATAAGAGATTTTAAATTGAAATGTTGGCAGCAGCTGAGTATATGAAACATCAGAAATAAATAAAGATTTCACCTTGCTATTAGTTCCCTTGGGATTAATTGACAGATAAGGTTTGGCCTGATTCTTGGGTCTCATTTTATTCGGATGAATTGGAAACAGAAGATGGAATTTTATAAAAAATAGAGGTAAAAGGAGAAGAAATTGGATTAATAGCAGGATATTGGCTATAAAATCTATAATTGATGTCTTTAAAAAAAAAGGTTGCATAGGAAGCCCAAATGGCCCTATAAGAGCTCAATAAATTCGTGAGTGGAAAAAAGTTGACCTTTTTAGAGAGAGTGTAGGAATAGAAAACAGCACTTAATTAAGTGATTTAGGAACTTAAATTTTTGGCATCTGCTTAAACTTTATAAGAATTAGATGAAGCAACAGCTGCCCAAAGACTTAAAATTGGTACATTAATTGGAAAGTATCACAAAAAAGCTTTGAAATTTGCAGGAGTGTCTGTAGAAGCATTTTAAACGTATAAGTCAGAATTTATAGCAATGATTGAGAAAACCAAATTTGTCAATCACAACTTCCCTACTTCAATACTGTCCTTATAAAATTAAGTTGATATTCTAACAGATCCTGAATTAATAGAGGGTATTAAGACATGTGAAACACAATATCATTTAGTATCATCTCTCCCTATTATTGGATACGCATTGTATGTAAAAAGATCAGATCAATCAAGAATCAATCCCTATACGGTTGAAGTATAAAATATCGCCAAGATTAATAAATATATAGATTCATTAGCAATTATTGATTCTGCAAATCATGAAATTGAATTTAATATTGGAGATAATGAAAAGGAGAAGTTTAATTGCTTGGTTCCATTATATCAGCATGAAGTCCTTATTCCTTTCCTAAGATCAAACATATTCCATATTTAAATGACTTTTGTATTGATGGAAAACGCAGATACATGCTTTGAAAATGCATATGCTGCATTATTAGGAAACACTTTATTGTATATGATTTGCTAGGATGAAAACTAATGGAAATATGAAATGATTGAATTGATTAATTCTAGTTTTATGTTGACTTATGCGGAATCAAGCAAGGTTAAATATCACATGGATCATTTGTTATCAGATCCAATAGGAACTATGGCTGATGAAAACTTATCATCAAAGACCCAATGTGAAGATTTATCAAAAACTATTTTGATGATAAACTAGATTAAGAATAATTTCAAATAGGATCAGTTTAAGATAATAATACAAAGACTAGTGATTGAAGCAATAAGTAGATCTACAAAAGCTTATAATAACTTATTCAAAAGAGTTATGGAAGTTGATTTGTAATTGGAAAATGAAACTGTAAATAATATTAAATCATCATTTACTGAAGAAGAATTTGAAAATATTTAAGATTATGAAACCTTGAAATAACAAATAGAAGTTAAAATTAAAAATCTAAATATTGACTTCAATACTTTAATAAGTAAGATGGAATTCAATAAGCCTTTATTCATAAAGATAATTGATGAACAGAAGTTTAATATAAAGACCTTATAATCAGTTTATAGATATTTTTTGAATGAAGAATTACCTGAAGAACTTTATATAATTGCTGTTTATCATTCAAGAATTGAAAAGTCTTATGATAGAGCTAAAAAGGAGGTAGAATGGAATGTGGATAAGATTTTTAATGAATTACTTGTTCAAGATCAAATAAAAGAAAAATAATATTAAATAAGCTAAGCTGTATTTGACCAATTAAGAATAAAATGCAATCAACTTCAAAAAATTAAAAAGAATAAGAATTATAATGGATAAAAAATGCCAAGAGTGGAAAGGAGAAGAATTAGAAAACAAAAACTAAGAGCTCAGAAACTTCTATTATAACAATAACCATGAATTTACATTATTTTATCAAAATACATTATAATCAAAAATCAATTCATTACAAGTTTTTATAGATTAGATATTGAGTTCTTCTCATCTTCTATTTCCGACTCATTTAACCATTTAGTTCTTTACCCATCCTGCCATAGACCAATTTTAAATTGTGTCTCATTTTAATAGTATATTCCTAATCCATGTTGTTTACCATTGTTCCAAGCCCCAATATATTTTCTACCATCTCCAAAGTCAAATATACCATTCCCTTATTTTTTGTCATTCTCATAATTCTAGAACAGATATTAGAATTAAAATTACTCCTTAATATGACTTTCCATCAGGCCATTTGAGTATTCCCTCCCCATGCATTTTATTATCTTACCAATATCCTACATATATACGTCCATCAGGCCATTTGTAAGTTCCATTTCCTGAAATTTCATTGTCAACAAAGTTTCCTAAATATAAAATATCATAGAACCTTCATAATTTGCACCGTCATTAAAAGTCAAGATACCATGACCATTTTTTTTGCCAAATTTATAATCTCCTTCGTATCCAGCTCCATCAGGCCATGTTTCAAATCCTTTTCCATGTTAACAATCATTCAACCAATCACCTTCATATTTGGCTCCATTTTAGCGAAGATAGATTCCTTTTCCACATGCAGCATCTTGAACCCATTCACCATCATAGATATCACCATTGGCATGTACCAATTTACCCTAATACAATAGTATTTTAAATTAATACATGCCCATTGGATTTATCAAGTTTCCATTGACCTTCATAAAATGATCCATCTGGCCAAATCTATTTGCCAATTCCATCCCTCATTCCATTCATCCACTCACCTTCATATTAAGTTCCATTTGGCAATTATATTAACTCGTTTAGAATATTGAAATTACTGGTAGAGTTTTCCTCTCTAATTAATGAAGTGTTTGAACAACAGAGTCAGGCATTTGGGTTTTAGTTTATATCAAATTCTTGGATAATTCTTAGATGGAGATTTTGCTATTGATTGAATTTTTGATCACTCCAGAATCTAAATCATTTTGAATATGGGCTTCTATTTTATCAGAAGTCTGACCCTAATAGTTTTTATGCTATTTGATAGATATTTGGATGGAGCGGGATGAGATCTTTATGGAGTCGATGTCATCCTTTGGACAAGAAGCAATAGCACATTTGCATTAACCCATTAAGTCCAATTTATTAATATATTTATGATAATCATCTATTTCTGGCATCAATTATTTTATTTCCCTTTCTTCTAATCTACTTCTTTCTTGCTCTCTTCTTCTTTTTGCTTAAACAATCTAGAACAGCTATTGATTATTCAAAAGCATGTTTGATTTCATCTGTTTTGGTGACTTGTTTGAAGATCTCATTTTATGGGATCTAATATCTATGGATTCGAAGAGCCTATATATAAACAGAAGGTGAATATATTGCTGATTGATTTAATCCTCTAGGAACACTGTTCATTATTCTACATATTTATGAATACAATCTTGACATTGTTTATATATATATATTAATAATATTAAATAAAGAATGAAGAACAACTCAATGTTTGGAGGAATCTCTTTTAATTGTGGTGATCGTTACAAATTGATAAAATTAGTTGGAACAGGTGCCTATGGTTCAGTTGTCTTGGCATATGACTTATTGAATAAAAATCATAAAGTTTGATTTTATTGTTATTTATAATTAGGTAGCAATCAAAAAATTAAATTTAATAGAAGATGCTATTGATGCAAAGAGGATCTTAAGAGAAATTAAAATCTAAAGATCAATGAATCATCATAATATTCTCAAAATTTATGATATAATCTATGATTAGAAACCTGAATCTTTTGGGGACATCTATATAGTAAGTCCATATTTTCCAGCAGATCTTCATAAAATAATTAAAAGCAATTAAGATTTGTCGGTGGAGCATGTTCAGTTCATAATGTACCAATTATGCAAAGGACTGTACTATTTGCATTCTTCAGGTTCAATTCATAGAGACATAAAGCCTGGAAATATATTGGCAAATGAGAATTGCGAAGTTTGTTATTGTGACTTTGGATTTGCTAGAAAATAAGATGAAATACAAGATCAAATTGAGGATAATATGACTGAATATGTTGTTACTCGACACTATAGAGCTCCTGAAATCATGTTATCCAGTTAACAATATTCTAAACCTGTTGACATATGGTCATTGGGATGCACATTTGCAGAATTAATGACAAGAAAGATATTATTCAATGCTCCAAACTATATTTAAATGATAAAGATGTTTTTTGATATATTAGGTCGACCCTCAGATGAGGAACTCAATTAATTAGTAACTAATGAGAATGCTCTGTCTTTCATAGAGACTCTGCCTCATAAACCAAAACAACCAGTCTCAAAGAGTGTGCCATTTCCTGATGCCAAAGCCAGAGATTTATTAGATTAGATGTTAGAAATGAATCCCAAGAATAGAATTACTGCATAAAAAGTTTACATTATCTTACATAAGTGTTTAGAACATCCCTTCTTTGAGTCTATTAGAAATTAAGCCGAAGAGATAACATTCACAGGCAATCTGGAGTGTGATTTTGAGAACGATGACACCATCACATTAGAGAACTTAAAAAACCTGATACTGATTGAGATCAATCACATTAAAGCCAAAAATAAGGAAGATTTGATTAAGATTGAAGAAGAAATGAAAAGAATAGGAATCATTTAATAATATCATTAATGATAATATAAATAAATAATAATATAATTATTGAATGAAACTAATCGAAATTGTTCAATTGATTGAAGCATTCTAAAAGGAGTAATACTATCCTGAAATTGTATACCTATTATCTAAAAAGTAAACTTTCTTTTAATAATTAATTAGTTGGATCTAAACTTTTATAAATTCTGTCAAATTCGATAACCAATAAAATATCCCAATGAAGCCAATAAATCACGATATTGTAGATGAAACAAAATCTAATGTTCTCTAGTAAGATATCCAAAAATATTAGATATTAAGATGATATATACAATTCATTTTTAAAGGATAATTTACGTCGAAATGTTGATTACATTTACATAAGCCAATAAATATGGTCACATCTAAATGTAATCTTATAAATATTTGAAAGTCACTTTATGATGGGTACTGTATCAAAAGATAATTGAGAAATTTAAATTAAATCAATGAATTCATCATTTTTCACTTTATCCCAGTCTACCAATTCTAATAGCACTTTATTGAAGGAATCCAATAATTTGATTCCAGTTGGAATATGTCCTAAATTATATCCCATCTAGAAAATGCATTATAAAATTAGTTATCATTCCAAACACCAAAAACAAATTTCATATCATTGTATACTCTCAAGAATGAGAATTAAACTAGTTTTGTTTAAATTGTATAAGAAGTTAAAGAAAAAAGGATTGAAGTAGAAAATATAAAAGAAATAACTTAATTGCGTAATAAGAAATACATATTACTGGATATTAAATTGTTGAATAAAGGTTTCTTTTTTGAAAAGACTTAACAGATAAATCAAGACAAAAATGAGGGTTTATTAAATTAAGAATATATTGAAAATTGTAGGAGAGGTCTATCTTTATTTGAGAATCAATAAACTTTATTAAGTTGCATGCTTAAATGCTACGAAAACATTGATGCAATTAGAAATGAAATACTTTGTAATCTAACATACAAATACTAGAATTTAAAGTAGATTATACAAGAATCATATTATGGATTTACTGATTATGTCTATTATGATTTGATGGATTATGAGTTTTTAGAGGAAAAATAAGTGCTGATCACTAAATCAAGATATGATGCAGTTTATATTTACAACAATGAAAACAGAATCATTATTAATAATTAAAGAAATATTAAATAGTTAGTGGAATCTCTATTGATCCACCCTTAATTATAATGTGATTTTAATTCAGTCTTGTTTGAGTGCAGCAATGAATATTATACTGAAGAAATCGATTTTGCAAAGCCTGCTTATAGTTTGAAGGAAGGGTATAAATATTAATTGAGGAAGTTAATGTGGTAAGAACGCAATATTAATAATGAGGACAAAATAGAAATTCGAGTTCATCAATGCATATATGAAAATATTGGTTATCAATAATACAAGCCTTTTGCTGCGATATTAAAATGCTATATAAGTTAGTAGGCTAAATTCTCAGATTTACACTTATTAGTAGCTAACTTATTTGAAGAAATAAATTTTGAAAATTATAAAGAATTACGATTGAATAAGAGATATAGTTTATATTTCTAAACGGATTAATAAGGCTCAATAAAATGTACATTTTGTTAGTAGAAATTGTGCAATAATTGTTAAGTGCCATTTAATGATAAATCTTTGAAATTTGGTAGTAGGGTCATTAACATATATGTTGTATATGAAGAAATGCTATCTGTTACTTCTGCTTATTAGCCAGAAATATTTGATAATTATTTCCTTAGGTAATATTTTGAAGTGGATTGGGCTAAGGATAAAATTCTAATTTTGAACATAAATTAAGAATAAATAAAACCTTATAATATTAAATATTATTTTGATTCACGTATATACTTATTTAATATTTCAGATCTTTATTAGTTATAAGGAATAATTGAAAAGGTATCATAAAATGAATATTAATGTTATTGTCTGAAATAGTAATAATGGTATAAATATACAAAAAATAAATTCTAGATGGTTGATCATCTGGACGATGATTTGAATGTTGTTAAACTGTTCTATATAAGAAAATGATATAATGATTGATTTTATAATATTTAATTACAAATTATATAATTAATAATGAGAAATAGAAGGGAACTTGGACAGTCATTTAAAATGAATGCTAAAATACCAAAAATAGATAAGACCCCAGTCAAAAGAAGGAGCTGTGAATGTTCAGAATGTGGTTTAGTAAACAAAAAAATGAAATACACCACATCTATTATCTAATAGTTTCAACCATATTTCAATGTAGCCTATAAATTGTTTGAAAATGAAAGAAAGAATCAAGAAAAGCAAACTAAAATTTAGCAACAGAAATAATTGAGACTGAGAAATAAGAGACATAATCACAATAAAGATATGCTCAAAAAAGCAGTCAATGTTATAACATTTTAAGAGACTTTTTCAAATAACAAGAAAAGAAATGTGGAATTGCCTCCAATCAATATGTGCTCTTTAAAAGAAATTAAAAATAATTAATCCAGTAATTTATTATCGGTTGTGCCTCAAAGAAAAATGTGGGATAAACGATAAACTACAATAAAGTTTCAATACAAATAAAATACTGGTCATAATCAAAGATGTTGCCTACCAGCGACTCCATTAGATTCTCATCTAGTCTTTAGAATTAACAAAGTCATTTACTAATAATATATTTTAAGACATCAGTAAGGAACTCTTGATGATTTTCATTTTAAATTGCGAATCAATATATTTGATGAAAAGACTGAATCTTTGCCAGCCAAACATCAACTGTTGGTTCCTCCAATTAGATAAGAAGAAGACTATGATGAAGATGAATCAATCGTAGAATCAGTTCAACAATTGCCAATTAAACATAAACCTATTAGAGAAGAACAATATAAGCAAATCCTTAAATATAATAAAAGAAGTTTTGCTAATTTGGTTGAATAGGCCTCACTTACTGAAAGGAAAGCTATTCAAAATTTAATTAAAATTAGTATAGCTATGTATCTTAAATAGGTAACAGTCATAAAATCTTACCTTTAATCTTTGATCATTAGCCATTACCAATCTATATGATTCACAGTAACTATTTGGATGCTCAAAAAACATCCAAAAGTAGTAAGCTTATTAAATTAGAAAAGTCATAACCAATGCTTAAGTAATAACATTAATAATTGTAGATCACAAAGTCAGCATGTTAAATTAGTACCAATAAGTAAACATAAAAAAAACTAAACAGTTGGTTCAGTATTATTAAGATTATGAAATTCTTGTTAAATATTTCATAAATAGTTGATTAAATGAATTAATAATTTCTAGATCTATTATATTATTATAATATTTTGAAAGTTAATTCTAAATTCATTAATCAAAAACATTAATTGCAGAACGAGAAATTTAAATTTTTCTTCTTTATATTTAGCATCAAATCCTAACAAATTTTAGTATTTTTATACTAAGGTTTGATGATCATTTATATTTTCTTCTATGTCCTCAAAATCAACAGTTTCACTATGTAAATTTAAATCCATATGAGGTTGACTTGCAGCAATTTTTATCTGAGTTTAAGAAGGTTACTTCAATTACACAGCATCCTGAAAAGACGGAACATATTTAACAACATTTGATAACGAAGATCCTAAAATTAATAAATGTAAATACCAAGATTTGAGACATTGGATTACTTTTTTAGTATGAGATCTTTGGACACAATCATTTCCAGGAACAACCAAAAATGAACCCTAAACTTTGACTTCCAATAGAGAATCCTTAGATTAATATTTATCAGTCCATTCAAATCGATTATCATATGTATTGGGTAGGCTACATTGTTTCATTAAATCCTTGAGCATGAGATAGTCAGGTTAATCTTCAAATCTTAAAGTCTTCAAATATCTTATTATATTTATGATATATTAACCTAAGGTAGTCAGCAAATTGATTTGGCAATTCCTAACATAATGTCTCAATGGTTGTATTTATTTTAAATTCTCCAACAGCTACAGTTCTATCCTTATCACCATATAATTTATAAATTCTACCATGGTAACTTACTTAAAATTACAAATTACAAAATACCCTAAAATTAAGTAGATAATGACATACATCATTGATTCTAGATCATCCTTCTTACTAATTTCAAATTTCTATGAGCAGCAATTGAAGCATATCTAGTAGTTCCAATAAATGATTTTCTATCTTTAAATGGTCTTATAATAGACTGATTTTATTTGCCTATCATTATGTTTTCTGGTTTCAAATCCCTATGCACTATTCCTCTTGAATGCACTTATTTAAAGATAGTCAATAATTAATCCAATAATTGCAATCCAGTTTTCAGTGATAATTATTTATATGTTCTACTATAATACCCTAGGTCTCGTCCCAATAATTCAACAACTATTACATTATAATTTTATTCTGCTCCAAACCAATACAATTTTGTTATTCCTTATATTCCTTATATTTTCGTCAGTAAATAAACTTCTTGATCCAAAGTTTCATGTTCTCCTTTTCTAATTTGACTGCAACTTCTTCCCTGGTAACTTTGTGAATTGCCAAATAAACAACACTGAAAGATCCTGAGCTGAGTTGATTCTTGATTATATATTTGTTATCAAAAATTTTAGGTTCAAGATAACTTTTGGGTAATTTTTTCATATTTAATAATTATATTCAGGAATCAAATAAACTAGAATATGATGTTCTGATGATTTTAATTCAAATAAAAAATGTTCAGGATCTGCTAAATCATACTCTTATTCACTATGCAAACTACTCAATAAAACACACCAACAACGTCCTGCGATTTAAATTGATGTCTTTACCATATTTTTATTCTAAATGATATCGTATATAATCAGCTTTATTTTAATATTGTTTCTGGGTTAAGGCTCTCTTATATAGATCCACTATATCACTCTTCATTGGTGATGTGATATTCAATCCTTATCTAACTATATCAAATCTTTGAGTGCTCATTTGTTTAAATTATTTTCTGTTAAAATAAATTATTTTCAATTCAAAACCAATTGTGCATTTATTTTTTATATTTAATCATTAAACCTCTCCATTCTCCATTTTTCATATTACAATCAAATAAATTCCTATCAAAAAATAAATGAATATTAATCAAAATAAAATTTAATTCATTTTTATAATCTATTTTCCAATATGCTACCTAAAAATCCTGTTAGTGATATTAGTACTCTTGTGTTGAAACAATATAAGAAAATGTATGAAGAAATCTGCTTAAGGTTCAAATTTGAGAAGGAAGCATCATCTAAAGAACTTGAAATTTGGAAAGATAAATACGAAACTCTGTAAAAAAGATGGGATACTCTTAATTAATTAAAAGAGAAATAAGATGGAAAGACTAAGTAAGATATCAATGATTCTAAGACCCTAAATTAAGTGCCTAAAACATCTGGACATTAATAAACTTCTTTATTACCAAATACAGAAAAATAATAATTTTAGATCTTAGTTCAATAACTTAATGAATAAATTGCCAAATAAAAAAAATAAATCTAAGAATTGAGTGATAGAAATGAAAAGCATTCTATTGACAATAAAAAATTAGAAATTGAAAATAAAAAATATTCTGAATAATTAAATCAATTTAGAAAGACATCTCACCATAAATTTAATGATTAATAAATGCTGCAATATGAGGAAAATGTTTAAAAATTTATTTAAACAATTGATGAGATGAAACAAGAAAAAAATAGTTTTGAAAAACAAATAGAGAAATTAACCAAAGAAAACTAATCCTTATAATAATCTAATGATGAATTAAAAAAATCAATTCAAGAGCATGATAAGGGTCAGCAACATAAAAATTAGTTTTAATTATAAATAAGCGAATTAGGATTAAAAAATAATCAATTAGAAAAATTAGTTAAAGATTTAGAAAAACAATCATAGCATCAATAAGACCTATCCAAATAGACTGCTAAATAAATGGATGATAAACAATAAGAAATCTAATCACTCTAAAACAAAGTCTAGGAATATTAAAAAGAACTATCAAACTTAAATCAACTCTAAGATGTTTATAATGAATAATAATTACAACTTTAATAGTTGGCTCAAGTGATACAAGAATTGGAAGGAAAACTTTCAGAATCTACAAATCCTTAATCATATGAATCAGAAATTAAATAAATATCGATCAAATATGATGATTTATATTAATAATATACTGACCTATAAACTCAAGATATCATGAAATAAGAATGGCTTAACTTACAAAAATCTTAGCTTGAAGATCTCAAATAAGAGAATGATTAATTAAGTCAAAAAATTGAAGAATTGCAAAAATAAAATGATGTTTTGATTGGTCAAATTGAAATACAAAAAGATGAAACCAAACTATCATCCAGTCAATTATAAGATTAAATTAATTCTTATGAACACATAGTTTCAGATAAGAATGAAGAAATCCATAAATTAAAAGTAGAATTAACAAAATAAAAATGTAGTTTAAAAAATGATGATTATGAAGAAAAGATTTAATAATTGAAGACATAATATGAGAAATTGGAATCTGAATCCAAAATGAAAATAGAATGGATGGAAATTCAAAATACTGAACTTGAGGAAACTATTAATGAATATGAAAAAAAAATATAAAACTTTGTGGAATAATTAAATCAAATAAACAAAAATAATCCAGAAGATCAATCCTAAAAGATTACTGAACTTAAGGAACATCTCCAATAGTATGAACTTATTGTTAACAATAAAAATTTTGAAATCGATGAATTAAAGAAGTAAATCAAAGAAATCAATTAAAAATAAAATGATGAAGACTTTGAAAAGAAGTATTTAAATTTAAAAACTTAATTTGAAAAATTAGAAACCGAAAATCAAATGAAGTAGTAATGGTAGAATATTTAAGAAGAGGAACAATAAGAATAAATCAATACATTAAATGCATAGATAGTTGAATTAAATGATTAATTGAATTCAACCTAAAATTTATACTTAAAATGTACTTTATATTGTTATTTTAGTGCAAACCGATTTATAACAGGAAGTTGATAAAAATGAATAATTGTCCAAATAATCTTAATAACATTTGTTGGATATTTAGAATTCATTTAATTCTGGAAATATAAGAAATGCCTTGAGAAAATCAATTAAAAAAGAGGAATCATTTGAAGATGAAGCTAATATAAAAAAAAATGCTGATGAGAAATGCATTAATGATCTCAAAGAAAAGATTCAAACTTTGAATGAAGAATTAGGCGAATATGAAGAGAATCAATCTAATTTGCAACAATAAATTGGAGAATTGACTGAATAGAAAAACAAAATTCAATTGCAATATGAAGAAATGTATAATTATTACTCAAGTATATATATATATTATTATATTATAGAGGCTTACGATTAAATATAAAATTTTATAACTTAAGTTGAAGATCTTAACAAAATTATTTTGGATAAGGAAAATTAAATAGTTGAAAATTAATATTAGATACAATAACTTGAGGATCAATTATTATAAATGAATGAAATAAACAAGGATGCTTACACTGAAAATCAGGATATTAATTAGATGAAGGCATTTTATGAATAAAGGTTCCTAGAGTAGGAAACCCTCATTCAAAATTTATAATAATAATTAGAATAAACCTCTGATCAAGAATATTATTAGAAAATGAACTAAATATTACATGAGAACGAGGAACTAAAACAATTGAGAAGTGAAAATTAAGAAGAATTAAATAAAAAGGATTAATTGATAGAGGAATTATAAATGTAAATGTTATCATAGTCTTAGGTAACAGGAAGCTCAGGTATTTAATTTTAATATATATTATTTATATAGATCTGTAAGAAAGAAAAAGAAGATAAGAATTATTGGATAAAGTAAAAGATGACAAATCTGAAAAGTCTGAATCCTCAAATGAACAATTGGTTAAGAAGATTGGGAAAAAGACCTCTGGGGCAAGTGCGAAGTTATCTCTAAAATTAGATTATAATCAAGATGGATCTAAATAAACAAAACCTAAAAGTGCAACGAGTTTAGATTTTCAAGAGTGATTTTTCATGTTTATTTAAAAATAAATGTATGATCATGCCTTCTTAGGTTTGAATGCAATTGCTGCTAATTTTAATACTCCAAATAAAATGGCTGCTTTAAACACTTCTTTCAATTGCTTGCTTCTGAATTCTCTAGTTGCTTACTATTTCTCTTATTGGGGTTGAAGGAAGAACATATTAATTATATATTTAATTTTATTTATGATAAGTAATTAATATGATGAGCTTATGAATAGTGAATTCGATGTAAGAGAATTCATACTTAAGAATTTCGTTTAAGCTAATTTCGAGATCAATTACAAGAAGATAGAATAATCAATGCCTTAAATAGCTTAAATATAATCATAAACGTGTGAAGATATTGCGAGTTCTGTCGATAATAACTTAGAGGATTATGTTGAAATAAGCACATAATTAACATCTTTGCAATCTTAATTGGATAATCTTACACTCTAATTTAGCAATATTACAGATATTATTGTCCTTACTTAAGACAATTTATAATAAAGAATATATTAGATAAATGTCATTGTTGAAAACTTAAAATTAATATAGAATCTCCAATATAGTATGAAGGACTTAAGGAAATTAATAAATGTATTAGAGAGTGTAGATTTCAGTAAAGGGATGTCCAATTACAATTTACTTGAAACAAGTGAGTTAATTGTGAAATCAAGATAATTATACACAGAATTAGATAAATCACCTCATTGTAGATAATTAATGTTGTAATTTGACTTGCTGCAGATTATTCAACAGAATTAATGTTAATTTTAAAATTTATTAGAAAAGGAATTTGTGGATTGTTTGTAAAATTTTAATTCTATAAAATTTGCTTGTATTCTTAGATCATTTCAAAAAATGCAATTAAATAAGACACCTGAGAAATTACTTGTATAATTTTTATTAAAGCCTGCATTTGATATGGCCTTTGCTAAATTAAATAAGAATTTATTGACAAAGGATACATCAAATTTAGAGTAGTTCTTGCAATCAGTATTATAGATATACGAGAACAATATTGAAATAGCTAAAGTTGAAACTGAAACATTTTCATTTAAAAATATTTTAGTGGAATTACTCTATATATATTTGTCTACAAAAGAATGTGTTAATATTTATTCCTTGGGAGTATTGGATTTGTTTTAATAAAACTATTAGAATATTTAGAATGTTAAATAAACTCTTAAAGTAAATTTTGAGAAGGGATCAGAAGTAGAAAAAAAGTTTATGGAGAAATGGAATTTATCAACATACTTTTCTATGAGATAAGCAGAAATTATTAAAAAATTAGAATCGGAACTTTCAATTTAACTAACTAATAATGAATACAATTTTCATTTGGTTTTATAAAATATTATAGAGAATTGTTTTTCATAAAAAGTTTATATCTCCTTATTAAGATAGAAATTTTATACATTAGCTATATAAATTATAACAAGATTTTGCAATTTCATAAAATCAAATAAGAATTCCATTTAAACTGATAAAATACCAATTATTATAAATAATCTATCAAAAATTAATTTGTCAGTATTGCAATAGGACATTATAATGTTATAATTGGATAAAATTAGATCCGTGATTTCAGAATTAATAGATATTGCAATAGTATAGATCAAGATAGAGTGTTAATAAAATTTGGAACCTTTTAGTGGAATACCAGCTAAATTTAGGATGACAAATAGAGACATGCCCAATTAACCTTCAAATTTTTGCATAAACATTTTTAAACCACTTTAGAGTTATTTATTAAAATTGGAAGATGATTCCACCAAGAAATTAACATGTGAAAAAGTATAATGATTTTATAAAATTAAGGTATGCAATACTACTTTAGAACGATTTTAAGTAATTAAAAAGTAAGCTCTTGATACATGTGATAAAAATGAAGAATTAATGGCTAAAATGGGAGTCAAAAAAAATGATGCATTGGATAATCAAAAAATAAGAATGTAGTTCTAACTGGATGAAGAAGAAATAAAAAACATTATGATAACTAAATTATATTAATGATTTTTTAACAATTATAATTAGAATTCTCTGGTTGTCTAAAACCTCAATTACAGTAAGAATTGATAAAGCGACCCAATTATTTGGATCAAAAACAACAAAAGAGTTATAGTTTTGACTTGAATTCTGAGAGATTTCCTATTCAATTACAATAGTTGAAAAAATAACAAAATTAAGCTTGGAGACTTTAAACTACCACTGCCAAATCTAATAAGCATTAATATGAAATAATGTTAAGCTCATACAGAGATAATATATCTAAATCTGTAAATAATTCTAAAATATCATAAAATAAAACTCAAAAGAAGAAGATGATAGAAAAGGAAAAGTATGAAAGTTGCTTTAAAAACCAAGTAATATAATATCTATTAAAATTATAGAATTTTTCATTTTTAAATACTGGGAATTGGAAGAAAAATTAAAAAGCAATCGGAAATATAGATATGATGTTTAATAGAAAGAATAAAATGAATAAAGTTTGAATTTATTCATAATTATACTTTTATCAGATTAGTATTTTTTTTTTTGTATAAAAAGATTGTTCTACGGTTTTATTTTAGGATTTAAAAATACTACTAAATTAATTACTTTATTATTTGAAAGTTGACCTTTGAGTATTAATAATTGACCCTTTATCATGAATGTCTTCTTTACTTCTTACTGTTTCAGACTCTTGGACTGAATTATTATTAATTCTATTTAATCCGAGAAAAAAAGAACATCCTGTTTTTCTAAATGAGGTATGTTTTACAATAGGAACCTTCGTCAATTTTGAAGGACTTAGAGAAGTCTAAGTTGATTCTGACAGTGCTGGAAGAAGTACTTTACTTGGTTAAACACTTTTTGAATTTTTCATTGGGGAATCCGGATCAAAGGGAACGATTCTTTTATCATTATCAATACTATGTTGTTAATTAAACTTGAACATGTTTAATTCTTTACTAGACTCATTTTTTTAATTAAGAATAGCATTTAATCGATAATGCTTTTCTTTTGAAGGTGTTCTGTTTAAAGTTCTATAAGCTTTGAATATTTTGGTAGGTCTGGCTATTGATAACTGAAATGGGATTTATTAATTTTTAGGACTGATGTTCCCTAGATTTTATTGTTGTTCTTGCTTATCTTCTTCTAATTCAGCAATTAAAATTTTAAATTCATTTAGATCTTTTTTGGAAAGATTAGGAGATTGTTTAATTGATATTTGTTGCAAATAAATTATAAACAAAACTGATTATAATAATTAAAAATTCTATAATAATTATAAATAATACTTTTCTTTTTTATTCTTAACAAATTCCGAATTGTTTAACACACATTGGGATTGGATCATTAAATTTTCGAGTAATCCATGGATGAACTAATGCTTAGGCGGCAGTATATCGAGAATCTTGATCATTTTATAACAATCTTTATAAGAGGTCCCTTGCAAGAGGAGATACATGCAAGGGTTGTTCATATTTAAAATCTGGGAAACTGTTGATAAATTCTTTTTTAGTGAAAATCCTTGGAAAAAACGGATGTTTTCCTTGATTCAATAGCATGTAAAGGACGATCCCACAAGACCACATGTCAACAGCCTTGTTATAAGTTTTATTTAATATTTATTCTGGTGCCATAAATATAAAGGTTCCACACTATTTTGAAACAGTCTAATAATAACGAATTTCCGGTTTGTATTAATAACTTAAACCAAAGTCAGCAATCTTGATGCTGGAAAGATCTTCTGTGTTTTTAATTAAGATATTATCTAAATGAGTTATGTTAAAATACCAGGCTTGATATCTCGATGTATGATCTACTTAGAATGAAGATATTCGATTCCTGTAAAAATAGATTCCATGATTTAACTAATCGTCAACTCATCTAAACTTTGTTTCATCAATTCTTTCAATGAACCTCCAGCTGCATATTCCATCACCAAATATTAGCAATTCCCTTGTTTGAAATACTTAAACTATATAAAATAAACAACCTAATAAAATTTTATGATATTCTTATGCTAAAGATTTTCCATGATTGATGTTTCCTAAATTTATGCATCTTACAAAAACTAAAAAATCAAATCAACTTTACCTTAATTGCCACTTCCTCGTTCTTGTATAAACCCTTATACACTTAACCAAAAGCTCCCTACCCTATCTTCTCCAGTATTCTTATATTCTTTTCCATGAAAAAATCAGGTCTCATATTTATATTTATATTTAATTGATGAATCTCAGCGTCTCTATTCTCACAATTACATTATCATTTGTGTATTAGAAATTATATAAATATCAACTTCGTAAAATCCATCAATATTCAATTCCAAATTAAGAATCTATTTATTAAACAGTCCAAATTCAGTATAAATATTTTAACAATAATTACGTAATGAACAATGTACTCAGCAGTTTCTCACCTTTTAGAAACAAAAATTCTAATATTCTTACTGAGAACATCGAATTTAAGATGAGGCTACTGCATTTTGAACCTTTAAATATAAATACTTAACCAATTAAGCAAACAAGATTAAAAATAGAAAGAAAACTATCTCCTATTTAAAATTAGAATTATCCTGCTCTATTCCTAAATAGAATTCAAGTCTAAGATATGCCATTAAAAAAAGCTAAGCTTTCCTCAAGCATAGATTATAGAGCAATGCCATAATTATATGTTAATGAATATTCAGAATTTCTCTAACCAACAACACTTGTTATGCCTTCCACTTAAAGAAACAATAAAAAACATTTTAGTTAATCAAGACCTTAAAAATGCAAAGATAACTCATTCGTTGAATCTGAAAAAAAGACTCAATTTAAAGTTCGCTTGTAATTACCAAAAATAGAAAAGTGTATCAAAATAGATGAATCAAGAAGCTCCCTTAATCGTTGGACTATGAATAGCTCCACTAGTTTTTTATAAGCCTATAAATGATTAAATTTAATGTATATAGAACCTCAAATAAATAAAAAATTAAATACAAATTTCTAATTTGAAATATCAAGTAATTTAATATATTTATATTATGATTCAATCTTAATAATTAATAGCTTTCAAAATAATCCTAACCTCTATTTCTGTCTTTAAACTTTTTTAGTTTGCAATGTAGACCGATTCTATATTAATCAACATAATCCAATACTTTGATCCAAGGATGATTTAATGCATCATCCAAAGATATTCTCTCATCTGGATCTTTTTTTAACAATTTTGTGATCAAATCTTTTGCATCAGCTGATATATGTTACCAAAATTTATCACTTAAATCATAATTGCCATCTAAGATATTCTTAATTATATCTTCAGGAAAAGAAGCATCAAAAGGCAGAAATCCTTCATTTAATTTAGATTATTATACCTGATAATAAAAAATAAAGAATAACGCCTAAAGCAAAATTATCAACTTTGAAATCAATCCTTTTTTAGGATAAAGTTTCAGGAGCTAAATAATTGGTTGTTCCACATAAAGCTTCTCCTTCTTTATTCTATATGTTAGTTAAAAAGTTGGCAAATCCAAAATCGATAATCTTGACTTGCTTTACAGTTTTTGTTATTTAATCAAGAACAATCATAATGTTTTCAGGTTTTAAATCTCTATGTACTATTCCAACACTATGAACATAATTAATTGTGTCAAATAATTAACTCATTATTAAAGAAGCCTCCTATTCATTCAAATTTTCATTATTAGTAATGTAATCAAATAGGTCGCCATCCCTAACTACTTCCGTAATGATATTTAGATGGGTCTTTGTTTCTATTATCTCAACAAATCTAATGATGCATGAGTGATTCAATAATTTCATTATTTCAACTTCATGTCTATTTATAATAAAATCTTGAATTTTACGCTAACATCAATTTTTCTTATTTTGACAATTTAAATTTTTCAATGATTTTCATAGCCAATTGTTATTTAGTTTTCTTGTCTTCACAAAGATAAACTATTGAAAATTTACCTTCTCCTATCTTTTATAATATAGAATAATAATCATTCACTGATGCCCTACTTCAAGAGAACAAATACTTTTAAAACATTTATAAGCTGTTTGTCCACTTCTTAAAATCCTCAAAGTCTTTACAATAATACAATCTTTAAGGATATACTTTATCCTTATGTGAAATTTCAAATCCATATATTTACTCTTGACTGTTTGCTATTTCTTAGATGGTCAAACCATCTAAACAAAATATCTCTAGATTAAGTGTTATAATTATTTTTACTCGAAGGAATTGCCTAATCTAGTTTTTTATAAGAAAGGCAAAATCTCTAAATAAGTTTAAAATGTCTATCTTTCATCTATTTTGGATTTTTTCTGCTAACCTTTTTTAATTGTCCTTCTAGATCTTTATAAACAGTCACGAATAAAGGTACAAGAGTACTGCTATTTACTCCCCAAATATCATAATTAAATGCCTTGTAAAGTCCATCAAATATTTTTGGATGCATCTTGACAAACTATTTAAATTCTTCAATTGATAATCTACTTAATTAAGATTAATTACTCTTCTTCTTGCTTTCCCTTATTTTTGTAAATCATATCTACATATTTTCGTACTAAATAATTCACATTTACTCTTTTTAATTCAACTAATTTCCCATTTATTTGAAATTATATATTTTAGCCAAACTAACCCATTGGAACTCCATTTGGTCCAACTAAACTTTCATTTGGAAACATCATAATAACACTTTATTCATTAAAATTAGGAAGACTGGATTAATATGACTGACATTCAACTGATTATTATCTAGAAAGCGATTTAATCTCGCCACTTTATTAGGACCCTCTTCTTTATAATGCATGAACTATTAACTTAAATTTAAGATTTACCTGATTCAGTAAATTCTTACTCGTCAGCTTTTAATGGTTGAGCCTTTTTTTAGTTTATTTTTTCTTTTTTCTCATAATACTTGAGAATCTTTAGATCTTCTAAGAACATTGGATCATCTAACAATCGTATTAAATCTTCTCTCGGATAGTTTTATAACTTGAGTTAGAAAAGCTAATTACCATTTGAAGGAACTCGGCCTTCTTTATTATTCCTATATTTTCCAAATCGTATAATTTAAAAAGATGATCAATTTTTTACTCTTCATCACATTTTATAAAATATGCTACGCCCTTTAAAAACTATTCAAAGTTAATGAGATTTTCATTTTCATCATCTTTATTAAAATAATCAAAAACTAAATCTCCCCATAACCCAATCATAGTAAAAAAATCTGTAAATGCTGTTTTATTAACTAAATTTTCAATATTTCGAGAATTTAGATCACTATATATTAAGAATAATAAATCAATTTCTTTTGGAAGAACTTTTATAACTATAAAGGCTTACATTTTTCCTCTAATGACCGTGGTATATTATACTACTTTGCTTTTTTGGGCTGACCTCCACATGCACCCATTCCAATATCCTTAATGAATAATATATAAATTTATATTTAAATGAATAAAAAGTAGGTTTTACAATACGATTTATTAATAAATTTATATCGATTCCTCAGATTTGATTGATTAATAACAATACATTAGTATGCATATTAAAAAGAATGACCATTGCAATATTTAAATTAATTAGAACCTTTTAGAGAAAGTAATTAAGATATGTAATTAAGAAATAAATCTTACGATCTGCAATTGATTCATATAATTAAAAATTAAAAATAAATTATTTCATATAATAGAATTAGATTATTTTTGTAGTTAAGTGATTTCTATTTGTAATTCATACATATATTTATTTAGATGAAAATTGGATAATACGAGATTGATAAAAAAGATATAATCGCTAATGGTTCTGAAGGTTGTATATATAATTGCAAGGATGGTTATAATAAGGGCAAGGAATTATGTGCAAAAGTAAATCTTTATTGATTTAGATCGTATAAGAAATGACTTCGGAGAACTTTAAAAAATAGGATGTGATTCTTTAAAAGTTATTTTAACATAATAATTCAAATTTAGTGAAAATTGAATATTATTAGTTTGACGAATCAACACAATCTTTAATCATAATAATGGAAAAATGTCAGAGTACTTTAAAAGATGAATTAGATAAGAGGAAAAAAGTAAGTGAATTTTTTTCTGATGAGGAAATTCTGGATTTTTTAAAATAGTTTTTATCTGGATATTAGATTTTATATAATCTAAAAATACTCCATCGAGATATCAAACCAGAAAATATTTTGATAAATAATCAAAAAGGTTAACTAATTTATAAGTTGACTGACTTTGGAATTAGTAAAGTTTGCAGTTCAAACTCTATGTATATGACTTAGATTGGCACTCCGATATACGCCCCACCAGAACTAAATGAAGACCCTAAACAGGAGGGCAAAAATAACCTAATTGATATAAACGATCCTAACCCTTAAAGCAAACGTGATGTTTATGCTGTATACGCCTTATATAATTTAGCTTGGATTAATCCTTCATTAAATGATGAAAGGTGAATTACCATTTGCTGATAAGAAACTAGTAGAATTCAGAAAATAAATCGAGAAAGTTCCATTCAAAATTTAAAATACAAATCGCTGCTAAATTTTGGTAGACTTAGCTGAGAGTATGATCTAATACTATCCTTAAAACAGAATTTCTATTCCTACTCTAAATTAAAGGGTTCAATTTCCAACTATATAACGATGCCCTGTAATTCCAAACAATTTTATGCCTTTCAAAGTACAAACATAGGATAATAATAACAAATAATAACATTTAAATACATTCAATCATAACAGTTAATCATTAGCAAATCTTCTTGTCACTTAGACAGACAATCAACAAACCAAGGATGTTACCAAAAAGATTAATGATCTAAATT